GAGAAACAAGGTATTTATTGGTGTTTAGCCGCGATGCGGCCTGACAGGACACATGTTGCACGTCTCAGTTGAGTGACGGTCAGGGGGAACCAGGGGAAACGCGTGTTTGCTCGGGGGGGAAATTATACCCCTCCGTATCTAGCAGCAGTTCATTGATTTATGTTTTCACAGAAAGAGCAGAACACAATTGTTCCCCAGATTCAGTGTTGTGTTTTTGAAAGTTGTACAACTGACTAGTGATTTATTTATGTTTTTAGGTGGTGAAGCGTAAGTCAGTTGTTTTCTGTTCTAACTAAATTAGCTGAATATTCAGCATCATCCCTGAAGTAGTAGTAAAAATAACACATTTGCTTTTGTTTTAGAGCCAATGTCCGATGAACTCAGTTCACCGTTCTCTCTTTTGTAAAGCCGGTCTGTTGGTCTTTCGGGAACATTGTGTTTTGATGCACAACAGGTCATGGTGTTGCGGTGTTTGATTTATCAGGCTGGTGCTTGAAGCTGGACGGAGATCTGAGGATCACAGCTTACTACTAACTTCAGACGGGCTGAATTATTCTCCAGCGGTTGGAGTAAACATGGCTCGCGTGTTAAACTGGAGCCGTGTTCAAAGGCATAATGCATTCGATCGGTGGTAGTCTCGTCTTTTCAGATGACTCGGAATGTGTTGGACAGGCTGAAGGTATTAAAACCCTCCAACCTCCTCCAGATATTTCCCTCCTGAGATAAAAATGTGAACTTCTAGGAGAATTAATCGCGGCTTCTTCACCAGATGGTCAGAGTCACCAATCCACACCAATGCCAATGTCTGCCTGGTGTGTAAATGAGCAACAATTTGCTCATTCGATGTAAACTTTATTAGTGAATAATGTGTTGGGTCCACAGGCCGCCCCCAAACGCTGGGGATCAGAAACATGACGCAATACATTGAAACATGTGCAATGTGTTCAGAGATTGCAGTCATTTTAAAGAGTGATGGTACCAAAGCAGTGACACAATCTGATATCTCCGTCACGACCCACGTAACCGGAAAGATTTATGAGAACGAGGATTTGTTCCCACAGACCGACTGAAGCTGTTCATACCCTAAACAACCAGACTGCACTCCTTCCCACTCCTACAGAGTTTGCCATTCAATGCTTCTCGACATCTGCTAAGCTGCTCTGAGCAGAGCAGCTGCTGTAGTTTGACCTGTAGTTAATCTGGCAGAGAGATAACACACTGAGAACTTTACCAATTGTCTCTCTACTCGACTTTTTTCAAGGACAAACTGAGATAAGTGCACGTCTGCCATTTACTGTTGACATTACTGTAAATACTTTCAATTTCCAGTTGTCTTCGTGTGCCTCGGTACACACACACACACACACACACACACACACAATCCCAGCCTCTGTCAGGCTGAACCCATTCATCACTTAACTAAAAAGCTTTTTCCATTCAAACCAAGGATCCCTGGCGCTTCGCCCTTGAATTAAAAAGGCCTCGACCTGTAAGTCGTCCAAAAAGCCGCTGTCCTAAAAAGGAGCGCTTGCGTGCGCGTTTCGGTCACAAGTTAATGAAGACTTCCCACCGGCGGGCTCGAGCCACATACGCTTCTGAGGCTATTGTTTCCCCGGGAAGAGAAACTCTCGAGCGATCTCAGTTCAAGCTGAAGATCAGAGCCGTTTGGTAGCCTTACGTCATGCTCCCCCGCTCAGCGAGCAGGCCGGGCGGCGGGTTGGTGCGTTGCCATCTTGTTGATCAGATTAACATGTGGGAGGCGAGAGTACAACTGCAGTGCTGCTCAAGCAGTGTTCGGGGGGGGGGGGTCTTTACGTGCAATGAAGTCAGATGAAAAGCGTTCAGTAGCAGTGCTCATTAAACATGAAGCGTGAAGCGAGGGGGAAGTGTCCTACAGGCGGCCCCGGGGGGGGGTGGGAACACAAACACGGAGAGAGTGCATAGTGGCAAAGACCTGGTGCTGCAGAGGGTGGGTGTTCTAGGTGAAGGTTTGAATCCCAGTTGTTTTCTTTCATAATATACGTGACGAGCTGTCCTCCGTCCTGTGAGAGGCTATGAAAACGCATGCAGGGAGGAAGACTTTGTGTCAAGTGTGTCATAAAAGATCGCAACTGCTGTCAAACGCTGTTTTTTTTTTTTTTTTGTTCCCATGGTTTTGAATTTACAGTTTACAAAATGTGGTGTGAATCGATGTACAACAGCCGCTTCCTGCCGACGGCCGCTTCGCTGGAATCGTTAAAAAGAGATTTTGTCAATGGAACGATGAGAAGGTTTATGCTATTTTTAAGTGTCCAGGATGGAAATGTACCTATTTGTATTGGCAGCATTTCCTACCCGAAGGACACATTGAAAGGAAAATACTTCAACGTATTTAAAACCACTATATTTGAGATCCCCATGTGTGATTTTCTTCGTACTAAACTACCAGATAGTCAGAATAAATGAGTGATCTATTCATTTTGGAAGCAAGGAGCAGTTCTCACAATTCTGAAAGAATTATGCATATTGGGTGAATTACTTTTCTCAGCCAAAACAACCTTCAAAAGTGCTAGGTGACATTTTCCGTGTTGCTACGCGGTGTATCTATGTAACTAGCTGGTAGGAAGATACCTTCCACAACGTTTACATCGAGCACAGTGTAAAGCATTTTGAAACGCTTGAACTTATGTTGTTATTTAAAGATCTATATTATGGTGTTTTGTTTCCTGGTTTGATCATATTTTGTAGTGATAAAACCACCAATTCACCATCGTTAGTTAACTACAATAAACTACTGGTCATACAAGACAAGGTGAGGCTGAACAGCAAAACCCCCGAAATGTAATTGATTTTTTTTTTCATTAATTAAAGAGAAACACCCATTATTTCTTCTATTAAATCACACTGTTGCTTTAAGAAATACAGAAACTGAATTAACCTGCAGGTTTATATATAAACGCTCGTTGGCGCTATCTGATGCCCACCCTGCTGCCTCCGTCTTTAAATGAGGATTATCACAGTGGAGGCCTTTTGAGAAGAGAATGACCCGTCACGAGCTTCGCGGCATGTGAGGAACTGTTGTTGCGTTCCTTTCCATGTAGTTATCGGTAGCGGGCAGTTCAACACTAGCCTGTGTCCTTCTCCGCTGGAGCTCAGGAACTGCTCTGTTCCATAACTACAGGAATTAAAGGCCGGAGCAGCCGTGAGTAGGTGACTGGGCCCGGGGTGTGGACATGGGTGGGGCAAGTGGCAGCATTGATCAAGGGATAATAAAAGTCCAAGTGTTACCGAAAGGCCTCGGGCACTTCTGATGTGTGCTCGCCTTGTGTCAGCGGTGTTTCAAGAAGAAAGTAGTCCTGTATTTGCTCAATAATAGATGCTCTGTTTGAAAAAAGAACAGGCAACCCTTCACCGCTCGCTCGGTTAATGCTAGTGAGCTGAAGAGATTTACTGGCATTAAAGTCACTCTTCAACCATGAGAGTGTCGAGAATGACTTCACTTCATTTGCGATCATCATGCCCCCCCCCCCTCAGTTCTTCTCTGGCTTTCTGAAACTGTGAGATGAGCGGTGGGAGTTTGCGGCAGTCAGGTCCCAGAGGGGGGGTCAGTTCACTCAGAGGCCAACGGACGGGGGGGGGGGGTCGCCCATTGCAAGCATTCGGTCTTAATGGCTGTTGAGGTTGAAGGGCTTTGCTCGCCTCAGAGTATTCCAGCACTGACTGCAGCATTGTGTCACGTTACCTCCCAGTTGAGGCAACATACTACTAGAACCAACACGGCCTCTATAAGTCTAATGAGCCATGAGCTGCAGTCCAGTGAAGGATGGGAGGTCAGCCTCTATTGACCAACGCTGGGCGGCTAATGCTGTCATTTGCTCATAAGAGCTTAAGCAGTTAGTGGATCAGTTGATTGAAGTAATTCTCAGGCTATGTGCCATTTGTAGTCTTACATGAAAGCCCATCAAATATCTTTACAAACTGATTTTTTTTTTGGTTGTTGCTTGATATCTTTATCTGTCTGCAGCACCGTTTCCAAAATGTCTATTCATGTCCTGCTCTTTCCTGCTCTGAATCTCACTGTGGACGAGTTGGGTGTGCTCTTGAACTGGTGATGTGTTCAAAGCCCACACTGGCTCACGGCCCGCCTGAGGAAAGAGGATGGGTGGGTTCCCACTGGAAAAAAGCTGCTGTTATAATGGACAGAAGAGAGAAAGTGCAAAAAGAACAAGTGGCCCAAGTGACCAGCGGAAGGCACGGGGAAGTTCTTTGTGTTTGGGTTGTGGGTTTGGCTGCGTGTCCGTGGACATAAGTTGGGCGCAGGAATACGGTGTGAATTGAGCTCGTCTGTGTGCGTTTCTGCTGCAGCTTTTAAACTCTAAGACCAAAGGCAGAGCCCACCAGGCCACCTTCAAAGAGTTGAGTTTAACTGCAGCGGACGGAAGAGATCAGGATCTGCTTTTCTCATGGACGTCTTTCCCCGCTGTCGTCTAATGAAGATACAGGATTTCTCTCTTTTCGTTCCAATCTGCATTGTTTCCAAACCTGATGCCAAATCAAACACTTCATTTGTGGTCTCAGTTGGAGTTGCCAAAAACGCAAAGATACCTCTCACAGGCCGTGCCAGCAGGTTAACAAAGTGATCCATGACTTTCCTTTGCTGGAAACCCAGTGACGCCCCGCTTTTATACCTTTAAGCATAATGACGAAGAAGGAATAGTAATAAATCAGATTTCACTCGCCCATTTAAACCAATTCAGATCATTTTATCAATATAACGACATATCAGCCCTATGGATCTCTCACGCAGTGATTACAGCAATAACGTCACATCTAGACTGTATAATCCGTCAGCGTAATCAGTCTTTGCGCCAGGCGTCAATTGGAGAAAGATGTTGAATTACCACGATCATCAAGGCGGTCGCGCGGCACTTATTTCTTTTTTTCAGATTAGTTTGAATAGATTTGTCTCTATAGCGGGAGATCTATCTTTGCAATAGCCTCGTTGTTTGTGCTCCCCGCAGAAGGACGTGAAGGACGTGTTCACGGCCATCGCCTTCGAGGTGGCGTACGGCCTGGGGAAGCACGTGCTGTCGGCACACGAGGAGCGAGACCTGCCCGCGCTCACGCCGGTGCTACGATGGAGGAAAGGAAACAGGATCGCGGCGAGAAATGAGGTGACATTTTGGGATGAAATGATTCGGCGTTTGGGATCAATATTGTTCATTTTTTTATTGTTATATTGGTATAAATTGTTCAGTTACCACAACGTCTTTTACGAGGTGATGCTTTATTTCAGGACGATGAAAGGATGGTCACTTTCCAGTAACATAGCATTTTCAATTAATTCCGATTACAGTTCATCTCTATATTGATTGTAAAGAATATATTTTGAAGGAGTTGAAGGAAATAGCTCAAATTGAGGTTATAATGATTTGGTGTGGGTTACCAGCTTATTATTGTCTGTGTTAGCTTTTCTTGAGTGGAACCCAAAAAGACAGATTCATTTATTTTCTTTGCAACCACCTCTAACCTGCCCCACATGTGTTTCCCCCGCTGTCTGCACTTCTTGAAAATCGGAGGGATTTGCGTCTTTCAACACCTCCAGATTCCATTTATCTGAAGATCGTAACATCGAACTTTAGCGCTCGACTTGAGTTTCCTTTCATGATTTGACCTTAAACGAAAGATTATCGAGACCGATTAAAAGAAAAAAGACCACAAATAGTAAAGATTCTGGCCTCCACGTATAAAAGAAATCGACTAGACAGCTTCACCAACAACACAATACTGCCCCCTGGTCTGAACGAGGAGTTGGTGTGTTGACTGCATGATGTCATATGAACTGTGTACTGATTTCTCCTTAGACTTTGTTCGAGAAGAACTGCCTGTCAGACGACTGTGCTGCAGACCTCCGGCTCCATGGGAAACTTTTGCTCTCTGGGTAAAACAAAACGTTGACTTCCTCGACAGCCTAGAATCCTTCTGTCTTCTTTGGTACTAAGGAAGCGAGCGGACGTCACAGGCCCTGTGGGTGCGCGTAGTGGAACCATGACGCATGCTTGGAGGATATCCATGTGTTTTTCCATACTTAGGGAGTTCCTTTTTTCTTTTTAGTGTGGATCTGTTGCCCTTTGTATATTCAGTGAGAGCATGGTGTGTCATGGGAAACAGCAACTCTTTTTGAGCTTTTTAAAGCAAAGATATCAATATTAAACACACTTAGATCTGCTGTTTGTATACATCTTTCGTGACATCCCACAGTTGTCTCAAGACGCTTGATTATACTCTGACGTGCATCGTTTATTTGATGTTCCCATCAGGTTGCACAGCAAACCCCATCTGGCCCTTGGCGGAGTGAAGAATGTCTCTTTGAACCTGACCATCTCTAACGCTGGGGACGACGCCTACGACACCAACATCTACTTCAACTTCTCCAGAGAAGTTTTCTACATCAACTTCTGGCAGAAGGTCTGTTATTCTTCTTGCTCTTCACTTACCGGCTGTTTGTTTACTGACGTTCTCATGTTTGTTTCTGAAACATATTTGGTTGTTTGGCTGGAAAGATGAGGATGAAGTGGACCGGGAGCCATTTACATATTTAGCAGCTGAACAGCATTAGTTTTCCGCTGAGATGTATATTTAGCAGAAGATTTAAATAGGCAGTAAAAGAAATGCACTCCTGGTTTAATGTCGGGAGCGCAGTCTAAACAGTGAAGCATACAAGAGCGGCGGCGGCGGCAGCAGCTGTCCGATGTCACGGCTCCTCTGGCCGACCGGTCACACGCTTCTCTGTCTCATTCAAGGCAGACACAGCGAGTCAACAACGTACGAGCTGTGTGCGTGAGGACAAATCAGATCACACATGCCTCACGTCCACACATGCTTGACTTCAAATTGCATTACTCATGACCGACCTTCATGGGATACTGATCGGATCCTCACGCTCAGCAAAAATAAATAATTCCAGCATTTGGTCCCCGTTAAAGAAATGTCTACCCGCTGCCGTCCCGCATTACACCTGAGAGACTCCTCCAGGAGGCCGCGGTGTGCCACATCTGGATCGGTCCTACAGTGGCCTCCTCCGCCCGCGATGAGGCCAGCGGGGCGTCTCACGCCACCTCAGTCAGAGCGCTCCGACGCGAGCTCGCACAGGCTCAGCAGGCGATGGAGGGGACAACGTCCATCATGAAGGCTTTGGCTCTCGCGAGGGACCTTGTGCTTTATGTCCTCTGAGTTTTGAATCTTGTGGTTAAAAAAAAACATCTCTCTGAATCACATAACCTGTGAAATGATTTAGAAAAGAAACAAAAGAAAGCTGTGATTTAATTAAAATTGAATACAAACTGCAGGTAAATATTAGAAAAACAGTGTTTCAGTTTCACTTTCATGGCTAATCTAATGAACCAATTAAGTATCAAGTTGCCAGCAGCCACAGAGGCTCATTGTGCTCAGGACCCTGATCAGTCAGCACAAAGGGAGCAGGAAGTAAGGAAGGAACAGTATGAAGAGATGACAAAGAGGCCATCGTGCAGGTTTACCCCCCTTTTAGACATTTCCAATTATGACTGGCCAAGTCGAAGGTGACGACGTGACCCCTTTTTGCAAAGTTAAGGTCAGCTTCCAGTCCTCCCCTGGGGCTTTTTCCTCGGCGAGCGAAGCGTGAACTTGTGCTCCCTGCTCATATTTGAGAGTGGGGTGTGTTATCTTTCTGTTGTTCTTGCAACACAACCTGTCAGAGCGCCGTGGAGGTGAATTGGTTTCAGCAGCACTGGCTTTACTCCCGTGGGATTCAGAGACACCGGCTTCTGTTTTTTCTTTGTTTTTTAAGGAATTGTTTGTTCTGGCTCATGTCTTTTGTTGCAGCTGTTAAGTGTCGGCGGTTCATTCTTCCGCCCTACTCCTCTTCATATGTCAACGCTGTACCTTTTGCACCACTTAATTTACCTGAAAGTCATAGTTATACGCTACTTTGCCATTTAGGACTTTTCACACAGACCCGACAGCCTCCAAATATTACAATTGATTCGTGGGGTGGAGCCCAATGTACAAATACCAAAGTTGATGGCGACATAAAAAGACTTGCAGAAAATGGGCCTCCTGAAGAGGCTTCAGACAAGACCAAAGCAGGTTAAACAATGCCGGTGATATTTCTTGTCTTGCCATTTGTGAAAAACCCTGCGTATGTTTGTTCCCGACGGAGACGGACAAGCGAAAGAAAGAGCAGACTTTGTCACTTCCCCCCCCACGGAGGCACAACGTGTCCGAGGGCTCTGCTCGCTCTCAAGAGCTGCCAGGTGGACGATGGGTAAACAGACTGACTTCCCCAATCCTGCCCGGCCCCACATGACCAGCAGTGTTTGCACTGCAGCATGAAGGAATACAGGAAATAGAGGACATTCCATCATTGGCCAGTAGTGGCCCCCCCCCCCCGTACCCTACTTAGAGGGCTCGTTACAGTCTCCATGTAAAGGGCAGCACTGCTTATTTAAGATGACTTAAAGAAGATGGAGAGAACCGCCTCAGCCTGGATTTTCCCCCAGAATTCGCTGAATAATGTGCACAGCGGTGATACTTTGGATGTAGAGACGACCTTCCCCCCTCTGTTCTTTATCCCCTTTTGAAACATGTTATAAACATGAGTCCAAACTGCACAGCAGACGGCGCATGCAGGCGTTTTGTATGACTTAACTCAAGCCCCCCACCGCTGAATATTTCCGGGAGCGCTATCCGTCTTTTTCTTCGTTTAAGGATGTTCGTGAACAATTCCGACCCTCTTTCGGGCTCCCCAGCACACGAGCGCCGCCGGCAGCCTCCTAGTGAACTCCCGCCAAAAGAATTCTTCCTCCTCGTAGGGTCAAGGCCGAGTGTTTACACAGCGCAGCCGGCGAAGATCCGTATTGTTTAGACAAGCTTCCAAACACGCAGCCTGGAGGTCGTCCAATTACCCACCCGCTCGGATGTGTGAGCCGCCGCTGCTTGGTGCATTCTTCCTTTAACCTAATTTAGAACTTCAATAAAAAAAAAAACTAACACCTATTCTTTTACACGCCGACGTCTGTTCCCAACAATAAACTTTAATCTTACTGTGTATGTTGGCGGGTGTGTCTACTTGCATGTGTGTTTTTAGAGGTGTGCTGTTACTTTTCTGCATGCATGTGTGATTACGTTATCTATAATAGTAGCATGCATTTGACCACCCAAAGCCTTCGCTGGGACGTTTTGCTCGGTAGCTTAAAAGGGTTTTCACTATCACAGTCTGCGTCGTGTCTACTTCGCTTCCTCTTTGTGTCTCTCATCACCGTGAGTGTCGCCCACTGTGTCTCCAGCCGGTCTGTCTTTATCTCCTCCTCTCACTCGCTGTCTATCGGTCTTTTTGCAGGAAGAGAAGGGTATTTCCTGTGGATTTGTTGATTTGGACTTCCTCAAATGCAGCGTGGGATTTCCCTTCATGAGAGCGCAGACTAAGGTATTAGAACTAATTGCACATTCGATTCTGACAATTCTGACAATTGCATGTCAGAATCGCATCGGTTGCTGAACTCCTGGTTTATTCTGGGTTTTTTTTTTTTGGTCCCCAGTATCATTTTGCAGTGATTTTTGACACGAGTCAGCTTTCTGGAGAAAATGACACGTTACACTTCGCAGTTCAGGCAAAAAGGTGAGTCTCAAGGGTCTGACATCTTAAAATTTAACTACACATATTTTCGGGTGCCTTTAAATGTGCCTAAACGTAATCCCCGTAGAGCGAATGCAGTTTTCATGCTCTTTACCCCTGTTTGTTACAGCGCCAATCCTGAGCACAACCTCTCTGACAACAGTTTGGATCTGTCCATCCCGCTGGTTCACGAGACCGACACAACGATCACTGGGTAGGAACATAACGAACCATAACAAACCTAAAGCTGAAAACCAGCTCGAACTGGTATGCCATCTGTTGGCTGTTGGGAGGAGAGGGAGTGTTTTCCTCAGTATGGAGCATGTCAACTTGAAAAGCCTTATCTCTGAAAGCTCTGCTTCACAGGGAAGGAAGAGAGATGTAAAACAGCCCAAGTGCTGCAGACGTGTGTGTGTGTGTGTGTGTGTGTGTGTGTGTGTGTGTGTGTGTGTGTGTGTGTGTGTGTGTGTGTGTGTGTGTGTGTGTGTGTGTGTGTGTGTGTGTGTGTGTGTGTGTGTGTGCTGTCTTTAATGTGAGGGGAGGCTTCAGAGCAAAGCTGGACTCATCCGACTCGCATCTAAACCGCTAAAGAAAACGCTGATAACATGATTGAAGCCAGAGATGTTCATGCAGCTATTTGTTTAGGTTGATTCTGTCGGCGCTTTAATCGTCGCCATTAATGCGTCTTCTGCTGTCCGCAGTGTGGTGACACCGAGCTCCTTTGTCTACGGGAACTACATCGACGCCTCTCGCTTCATCCAGTTGGAAGACATGGAGTGTGACTTTCAGCCTCTTAATCTCACATTCCAGGTAGAGCTCGTAGGGAACGTGTAGGGTTTTGGGGTATTTGTCCACGCTTCTCTACATATTCACCATACTCTCCCTTTGTCTCTTATCTTTTCCCGTCTTTATGTGGTTCCAGGCCATAAACAAGGGTCCCAGCAGGTTGCCCGGCTCCACTGTTGACATCAGGATACCCAACCGGCTGGCTGGCAGCGGAGCCGACATGTTCCACGTCATTGAAACACAGGTGGATGCCAAAAGCTGCTAAATCAGCATTATTTATCCCGGCCAAATCCTTATTCACCTGCAGGCAGACATATTTTTAGTTGATTTATCTTACACACTCGGGATCTTTTCTTCATGGCACGTATGCCTGTTTCCACCTCAAAGGACACTTTTATGAATAGAAAGCTGCTAAACCGGTGGGCCTTTTATGATGGCGTAGTCTGCTCAGTGTGAGGTACCACAAGCCAGTGAAAAGCTGAGCAAAAGTGTTGATGTTGCCACCAAAGCTAGGTAACCATTTAGTTTCACAACATTTTATATTTGGATAAAGAAACACAATACTCCCACTGGCTTTAAATGTTGTCGTAACCCTTACATTGCTCATTTCATATAGGTAGATCATGGGGGCGGCTGAAGCTGATAATTGTGTTCACTGTGAATGGGCACACGGGGTTCACTGTATCCCACCCTCCTCGAGCCCATCTGGAATCACTTCCAGGGGATCAGACAGCTTGCACGAAATGGGAATGGGACACCTGCAGAGCTGGCTACTGCCCAGTACCATCCTGAGCCTCGAAATACACACTATTAATGCTGTTAGCACCGGGTCGGGCCTTGTATTTTAGTGCAAGATATTCTTACAATTTATGCAGCGCTCCGTTTGTTCACGCATGATACACAAGTTCTTGACTGTTTTTCTCTACAAACTCCCCCAATCGTCATTATTTAGTGTGACTTCTCTGTTCTCGTGACGTTTAAAGTTAGTGCAGCCTATGCATCTTCCCAACAGCAGCGGCAGCAGAAAAACAGGACATGAGAAATGTGCCGCAATAAAAGCTGAGACACGCTGGGTTTCAACAGAGCGGACAATGAGGGAGGCCAGAGGAGATTTCCACCTCCAGAGCTTCAGGTCGGCCTGAGCGGAGGGGAAAGTGTGCCCCCGGGGCTGGGCAGTAAACCAGACACCTCCTAAATCACTCCATATGGGAAATCTGGCTGGGCGGGGTAGCTGCTTCTTTTTAGGGAGAACTTCCTGTGAGCCCTGGAGACTCATAACAATAATGGGGTCGGGCCAGTTTAGGTGAATAAAGTGCTTACGAGTCCATTTTTGCTTTCAAACACTGAATCTTTTTTAACTTTTTCAGGTAACCGAGGGCCGAGGGAACTGCACCCCTCACAGGAACCCGACACCGTGCAGCATCCCCCAGGACAAAGACAGCATCTTCCACTCCATCTTTGCCTTCTTCACCAAATCGGGACGCAAGGTCTTAGTAAGTATGCAGCCCCGACGGTGCTCTTTGACTCCTGAAGTCAGCGAAAGTCGCCCTCTGTGAGGGTTCCCGTTTTTAGTTTTTTTTTGTCAGTGCAACATCTGTTTATTACTCATGCTTCTCTCTCCCTCATAATCTCACCTGCTGTCTCCCACCCTCTGTTTCTAAGGACTGTGACCGGCCTGGAAGAGCTTGTATGACCATCTCCTGCAGTCTGGGCCCACAATTAAAAGAAGAAGCTCTGAGCATAGATATAAAGCTTCTACTCAATATTGAAATCCTTAAGAGGGTAGGAAGCATATCAGAATCTTGTTAAACCTAGTTGCAGGCTGCTGTGATTCTAATAGTAACAGTGATCGACCCTCTCTCAACCCACAGGACAGTTCCTCTGTGGTCCAGTTTGTGACGAGAGGCAGCGTGCAAGTGAATGACAGGGCGGTCGAGGTGCCAAATGGCCTGCCAGAGGACATTTCGGTGAGTATATTATGTATTATATATATAATTGTATATTATTATTAACAGCGCATTCATCCTCCACAGTATCTGTTCTATTAAAGGCACACTTGACTGGAATCAAGAAGATTAAATCATGGCACATATAATAACTACATTTAACATCACAAATAAGTGAAATCGGGCCTCGCAGCTTTTGGCAACAGATTTCTTTGTTGTGTTCAAAAACGCCTTAATGTTAATATTTTTATTTTAACGTTAGGTCAGAAAACTTGACAATGACAAACCCACAGAGATATTGTCCACTCCCTAAAGGAAGCGTTTCCCAGCCAGTGCGGAGTACGGGGCCTCAGGGTGCCATCTAGTGTCCCACCCATGTACTAGACAATACTATACAGACATATAAATAGTTTAATTTCCGATATTTCTTCATTTTTGGAAATAATTTCAATGACTAGTTACGTTTAATTTCCAGACGTGATCAGGTAGAGACTCGTTTTGGCGCTTTTGCTTCAAGCCGACGTCCTTTCAGTTGTTGTGACATGAAATTGATCCGTTTTTAAAACACAAAATTGATGCAGACGACAACCCTGCGCCAGCAAAAGCTCTAAAGCATGAAGTGAGAAAATACAACCCTGCAAACATTACATCTGTGTTTATAATGTCAGGCAGTGAAGTATGAGGGTACGCAGAATATTTATTTGGTCGCTGCAGTGACAGTGATCTTTAAACATGCTGTCATTAGAACAATCATAGAGCCGCTGCCGTGAGCCCAGAGAACAGATGGGGACTGTGCGAATACTCTATGGGGACACTTTTATCAGCCTCTTTTTGGAGTCGGGGGCCTCAGCTGTGCTCAAGGACGGATCCCTCCCCCTACTGTTGCTTGCTGAGTGATTGAATGGCCCACCGGTTCACATGTGATGATTACATTGAGCACCCAGCATGCTCGCAGTGGGATCTCTCAAGTGATTGTGCTGCTGCCCGGGGGGCTGCACCCTGCTGACCCTGAGCGTCAGACGTGCTTGGAAAATGCAGAGCTGCTATGAATATGTCCATCCCATGCTGCTCTTTCAGCCCACCTTCTAGGTTTTGGTAAACACAGTTCCCCCCCCCCCCCACAGGATCCCTGCCGGCTAAAATACACACCGACGATTTGTGGCCCCTGGCCCCAAGTTACATATCTAGCATTGCAGTTTAATGAACGTCACATATACATTCCTAGAATGGTCTGATTGCAGTTAAAGTGCAACGACGAGTCGAGCTTTAATCTGCTCTGTGCACACAACAGTTAGATTGCAAAGCTAGGGGTGAGGGGAATGTATTAATGTCGGAAACTATTCTGCAGAGATTAATCTTCATTGTTCCGCATGTTTTTCGCCTCTGCTGACAGTTGGCGTCTCAAGACATAATTGGGTTCAAAGGAGCGTTCCAGCACTGTACACTTGAGCAGTAAATTCTTTAGTCATTTCTGAAATTGTCCCAGCATAGTTTGAACAAGTTAAGCAAGATTATCTGATATTTGGGAGATTACACATGATTTGACTTTGTTGAACGGGCTTACTGTCTAACTCAATGTGATGAAAACATAAAGGGGAACGTCCTGTCACACGGTCAGCATGCTAACAAGCTCACAGTCATAACAATCTTTTATTTAGTGGTTAAACTTTTTACCATATTTACCATTAAGCATGCTATCAATTGCTTCATTCGTGTTGTTTTTCTGCTGAACGAAATAACTGATAGAAGGTGCTCCATGTCAAATAAACACTAATAAAAAAAAAAAAAATAGCGCTTCTTCAAATTAGTGAGCAACTAAAGCGCCTAAAATGACATCTACAAAAAGTAAGAAGTTGGTTGTTGCACTGCATTGCATCATTTGCGGCACATGACTTAATGATTACCCTTCTGTGTCCCTCCTTGTGTGTGTGTGTGTGTGTGTGTGTGTGTGTGTGTGTGTGTGTGTGTGTGTGTGTGTGTGTGTGTGTGTGTGTGTGTGTGTTGTATTTGAGTGTGACTCACTGACTGACGAAAGTGTTGTGTTTCAGCTGGTGTTCGAGGCGCTCCACAGTCAGGAACCGAGGGGTTACGTAGTCGGCTGGATCATTGCCATCAGTCTCCTGGTGGGAATCCTCATCTTTTTGCTGCTAGCGGTGCTTCTCTGGAAGGTAAATAACACATAAACACTCACTTTACCCCATTTCTCAACAAACTTCTTTCCTAATATTTAAAGTGAATGAGCGATAGTTGTCACAAACTTGTCACAGCCAGAGGCGTTGTGTGTCAGTATCCGCACAGTGTCCAGTTGTGCAGAGACAGCTGCAGGGAGGGGTGGGGGTCGGGGGGTGTTCGCTTTGGGCCTTTAACATCCATGAAACGGATGAAAGTCCCAGACCTGACAATGATTCACAACACGCCACTCACATGAAAGAAGAATCTCGAAGGGGAAACGGCATTTACACTGATGTCCTGAGGCCCAGTTAGCACAAGACTTCTTTTCTTTTTTTCCGGCGGGAAAAATACCACAACGAAACCTTGGAATGTAGGTCCCCACCCCCCGCCCCCCATGCCCTCAGACTTTGCCAAAATAAGCCCCCACGTACAAGAGCGGCACACGTCCTGTATTGCTCTTTTGAGGAAATACCTGAGGGGAGCACAGGTCTGTATCATTAAATGTGGTTGTGAAATGCAGATGAATGAATGGAGCCGTGGGGAGGGGCATCGTCCCAGCGTGGCTGCCTTGTTTAGATGTACAGTAAGAATCGGCTGCTCGCTTTCATTGCTTCTTTACATTACACTTGGTTGTAAAATATACATTTCAGTACAATATTACTTTTCTGAAGAGACAGCTCATTTCTACAAGGAAAAGGTTTGGTTTTCCTCCATCATGGCTGTGGTTTAGTGTATTACATTAAAAATGTGAATATTTTGAAGCACTAGCATCAATTTTCAATTTTTTATCTCCGAAATATACAATGTTTTCTATTTGTGTCACTGAAGGATAAATTCCAGATGTTTTTGACTGTAAGATATGTTATATTCCATCATAATGAATTCAATATTGACTAATTGTTGATAATAATAATAATAATAATAGCTCAAACCATATGGTTTTATTGTAGTAATGCATTTGAAAGAAGAGATTATTTTTAATGAAATGTTACATCGGCCACGCATTCACTGACGATGGTGAGAGTCAGCTGCAGTCACAAGCTATGTCAAATGAAAACCTGAACCTTTTTGCATGAATCATGTTGCTTTCCTGCAGCTGAAGGTCACAAGTGTGCAGAAATCCCAGAAAAACAACAACGATGCACTACCTAAATACCCCAGTCAGATCTGCCCTCCGCCGGACCTCACTAAACACCATTCGGGTTTGTCTCGTTCTCTGACAGATGGGATTCTTCCGTCGGCGCTACAGAGAGATCATCGAGGCTGAAAAGAACAGGAAGGACAGTGACGAAAGCTGGGACTGGATGGAAAAGAACCACTGAGACTTGCAGTGGGGGTCCCGCAGGAGCCAATGAGATTAGGGATTGGGTCGAGAAAGGTCCAATAGCACGTGGTCTCGCAGCCCAGCCGCCCCAGTGGCCCTGCAGTCTTCCATATGTGGAAGAGAAGAATATTCTCCATATTTTTTGGAGACTTTTTTTTTTTTTGTGTGTGGGAGGAATCAGGCTTCAGAAACGACATTGTGGTTTGCCAGAGGACACTTGCAGTGGAATCCGGCCAGCGAGAGCGGAGCTGGATGTCGATGGAGACCCACAGCCTTGCAGGGTTGTGGCGACAGCGTGAAATACTGATGGACGATAAAACCCTCAGGGCTGTTTTACATAGCAACTTTATTTTTCTACATACACTTTAAGCCATATTGTATAAACCTGGGCTTCAAGAAGAGGAGGGGTTTTGACGGGCCATTATAAACATACTGTATCTCAGTATGTTTTCCTAAAAGCACTGATGTTTGATAAGAATGAAGGCCTTGGCTCCATGGCTCTACTGTTACGCCAAAGATATGTCCTGTTTTTAGTATATGATTGGAGTCGTCTGTATATTCAGTTATTCCTTGGAGTGAAAGATTCTATCTTTTCTCTACTCTATTTCCGAGCTTATGAATATCTGGCTTACACATCTGACTCCCGCTTCCTCCCACCAATAACAAGCCAGAGCTAATTCGGGGTTTCGGACCCACACACACACACACAACAATTGTCCTCGCGTCATCCGTTGGGGTTGTCAGGGAGGTCGGAGAGGCGCTGAGGACCCAGCAAACCCACTCTGAGGTCATTGGGATCTGGCCCGCAGTCGAGTCTTCATTAACACTTCATTTGCCACGTTTCCTCTACTATCCACGCCTGAAGCGGTGGTGAATCAGAAATTCAGATTTCAAGCTTTGAGATTATTTCTAAGCATTCCATTTGGTTTATGGTCTGGCTTTGAAACATTTGTGTTTAGGTCTCAAAAGCGGATGTACCAAAGTGATTTTGTCTGTTACATTTGGATGCACAAAGGCTGAGAAGGTGCAACGTGTGGGAGGAGAGCGAATTATCTGCCAGGATCTGTTGCTCAGGTATGCAGCTGACTTTTTTTCAATGGCCCCCCAAAGGCTTCCAGGTTCAAGTGAAGACTCAAGTGTTGTAAGATATGAATCCTATCCTCTGGGACATTAGTCCTGATCATTTTGTGTTCCCCAAAACATTTGCAGACTTCTTCGAAGCGGACGATATTGTATTTAACTATTATTTTATAGGCATTTAGTGTGAAATTTGACATACGTTGCGCTCCATAGCCAGTTGAAAGTCTGGGATGGGAGTCCACCTTCAGTCATTTACTGGGGCCATGGCATGAGTAATGCCCTAAAAGTAGGTGGGATTTAATCACTTCACATGAACGAGCTCTTTGGAACTCATGGGAAAAGCTCATTTTAAGTCAACATGAAGGAATGTCCGCTCCCCAAAAATCTGCCACTCTTAAAGTTCAGAGCTTCTCAGTACTCAAATGTTACCCTCTCTGTTCGCAAGTCTCTAAAAGCTGTGGTTCATTGTGAATGGAAGTTTACAGACCACAGTGAATTACATTTTATTTTAAAGGTCCCTGAATTAATACATTTATTAAGTATTTTATACATTTGCGCAGCTTTATCTCAAATAAATATGGAGAAAGAAACGGGACAATAATTCATTATATCAAAACTGATATTTCACAGTAGTCTGCAGTCAGGTTAAAATGTGCAATGCCAAAGAACTAAAATTATATTTTGAAAGTTTTCACACGACGGTGCTAACGCACTTCATGGCTCACTGTGATTGCTTGGTTTTCTGTTTTGTGCTGCACAAACCTTTTAATGATCCGGTTTATTTTATCATTTAATTCCACTGGCACGACAGCATATACTGTACACATTCACGATTTTCTTAAACCAATGCTATGCTTTTATGCAGAGGAACCAACACAATTCTATGATTGACGACATTTGAACTGTGATGACGTCAATCGCACCGTTATTTGGGGTTTTTGTTCTCCGTATACTACTGTCACTGAATATCATTTTCATTATAGTGTGATGTAGTGTGTATGTTTGATGTTAAAAGTCATGTTGGAGCTGTATATTTATCTGTTGATAAAAAATGGAGTGAAATTTCATGGCTGTGTATGTGGTTTTGTCCGTTAGTTCTTTTTTGAAGGTGTGTGTTGCTCTCTGCTGGTTGTTTTGCTTGAATGCACACAAACACACGACACACTGTATAAACTACATATTCAAAGTTATTTGAAAACTCTTAAACTATTTTTTGCATATGGTCAAACATGTTTTTGGTGTAAGTTTAAACAATACAGCAGGACTTTTCTATTAATGTTTTAATTATTAAAATTATTCTTAAGTAGTTCCAAAAGTCCTATTTGCTATCTGTCAGAGGTGCTTGTGAATGAGTTTTGTTTGGATAAACTTTTATTTAAAAAAAAAAAAGAAAACACTTCAATCAAGGGTCATCAATTATTAATAATTAATAAATAATAATAATTTTAAAGGATGGGTTTTACTTTAACTGTCAAAGTGCTGCACGTCAAGACCGATTTTATTTTCAATAAGTGGCCTCAATGGACTGGGAAGAAAAGGAACCAACTGAGACAACATCTTATCTGTGCTTAAGCTCTAAGGTACGGCCTTTTTTCTCATCACAAGCTTGTTTTATTTGTTGTAGAATATTGGAAGCATAAGTAAATATAAAATGTTGTGCCCTCTTTATCTTTGTTATGAAGTCACAGCGTACCATGTCAAAGAAGCAATTAAACCATCACTGTATAAAATGTTGACAAAAATCAAAGAATATTAGAAAAAAAGCAGTCTAAAGAAGTAATAAAGGTCATTGTGCGTGTGAAAAAAGTCCTAGTATAGTATGTGGACAATAAGTCATAAAAGGTTTGAATGCCCAAAATATCCTTTGATATCATGTAAAAATCATGGTACTAATAATATAGTGTGTTGAAAAAAGTCATTAATACAAACAGTAAAGTCATAGTATAGCAAGTTATAGTGTTAGACTGTTAGTGTATGTAAAGCATAGTGACAAATGTTTAAAAAAAAAGTAATTGTATCGTCAGAGTCATTAAAAGTCTTTAAAAAGTCATGGTCCATCATGTCAAAAATCTTATAATATAGTATAATATGTTTCTCAAAGTATAGCAGTTCAACAAAAAAAAGATTACGTCATAATATCATTTGTAAAGGTCCAATTCTAATATGTCATCAGATGTCACGTAAGTCTTAGATCAGTCGTGAAAAAGTCCTAGTGCTGCGTGTTGAAAGATGCAATACTTTAATCCTGAATTAATCCTGCCTTGGACGTTGGTTCATTATTTCATTATTTTCATTGAAAACATCGAATCCTCTATTATACTGAAATATTGAACGCAGATGCAACAGGCCTCAAAAGCCAGTTAAGTCACTACAAAAGCATTAAATAAATAGAAAACCAGTGTATATGCGTAACAAAGAAATGCATTTAACAACTCAAGCTAGTCAGGTTACACCAACAACAAGTGCGCGGTCAGGTGACCCCCAGTTGCTATGAAACACTGATGCCAAGCACAAGCTCCTCTGTGGAGCACATTCATTATTAACCCAGCCACGACAGTGAACACATCACCTTTTGACGGGAGAGACGAGACCCTCTGACAGCCATGTCCTCTCTGTTGGATCCCGGGTTGATCAGGACAGCGGTGGTGGAGCAGGTTGTCGCCCCCATCGCCAGTCATCTGTGCCACTTGGTGCTGCTGTGTGAGAGTGCAGAGGGACCTCAGCAGTTCTGCCAGCTGGAGGGTGCAGCTCAGGCGGTGGCCAAAGCCACCGTGAACATGGCAGCAGTGGCCTCCAGGTGCGTACGTTGGGGAGCTGGAGAAGGAACCGATAGGCGGAATGCATTCTCCGACTAACGCCAGGGGCGTTTTTTTCCCTTTGCAGGCAAATGGGTGACAGGGAGGACGAGGTTTTTCACACAGAGATGTCGTCCCTGCTGGAGTCGGTCACCGTGTCCGGTCAGCACGTGCTGTTGGCAGCCCAGAAGCTCAGCATTCAGCCCGGCTTGACTGAGCACAGGGAGGAACTCATCGCCGCAGCACAGAACGTCTTCCTGGGAGTAACCAAAGTAAAGTAGGATTATTTTGCTCCTGGTTTAAAATCGGACCGCAAATGTGTGTACTAAAGAGGCTTATGTAAGCAAACAGACGCAGGGAATGCATTTCATTTAATGACTCATTAAATGCAAAGAAAGTTTCCAATGGATTCCATCTTCCACAGCTGCATATGCTTCATACTTTCTCAGAGATTTCCTATAGTGTGGATATTATTAAACGTAACAATAGGCCAAACCGCTGATTGAGCCTTAAATTTGAACATTTTCTGCAAATAAAAGCCCTAATTGTCCAAGGCAAGCTTTACTCTACCTATCAATGTCCGAGGTTTAGGACAATCGCCAAATGATCTGGGACTTCTGTCTTACCCCAACATTTATATTGCCCATGAAATGATGCACAAGTCTCTTTATTTATCAAATACCTTTGCACAACTCTTTAGAACTTGTTCTAAGTAGAATACGTAACAAGTCCCCTTCTCTGTCTCCCCCGTCAGGTTCTGTTAGTGGACGATGATGCTATCGTCAGGACAGTGGTGGCTGCTGCCGATCGAGTTTCGGAGTGCTTATCTGAGCTCGCCTTCGCCTCTGACATCAAGTCTCTGCTTAAATCTTTCCAGGTGTTTTCTGAAGCTTTGCTTTTCCTCAACAATCTGACCGTTGAGAGAGCAAATGCCTTACAGGACCCCAGACAAACCAAGCAGCTTCTGGATTCCCTGGAGACCCTCGGGAGGTGCATCTCCATGCTGCACACAGCCATGTGCACGACCATCAAACACCCGACCAGCGAGCAGGCGCAGCACGCCAAGAGGTACATCCTGGACAAGGTGCACAGCACAGTGAGGGACATTGTTGTAACTCTGAAAAGCGAACGCCGCAGTGGACCACTGGGTCCTTGTGGGTATTACACAGCGAGGAGAAACAGTCTGTTGCTGCTGCTCACCAGTTCCCCCACCTCCTCCATCCCAGGCGGTGGCCTCGACAGTGTGGTGAGAGATCTTGTGTTTCACTGTATGGTTGTGGCCAACACTTCTCGTAGAGAGCTTCAACAGAGCGTGGTGGGCCATTGTCTTCACGTCCTGCAGCTCTGGTCCGACATAAGTAGGGTTTTAAAGTCCACAGAGGAGGATTTGAGGAAGAACCTTGAGAGTACTTGTCATTTTTTGGTGCAGCAAATAGGAATGCTTGATGAGGCTTTGATGACTAGTGTTCTCTATCAAGTCCTGGACACATTTCCTGCAGCATCGGCGACGGTTGAGGAACTTCTAAGACTGTCGGGAAAAATCCTGGTCGCCGATTGTCCCACAGAGATGGATCTGTCCTTCCTTCAGGCAGAAGTTGAGGACGTCATAGCTTCCACTGACAGAATAATCAAAGTGGCAAATTTCCTCTCAGCTGTCGCCGTTGATGCAAAGAGTTTGGAGAGTGTGGAGAACTCGCGAGTCGGCCTCGCCAGACTCAGAGCTCAGCTCGCACCCCTCTCTCTGGAGCTGGCGGATAACTCGATGCAAACCGTTCAAAAGATTCACGAGGCCTGCGAAAAGTGGCAAGAGGAGACTGGTCAGCTTCAGGAAGCCCTCAGTGATGTAATGGACGTGAGGGAGTTCACCAGCGCTGCCGTCGATGAGGTGGTCAGCGATCGGCACGGATGTGACTCAGCGCACAGACAGCAGAGCTGCAAACTGTTTAAACAACACGCCGTGAGCCTTTTTTGTCACATGAAGCTGGCGGTCGACTCGGTGAGGAGGCACTTGGACAGAAGTGACGACCCCATCTACAGAAACGGGCTGCTGGTGCTGCTGAAACAGGTTCAGTCATCTGGAGCCAAAGCGAGTGAGTCGGTCAGAGACGTGCTCTTAGGTTCCGGTCTAAGCGTGGAGGTATATTCCACCTTTTCACACAATGTGTCCGCTGCCATCAAGCATTTAAAAGTGCTCAGAAAGGGGCTGGACGGCCTACAGCATCCACACCTCCTGAGCCCGCTGCGAGGAGACGCACGTCGGCCCGAAATCTCACAGCCGTGCGTGCCTGTAAAAGGCCCCCGCGAACTGGACGCGGGTCACATGACGAGAGGCCGTTCGGTTTTACAGGCTACGGAGAAGGATCCTCAAACCGAGCACGAGGAGGAACACTCGCACGAGGAAAGCATAGAAGCAGAACTGGCTCGTAAATATGATTTACTGGTCCCAGCTGTCCCCGTTGAGCTGAAACCGATCCACAGAACTCTTGAATTTGACCTTTTACCCCTCATGTACGAAGTCGTGACTGTGACTAAAGGGAAAGATGTGACACTACTGAACCGGGTCTGCACTGGCGTTTTTGAGCTGTCGAACTGCTACGCCCAAGCTGCGAAGGAGGCCGTGGCCGTTGTGGACGCGCTTGACTGTCAGACGTTGGAGAGTCTCAGAGCAGAGCTGGTGTCACTGACTCCGCTGCTCGTCCAGACGGCCCAGGAAACGGCGATGAGCTCGGCGATGAGCGCGGACAGCGTCTGCAGACACAGCGCGCGCTTCTCTGACCTCATAAACAACACCAGGAAGGTTTTGCTGCCGGTCGCTGGCACCTGGTACAACGCTGTTTACACTCAGCTGCAAGGAAACCCGCCGGCAACGCCCGCCACCGTTGCGCGGCAGCTAAACGAAGTGATGACTTTATGCGCTGAAGCCGTCCAGCTCTTGACGTCGTCCGGTTTAACGTCCCAAGGCGACGGTCACGAAACATTGAGCGTTTTACACAACAAGCTGAACAAAGCCCAGAACAACACAAAGCATCTGATCGAGTTTTCCTCCTCAACGGACAGACCGGGGGATCAACTCGAGGGCCTCTGTGTCCTCTGGGGCCTGTCGATTCAGGTGTTGCTGCGTTCGCTTGACAAGATTTTGGGGACATCAACCGCGACGAACCCGCTGAGCCCCCAGAGACACGTGGCCGTGTTGTCTGAGACCTCGCTTCGGATCCAGGAGGCGACGAGGTTAACCTGCCAGAATTGCAGAAGTGCGTACAAATCCAAACAGCTGGCAGGATACCAGAATGAACTAAAAAGCCTGACTGAAGCGTATCTCCAAGCTGCAGAGGAGCTCGACGCGATGCCCAGCGTCACGCAACTTGCAAAATCTGATGTCTTCCAGAGGCATCTTTTGATTAAAATCCGAGCGCTTTCCTCTCATTTAAACAAGACAAACAAAGATTACGACGCTGCGCTTCAAAATATTGTCAGTGTCGCTCTTTTTTCTGCTGAACATTTCAAGGAGAGCAACACGGAGGACACAGAGCGAACATTTGACACCGCTGCTGAAACGCTGCTTGAAAATGTCAAAACCGCAACCAAAAGGGTCGAGGACAGCTTGCACTTCATCCGCGACCCACATGCGCGTTCCCACCTGAGGTCCGTCAACGACCACCTGCCTTTTCAGATCTCGGATGTAATCAGCAGGGCGAGGCTCATGCTGGAGACTCACTATATTAGTGACACACTCAGTCTGGACGTGCAGATCCAGTGCTGGTCAGCCAAAGCTCGTTACGTGGCGGAGGAGATCAGGAAACAGGACGGGATTCACCAAGAGGTCAAAGAGGTCATCACGGCCGGTCTGCAGGGCAGAAGCCTTGAGGATAGCACAGAGGCGTCGGCCGGGGGGCCGTCTAAAGTAAAAGAAGGGGGATTTCCCTGTGACGTGACAATGACGCCGTGGCAGAGAGGCAACGCGGAACGCGTAGATGCTGCAGAAACAAATACTAATGCGGTAAAATATGGAGATGGTAATATTGAAAATGTAGGTATTTCATCAAGTTACACTATTATTCAATTACCTTTCGGTCACAATTAATCATATGTTTCTCTGCAGGACCGGGTCGGGTCCAGCGGGCCCAAAGAGACTCATTCGCTGACGTCCACAGCCCTTTTTCTAAAGCAAGAAAGTGACAGCTGGGATCCCAAGGACAACAGAATTGTCCAGATGACCAGGAAGACGGCTGACACACTCTGTTACATGACTCAGTACCTGAGGAAGAGAGGCCCAATACTGGTAACCACCACCAGAGGGTACTTTACTCCCTTGACCCTGATATATTTTGCACCCTCATCCACAATCATTCCATTTTCTTTCAGAATAAGGAGGCATTTGTCACCGCAGCCAAAAACGTGATCTCAAACTGCCAGTCAGTCACTCAGTTCATCCGAGTTATTGCCAACCACTGCCTGGATAAACAGTCCACAGTTGAACTCTCCCTCATAGTTGAGCAAATTCTCACCATCACTAACCAGTTCAGCATCATCTCCAGGTAAGAAGAACAAAGCGGTAAATCCCACACTGAACTGAGATAAAAAACAACGGCGATGAGAGCGTTTTTCTTCATCTCCACTCAGCGTCAACGCTGTAACACCCGGGTGCAGATCATCCGACGAGATCCTGGTGAAGAACGCTCAAAATCTACTGCAGACGGTCCTGCGGGGGGTCCGCGCTGCAGAGTCAGCCTGCATCACAGTAAATCTAACAGCAAAATAAGAGATGACTATGAGAAAGACGGAGGCTCAGACACTGAAGCGGCTCAGTGAACCTCTCGTTTCAGGGGCTGAAGCAGCCTGAGCCGGACTCGGATGGTGCCGAGGCCACGGCCTTGTGTTTCCAGTGGAGGAGGAAACTGGAGATCCACCGAGCCCAGCAGACCTCGAACACGGAGACCGACGAGCTGGGCTTGAGGAAGACCTCCACCCACCCGGCGGCCCCCAGCCTTGTGCCGCCAGTTGGCTTCAAGTGACCACCACCCCTTCAAAGCACGAGTGGAAACAGTGTCTCAAGAAAGAAGTGTAAAATAGATCACACATTTAGTTTATTTAATAAGATAATGTGAAACACGGGGCTTTTCACAGACTTTCACATTTATATTGATAAGTTAGTCATTGTTTTGCGCACTAATGAGACAATGCACTTTGATGTGTGACTGAACTGTTTTATGTCTTTATTTCAGGTATTCATAATAAAATCACTGAAGTGTAACAAGCGTATGTGTTAAAATGCCATATAGTATTTTCACAACCATCAAAACTGACAAAAAAAGCTTTTTTTTCATTAAAACACTCAAAAACAGGCTGTACATGTGATACTAAATATGTATATACACAGTGTGAAATATGAAAATGTTTTTTTAAAGTACATAGTTTAGTTTAAGTCCAACACAGCTCATTTGAACAGAGACTGGACTTTTTAAATACACGCCAACATCAAGCGAACAACATCTTTTTGTAGGACACGCATGACTCATCTGGAGTCAACTTAACAGGAATAACGTTCAGATCATCTCAATGCAAAGCCAGCCAGATAACATCGGCTTTCTTTGTAAAGTAAACTTACTAGTTGTGATAAACTGTTCGATATCGATATTTACAAGCTTGTCAGCAGTGAGGGTTTTGAGGAATGATGATGTCGAATTAAATGAAGTAACCAGTGATTGAAGTCATTTTCTGTCATTGCAGCTAAAAGCCCACACGGTCACTTTACATCCACAAAGCGTTTAGCTCAGACGTTTGCCAAAACAGAAGCTGAGTTACAGCAAAATTACACATTTCCTCTCAGCTGAGCAGGGAACCGTCTCATTGAACGAATAGATGTCACGATTTAAAAATTACAAACTCATATCGGTGTCAAGTCAATAAAAATGTAAATTTTCAAGAAAACACCTGTAGACTTATTGTGGAAAAAGTACCTCATTATAAAAGTAAGATCGTATAATGTAAAAGTGCTTTGAAATAAGGAAATACAAAAGAAAACAATTTAAGGGAATATTTCAGTTCTCTAAACTTATATCGACTTGACAATATTTTAACAGGATGAATACAGGTGAATTCTTTGAGAAGACTATACAGATTACCATAGTTTCTTTTTCTGATCTTGTAAAAACATACATGAATCAAAAAGACCTTAACAATCACTTTCAAAATACATCATAACAATAAAATGGTTGTGTTAAAAGCAACTATGCACTGTGTACAATAGATAGTACGTCAAGCTATACAGGATCATTTATGTACAGAAATGAATAAGTTCAGGCAAAGCTGAATAGAAATGTCTCATCAGCACACCGACCTGTGACTTCATATATTTCCACACTGGGCTGCTTACTGACAGAAAGGCGAAGCAGTGGGATCAAAAGTCTTGAACACATCTTTGAGTGTCCTGTCGTCTGCCTCCTCCTGTGGATCTTCCTCTTTTGGTTCCTCGTCCTGTTTGTCCCGTTCCTTCTTCTCCTCTTGCTTATTTTCCTCCACCTCCTCCTGTGCTCTCGTGGAGCCGTGTCCGCCCAGCTTGGCCTGCCTCGGGTCGGCGTACTGGGGTCGGATTAGCCCGGCCAGTGCCTGGATGGGGAGGTTATGAACCGCAGGGGGTTTGACAGGCGAGGCGGGAGGCACCGTGGGAGAACCGGAAGGCGGAGGCCGATCCGAGGCGACGGCCGTGCCTCTGGCCTCCTCGAAAGAACCGCTTTGTTGGGTCGGTGAGGGTGGCGGAGTACTGTCTTTCTTAGCTGGGAGTTTCAGAGTCAGGGTCTTTTTAGGCGGCTCCGCCTGCTCCTTCTGTTCGGTTTGGTTCCGAGGATCGTACAGACTGATGCCGCCGAGGATCGTAGTGGGACTCTCGAGACCTCCGCCGGAGGACGCCAGGCGAGGGGCGTAAGGAGGCAGCCGCTCAGGCTCCGGCTTAACTTGCCCCGCTTGAGGAGAGGAGCTGACGCCGGCCTTCTGTAACCTCGGGTCCACGGCTCCTCCCACAGAGAAGGGCACCTTCTGACCCGGCGGCTTGGAGTCCAGACTCCCTTTGCGCTTCAGTCTAGGATCCAGAGTCTTCCGTTGACGCGGATCCACGGGCCTTTCGGTGGAGGATCGGGACTCTACGGACCCAGACGGCAACCGGCTCCTACGTTCCTTCAAACGGGCGGCGACCAGTCTGGGGTCGATGGCCGGAGGGCTGGAGACGGGGGGAAGGTCGGACAGGCTGGTTCGGTTCATCTGGGCATCTGCGATTAGAGGGGGCAGGGGCAGGTTGATGGAGTGTTCCTGTTTGGGCACCAGGGAAGGGATGAGGTCCTCCGGGCCCCACACCACCGTCTGTGCAAAGGCCGGCCGCTGCAGCAGGATGTCCACCCGGATGTGGCTGAACTGCTTCAGCTGGCAACGGGGGTCTCGCAGCGCCACGTCAGAGCTGGCCTCCACGGGGATGAGCACAGCTTTGTCCCGGAGTTCCCGCTCTCCTTCGTCGTCCTCGTCCCCCGTGGGAGGCCTCTGGGGAGCAGCGTGGCTCTGCTGGCGATAGGAGCTCTGCTCCACGGGCCTCACCTTCCGGGGGTCCCTGGAGAACCTCGGGTCTGCGACGCCATCCGACTCCTTTTTCATGTCAGGCGGTCGCTGTCGAGGGTCCGTCTTCACGCGGGGGTCGCTGGGCGGGGCCCTCTCCTTCACCAGCCGGGGGTCACCCAGTGCCGGGGCAACTGGGGCGGTCGGGGGGGGCTTGGACTGGGACTGCTGCATCTCACTCTGCTTCTTGAGCGATTGCAGGATGGAGGAAACACAACTCCCATCCTCCTCGTCGCTCGAGTACCAGTTTGTGGTTTCATCTGCAAGAAATACCAAATTATAATTTCACCTTTATTACTGACGTGATTGGGTCCTTTACCTTGTTAATAATAATCTGTTTACTTCAGTCCGTGCTCCATTTCTGAGGGCCTGAGTGTTATTTAATCTTAATTAAGTCAGCACACCGGGGGAACTTACCTCTGTTTGTACTGCTATCATCCTGGCCTTCTGCTCTCTGTGGCTCATTTCCCTGTAGATGTGACTCTTGTTGCTGCTGCTGCTGCTGCTGAGTCAGGTGTAATAAAATGGCCTTCTGTACAGCCGGCGGTAAGGACTGCAGCTGGGACTCTGCACCCATCTGCTGCTGGAGGTTCTGCAGGGCGGCCATACCGGGGTCTACTACTTTGAAAATAAAACAGAAACCCAATACTTGCAATTTCACTGAAGCTTAAAACATAAACTGACCTTTTAGATAACAATATAAACACTGCATTCACCTCCTTGTGGACCGATGACCTGGTTTCGGAGGAAGTTGCTGAAGAACTCTACCGGGTTCTGACCCATCGACGGAAAAGGGAAGAGACTCTGCAGCATCTGTAGATCCGCCGGAGGAGGGAACGGAGGCATCGGCATGTTGCTTCCATGGAAAGGTGGGGGTGGACACGGGGGGATCGGTGGCTGCATTGGAAATCTGTGCGGGGGGTGCTGCCCCTGGGGGCTCTGAGGCCCGGCCGGTCCAGCGGGGTGACCCATGGGATCAGGAGACCCGGAGGGAGGAACAGGAGGAGGAGCAGAGGGGCCTGAAGGCGCCATGCTCCCACTCGGCGAGTCCTCGGACCCGGCGCTGAACTGAGCGGCGCCTTCACCCTGATTCTGGGAGAAGTTGGATCCGCTGAAAAATAATGTGCAACGTGAGGTCAGGGGGGGAAAAAAGCTCTTTGGAGTTTGATTAACGGGGGATTTCAGTTACCTGAGACCAATTTTTTGTGCCAAGTCGACGGTAGGCAGGACGGAGATTTCAAACAGCGAGGGGATCTTCTTCCCCCCATCCGTAGGACTGCTCTGACCCGGGGTGGGCAGCAACCCCACCCCAGGAGGAGGCTTGGGGAGCGGAGCGATGCCCTGCTTTCTCAGATCCTCCAGCTCCAACTCGTCCTCGCGGGCGTTCTCCTCCTCGGTGTTGATTATCTGATAGGTGAGAAAGGAGAAATAAGACGGCCGTTGACCAACGACAGCCGAGTGTCGCTTAGGATAGAAGGTTTATTAAAAGCATTAAAAAAAATTAAAAAAACACACTTTGATTTTGATTCACCTTATCAAGCAACTCTTTGGTGACATCGTTCAAAGCCTCGTGGGAGAATTTGCAGTTGTCCCCTTGATAACATTTGGCTCCAGTATGAAAGAACTTGCACGGGTATTCATGTACACTCGTGAGTTAAGGAGTAGGACCGATTCAAAAATCAGGCAATGCGATGACACAAATGTAATTCAAACACTGGTGCAGAGTGAAGGATATTGTGCATGTAAATGCAATGATCTCCTTTACTGCAGTATCCTTGGAGGTAAAACTTACAAAGTTCCCTCTTCTTATCTGGTATGACAAGCTCGTGTTCAAACTTGCACTGTTCCCCCTGTATGAATCAAGGACAAATATTAAATAAGTTTCAGCTTACAATGTGAAATCAACTAAACCAACATGGACGCTGCTGTACCTTGATGCATCGACCCTCCAGGAAGTACTTGCAGATGTATCTACCGTTGTGTTCGACCGTGTGCTGATTGATGAACTCCTTGCTCATAATTGGTCGTTTCTTCTGAAACCCAGAGGAATGTTTTCCTTCCTGAGACAAAAAATAAAACAGTTTTCTCCACTTTAGTGTTAATGTACAGAACAAACTGTATTGTACAAAGATAAACCGCAAACTCACAAGCTGAAACCCTGTAAAAATAAAAGAACGCATTACATTTTGAGGTAGACGCTAACAATACAGGCAGCGGCTAATACAACATTTCATGTATTTAAATATCGGGGACAGTTGTGCCTCGTATTCTACTAAAATAATAAATAACACCAATACATCTGGCAGATTTGTTTTGGGCACACGTACCGGCATCATGTCTTCCATGCAATGGTCCCCCCCTCGGCCTCGTCCCCGTCCTCCCCAGGGTTTTCCCTTCAGCTTCTTGTTCTTGTAGAGCATCCCGCGGCCTCTTCCTGGGCCGCTCCCTCTGCCCCGTCCCCGCTGCCCAACTGAAGACGGAAGAACGTAATAGTGAAGTCCAGATGATCGCATGTGAAAAGTGGTGGTGATTTTGGAAGAACAACAGAGGGACATTCATACAGTGCTGTTGTTTCATCCCCCTCATGCTTCCTCTCTTCATCTGGCCCTGGGCATGGCGTCCCCTCCCACGACTCTGGGAAACGGAATCTTTCGACTGCGAATACTCGGACATGTCGTCTTCGTAGTCCTCCTCCTCCTCCTCGTAGTCGTACTTGTCGTCGCTGTAGTCGCTGTATTTTTCAAACTCGCCGCTCTTGTGCTGCGGGGACTTCTGCGAGTTGCCGTGGGCGCCCTTCGAGTCGCGTCCGTGCTGGCAAAGGTCAAAGGTCAAGTGAGAAAAACGTCCACCAGTAGTGCCCCTTATGAAAAGGGAAGGGTCAGCATGGCGGCGGCGGTGATCTCACCTGAGAGGACGGGCCCTCAGATCCCTGGCTCTTGCGGTTTTTGGATCTCTCTGGTCGGTCGTAGTCAGAGTCGTAGCTGTCCGAGCTGGAGCTGCTGGAGGGGGAGTGGTGCTGAGCAACAAAAGGAAAAGCACATTATTCAAGTGAATTATTACGTAGCTTGAAATGATGCCTTCACGCCGTTGTTATGGCTTACTTTGGGTCTGTCGCGCCTCCTCCTTTTGGACCTCCTCTTCTCTCTGGTCTTCTTGTATCTTTTCCTGGAGTGTCTGTGAGTCTTCTCTTCTTTCCCTTTCTCTTCATTACCGGCTGCAGCCTCTTTGTTTTCCTCTTCAATTCCAATCCCTTCATCATCGATTTCTCCATCTTCCAGTTCGCCATCCTCTCTAAAAGAGTCAATAGAATAAGTAGGTAGGTTATTATTATTTTTAGATCGTATTTTGTCAGCTTTAATAACCCAGCAAATAACTTATTATTTTTTATTTCTTATTAAATAATTATAAAAAAAAGTCATAATGCATTTTCCATTCATTTGGAGAAAAGTACTAAATATTATGCCTCACAGTTTCCAAATTGCCTTTCCTGCACTAAAACATCCTGTCAAAATGTAAACGCTTAGTTTTGATTTTTCTGTGAACCAGTATGTGGTTGTTTCATGAAAGCCAAATAAATGTTAAACTCAGGATGAGTAATATCAATGAAAACATCCTATTTTTTGACTGCAAGGTTAGTTCGTATATTTTATGACCCCCTGTACTCAGAGTTAAGTATGATTTAGGCTCAAATTGAACCTTCATGACTAAAGGTCCACAACTACTGCAAAGTAAAAGTAGGTTATTATTATCAACAAACTCAATGGGGCTTAAAGGCCTAAGCACCCCTCTAGGAGCATTTGAAAGGCATAACTGCAAGAATTGTTGTTGACGTTTAAAGACACAAACATCTACTGCTGTTATTAAACTTTTCGGTGTTCTGTGACTTTGTGCACCTACATTTATATTGACCTCTGTGTGTCTGCAGAGGAGCTGCTACTAAATTACGACTGAGCTGGTGACCAGGCGACTATTCACTTGTATATATTTAGATGGTTAACCTTTAACAATATCCCCTGGCAGTTAAAAAAAATCAAGCTTTTGTACCGTCTGATTCACATTTACAATCATGCATTTACCAGCTGATCACTCATCCCAGTTTAAATGTTATTTTTTCTAAAATGTGAAATAAAGGTCAGCGCATTAAACAAAAACACCTTGCAAAGGGAATGAATGTCCAACAAACAATCCAGGTCTGTTTCCATAAACATAATTTACAATGACCTTTGACACCAGTGTGAATCGGGCCTCAACCGGGCTCCCTTCATACAGCCAGATAATACCTACATTTATTTTTTGATCCAGTTAAAATAGGCAGAGAACTTTAAAAGGCTAAATATGAAACATTTGCCAATTTAAAGTCACATTTGGTCAGAAATTATGTAACTGTAGACTGATCAAATCTAGGAAAATACTTAGTTCTAGAATGACTGGACGATGTTATACACATATCACAGCATGCATATTCAACTTGCACGTGCAAAATGGAACCACAACCATCTTTACCGAGCACAATTAGACCCATGCAATTTACCTTTCCAACACATTTTAAGATTTTAAAATGTAATTAAGAGGGGAAACAGGTTCCCAGGGTGAGGCATGCAAGGAGTAACACAGGGACTGGCAGCCCTCCAAACTACTACACCAGCTTATGTTCCAACCAAACACCGCACCAGTTGTTTCCTCTTCTCTGCTTGATCGTGTCTTAAACAATAACATCACCTGGGGGGGAAATATTTGCTTTAACCCCCAGGAAACTTCTGACCTCCTTTGTTAAACATGATTCTACAGCCCTCCGAGGACTTTCAGACCAGTCCGCGAGGCACACAAGTCTCCCTGCCGGCACCGCCGCCCGCTGCCCGGCAGGGGGCGCGCCGCGGGGATGGGCGTGGCCCTGCCTCTTACGTCACACGTCTTTCGCATCTGCAGACGGCAACAATGAAGCCATGACATTCATCCGAGAACCGCTGCGACACAAACGACGAGGCTTCGCCATCTCGCGCGGAAATGATCGTGTCGTGAACTCTAATCTATTTGGAAAGCGATATCTCCGTTGCACCAGAGAGGCATGCAAATATTTTTTTTAGGAGGTCGGGAGGAAGGGGGGGGAGACTGTGGACCTTAGATCCTGCAATTCGTGGGTAAATAAAGACGGTAACACAAGCACGTAGACCCACCACAGCACTCAAAACGCACAGATGAGCGTATTAAGAACGGCATAAGAACGGTACTCGACCTTTCATCCCTTGCAAGCTCAGAGTCTGTCATGTTTTTGTCAAGAACGGGGGCTGGGGGACTGGAAACCAGGCTCACAGAAGCCATTTGGAAAACGGATCTGCCTCCTTTCTCCCCGGTACGAGAGTGAATTAAACTCAGTCACTCGAGGAGACGTTGGGTTGTGAGAGATGCTGGAAGATTTCAGACTGGAAAAAAAACTCACGGTGTTACATGTCTCGACAGAGACCGTGAACGGACACTGTCCTCTTTCATATCAATGTCGTTTTAACTCTGTGAGCACAGCTCGATACCCCGCCTTGCTAATGTCCCGTCGGTTGACAGCTGCCATGGTGAAATAGAGGAGACGGAGGGAGAAACAGACAGAGGTGTAACCATGTTCGTTGATTTCAGCATCTTCCTAGGATTTCTCAACAAGGATATCATCTCAAAATGGCTTCTGAGGTCTGCTGCACATTCCTAAATCATGTATTCCTCCACGGACATATATAGTCCTTTGAGGATCAATCTAACATGGTTACGGTAAACTCTCGTCTGCTATTGGTTCAGCATCGCCCGGGCGACGAGAGCTGCAGTTTCTATTGGCTCAAAGCAACGTCAGTTATTTTCAACATCTGCAACAACAACTACGTAAAATACGCACAGCTATATTCTCGATCAACGTTTACATTTACGGGCGTGTCTATTACGCAGTTACAACAGCCCGAGTGTATGACAGTTTTGAAGGCAAAAAAGATAAAGTCGATTCCCTTTCTCGAGTCTTTTTTTAGCGTCTTTGTATTTAGACAGTGTCTCGGGTTCGGGCGCTCTGCAGTCCCGCCATTGACCACAAGGTGTCGCTCTGCTCCTACAAGACAAAACGCTAAAATACTTGCTTGTAAAACTTTTCACAAACAAACATAATCCACGTCCGGTTGTGAGTAAAATGTGTATTAAAGGGTCCACTGTAGACTCAAAATTAGTGTTGTTCATCATAGTCTACAAAAACAATGTTGCCGTAATGGTCGGCGATAGCTATTGGTTAGGAAGACGTGATTTCACGGTCAGAAGACGTGAAATCACGTCTTTTGGTAAATGAGCATCGTACAATACCGAGGAAGATCTTATTTCGAACATATCGAGTCATTGGAGTTTGTTAGGAAAAATAATACAATTGTCCCCCACCCCCCTTTAAAAAAAACATTTATTAACAAACACAATTAAATGCATATCATACTCCTTATATTTACCAGGTAGCCTAAAGTTATGCTGTCCCTGACAGCAACGCGGAGATGTGAGGAGAAAAACACGCACATGTTCCGGAGGGTCTCGGTGGGAGGGATTCTACTCCGTGCAGGAAACAGTCACGGTGGCGTGCAGAGCTCCAGAGGCTGAACCTTTCGGGTGAGCAGATAAAGAGACGGGAGCGCATCTCCGTCCCGGACACCTGACGAGCATCCTCCCAACTCTCCACCCAAGGGGACAGAAGCTCTCAGGAGATAATAAGGAGGGGGTGTTTTTTCGGGGGTCGGGAGGGGGGGGGTCGGGATTTTTTTTTTTATACCGAAGCACCAAATCTTTGGAGAACACCAACTGGGAGCAGCATTACTTTATTTTCACGGGACCGTGAGCGATGGCGCTGTCTTTCCGACGCAGGTGTTTGCTGCTGCTGTGTTTGACCGCCGTCCACAGTGATGCTGCCGTCCAGGTAACCGCACTTCACCCCAAAGCCTCGTCGAAGCGGAGCAAAATAGACTATATTTGGGAAATATTCTTAAATTTTATTAAAAGTAATCAATTTTAATATTTTGATCCTACAATCCCCAAAAAGTAGCCAGTGCTAATAATATTGTGTTTTGCACGCCTTAATCCAGTTTATTGTCAGCACAGCCTATGTGTCATTGGAAGGTTTGGGATCAGGCTGCAGTTTCCACTGGCGGAAAAGCACAAATCGTTTTTGCTTTTGTCACAATGGAGCATCTGGATATAAGTCCTTTCATGTCTTTGCCTGAAGCGCAGCAGTGTTTTAAATACTGCACAAGTCCAAACTGTGCGCATGTTGTATTTTCATGTTTTGAAGCTGGTTGTTTTTTGTGTTTGGCCCGACAAAGTGCAGGAATGTAAGGCATGTTGCAGATACATTTTTTTCTCCAATGAGCATGTGATTAATAAACCCTCCTGAAAGGATTAGAGGCACTTTCTCTGAAGAACTCTGTAATGGCTTGACAAGCTTTCTCCCTCAAGTAACTGCTAGTCTCACCCATATTTTAATACTATTTTGAGTTTTCACATTTGTGAATCTCCAATGAACATGTGACTTCCATCCTACCGCCATGCAAAATATACTGAAGAACAGAGTTTTGGACTGAGGTCATATTGACATCTGCCTAACAGCTTTTGTCCAGCTGTGTCAGCCACTAGACTTGTGATATCAAGCGGAAAGAGGAGAAGAAGAGAAGATGGTGGGCCTAAAATATCTCGTGCAATGATGTTTAATGGAAGATAGATCTCAATCGAGAGCAAATAGTGTTTAAAATAAAATAACCGGCATTAGGCAAATTTAGTAAAAACATGAATTTATTCTCATATCCATGAATACTCTCTCTAACCATACCAACAATAAGATGGGTTTGACAACGATAAGATGCTTTATCCACAGACGTGCATGGACAAGCATCAGGTGGTCGGGGTGCTCCGTCAAATGGAGAAGTTTCTGAAAGGCCAGGAGTTGCGTTTTACGGAAGGCCTCAGGATCATGAAGTCAAAGCTGGCAACGCTCCAAAACTCTGTCTCCAAGTTACCTCAAGCCGACCAGTCAGCTGGTGAGTAATGATCCGATAACGGCGCGTACCCGAGGCGTCACACTCCTCGTTCGATTCATAATTGCACCCATGCAGTTCCCGTCGTGCCGTTCCCACTGTCAAAAAGTCTTCTGTCCTCAATCATAATCTTGATGAACTTGTTCTTGTGGTGGTGATGCCTTTGCACAGGTTGATGTTGCGGGGAGCAATGAAGGGATGAATGTGACGTCATCACACATATGCTAATTGTTGGAGTTAATATACTACGTTCTGTCACATTAGCCCTTTTCACATTCAACTGCGCAATGGAATTTGGTGAAGATATTTAAGATAAAAATGTGTCTAAATGTTCCTGCGAATAGATGCTTGGTGTTTTTGGAAATGGAGGCAGGGTTTATATTTTTACATAAGTAAAACATCCATTGATAATCCAAAGTTAATACACATTCTTGAGGTGTATGCTGTAAAATAAACTTACCATAAGCATATGGTGGGCTGTAAACCATAAATACAATACAGTTTCCCAATGTCTGGTTATTCAATTGACATCCATAAAGTTACACATGCACAATACGACATTCACTGAATGATTCTTCACCTGCAGAACAAAAGAAGATTCCAAAGAATACAGTTTGAAACATTTTGGGAACATTAAATTGCTTGAAGTAAATCTTCAAACAGATTTCGCTTTTTCTGTTATGGGCTTACAAATTCATCCAACGGTCATCTCAGTTACAGAGCTGGATACCTGACAGGGGAAGTGGATTTGTGGAATTGTGTTGTTTGGCAGCAAACACTGAGACCAATTTGTTAGTGATGGACCAGTGCAGTCCATAACTCTCCAGTGTTCCTGGCAAGACGAGAGGAAGCAGATATTTTATATTTATACCAATAAAGCCTCAAAAAAATGAAAGGGCTAAAGTGAAATTATTGAAATACCAGCTTTAAATGCTCGGGATAAATATCCCCAAATCCACATAAAGAAACAATGTGATACATGGATACATTGACAATAAATGGAAGTCTGGCTGCGTGACATTGATCCTTCATAAAGTAAATGGTGGTTTTTACTCAAGGTTGAAAACATAGGAAACGTTTTCTCCACCTGGGATTAGGCTCGATGTTATGTAATGTAATTACGTTCTACATTACACAAGCCTTTCCAGCGTTGTAAAACAGCGTAACGTTTGTCTGCCGGCAAAGTTTTGACTTTGCTGCCGCGTTGAATTGGAACGAGGCCTTTGAACCGTCCTCCCCCATGGAGGCTGTGCGCTGCCCAGTGACACGTGTGCATCCCCCGGGAGGGAATGCCAGAGGATGTCGGGAGGCTTACTCGGCATGTGACCAGCTTCCTCTCTCTCTCTCACAGCTCCCACCACCTGCCCCACGCTGGAAGCCCCCGCCCACGGAACCAAGTTCGGCTCCAAGTATTTTCTCGGACACGAAGTCCATTTCACTTGTTTCCCGGGCTACCATCTCGTCGGCTCCGCCACTCGTGTCTGCCGGGACAACGGCACCTGGACCGGCATCAGCGCCGTCTGTAACGGTGAGCAAGACACAGAAGTTTCCACGCCCGTCGGCCTCCAGCACAGCCTGATTTTTACCCGTGTGTGAGACCCGTGTTGCATTTGCTTCAGGTGAGGAATGCGGCCTCACTTCAGCAGCTGCATGTTTTCATCACAGGATTAGGATCCCCCCCCCCTGTGATTTTCTCCACGTATAAACACACATCCACTACTTTTCTGATTTGGGGGGGAATGTTTTGGGCCCGGAGGTGCTGTGCCTGAGCATTATTTACTGCTGGAGTAGGAATCCCTCGTGCCAATTTAGGGCGAACTGGGTCAGAACGCCGAGCTGAAAGAGACAGCGGCCCGGAAGCCAAACTGAGCCCCCGCCCCCCACACACACACACACACATATATAGATAAAAGGCAAAGAAAAGAAGCATTCTTCAGAGTGGCTGGAACTCATCGGTGTACTGAATGAAGCCCTCATTAAAATGGCATTAAATGTCTCGGAACACAGAAAAACACCTGTACTGCATTCCACTGGGGGGGGACCTCCAGGTTCCCCCTCCTTGTGAAAGCCGGTGGTTGGGCTACTGTAAGACAAACCCCACCTCTCCTGCTCATGTTTCCCGGCCTCTTCTTAGCCTCACTGGATGGGGTTAGGTGCCGACATTATATCCAGACCATCATGCTCTGATAGCACTGAAGTATGTTAAGCATGCTATTGATTGCCCGGTCAGCCTTTGCTAGTGGCGCTCCCGGGTTGAACATGTGCATACGTTTATTGACGTTGATGGTTAAAATAACAGGAGAGGGCTCGACTCCGCACAGTATTATCGCTGTGAAAGTTTTCTTTCAGCCAAGGATAAGTGGTCTAAATTTAGTCATGCTTAAAAAGCAGAATTGACAGAGTGTGAAAACTTTAAAGTTAGGAAATGTTTAAAAATATCAAGCCGGGTGAAACGCGTCTCTTTCATGTTATGGCCCTGCGGTGGCTCCTGGGGAAGCCAAATAAACATTAAAGGGATTGGTTTTCATGCAGCGGCGGCTGCTTCATCATTTCAACGTCCACACAACTCTAAGCGATGATATATTATAAGTAAGATCTAGCTTGTAGCCACTTGTTGTTTTCAACAGTTTGCGTTTCTCGTACCTTCTACAAGTGGTCGTACTTTCTTACTCACTCATACAGTATCATCATAAAACCTTCACATTGTAAACCTCTTCTTATGTGTTTCACAAAGCCTTAAAGTTATGAATTAAACACACTTCCATAGACTAACAAGAACAATTTTAACATTGAAGCAGGAGCTGGATTTCGTTGACTTAGTCTTTATTTCTTCCTATAAGATTTTATAAAGATAACTACGTTTCCAAAAATGGAAGAAATAAATGGGCGTCACAGGCTTACAGTTGACAAATTGTGCCAGTACCAATTTCTCCTTTTTTAAGCATCAGTTATCAAACTGGGTGGACACTTATTGCATCATCGGTGCGTGGATGAGAGGACATTTTTTCATTTTGCTGATTGATAAATTGGGCTGCAGATGATTCCTGCCAAACATTCTGTTACTATTCCATGCATTTTATACTAAAGTGGTATTTTTTACTTTGTCAAAAGTGGTTGGAAACACACTGATGACCACTTTTTATACCTTCACAAATAGAGAAGAACTTCAGCCCGAGGCAAAGATTAAAATGTGTTTTCATAGTTGATACTCTTTGACAACAAACAATGTCGAAGGCAGCATCAGGATCGATGAAATATGTAGTAGCCAATGTAGCCAACTTTCCCTGACTCCCAACATCACTGCGACAACACAATCCTGTAGATACAGAAAACATTGGTGCTCACGTACCATATATGCTGTGAATGGATCGGGTCCAGCTTACATCCAGGACATGGTGAAACCCGACATCCCAACCCGCACTCTCCGCTCTGCATCTGCAAAACTGCTCGTCCCGCCTCACTGAGAGCAAAACACTCGACTAGATCACGAGTCCTAAATGGTGGAACGAGCTCTCTGAAGACACCAGGACCGCAGAGAGCCTTCACATCTTCTGCCGCAAACTAAAGACACACCTCTTCAGACTCTACCTCGACTAAAGACTAACAAATTGTAGCACTTAAATTGTCAGCTAAATGACATGTAATGATGTCCTCCCAGAAACGTGTCCCTCAGAAGGACTTGTCTCCTCATGTGCCTTTGATACTCTTTTATTATTATTCTCTCCTGCACCCACAGATGTGAGTGAGTGTGCAAGTAATCCCTGCCAAAACGGAGGTACCTGCGTGGAAGGTGTTAACCAGTACAAATGCACCTGCCCCCAGAACTGGAGTGGCTCCCACTGTCAGCATCAGACGCAGACAGGTGGTAGACTCAAGTGCCCAGAGGAGGTCTTAAGTTTCTTGGTGGTTAATGCAAAGAGTTATCTCTTAGGTGATGTTTTCGTTTAAGACACGATCAAGCAGAGAAGATGTACCCTCTGGTGCGGTGTTTGCTTGGAACATAAGCTGGTGTAGTAGTGGGAGGGCTTGCCAGTCCCTGTGTTTCTCCTGGCACCTCTCACGCCTGGGAGGGTGTTTGCCCTCTTAATTACATTTTAAAATCAGAAAATGTGTTGGAAGGGTAAATGGCATGGGTCTATTTGGGGTGGGTAAAGATGGTTGTGGTTCCTTTTGTGACCCCCAAGTTGAATCATCATGCTGAATTCGTATATAACATCATGGGGGGGGGGGGGGGGGGGGGGGCGGTTTGCTCTGCTTAGTGACAACTCAGCAGGACAAATGGGATAGCAGTAGTTTAAGGGATTGTAACAGGGTACCAAATCTTGTACTTGAAATCTGAGGGATCAGTATGTGACAAACAAAATAATCCTCTTGAGAGGTTGCAAGCTGATTAGCATCCATTTAGGTCACAGGTCAGTAGCTTTTAAGAAGGTAACTGGGTTGGGTATTATTTGTGTTTTCAACAAGTTGCCTCAGATGCGTTAACGCTGCGACTCTAAACCTCGATACGGACGATAACCTGGGGGACACTGACACTGTTTGAGGCAGACCACGACTTCTGACGCCTGAATGCGTGAATGACGCCCAGAATGCGTCTCTTTGTCTGTTTCCATCTCTTTCCTGACAGATGTAAACGAGTGCGAAGTGTACCGACTGGACAGGGGAGGGAAGCTCTGCGCCCACGAGTGCGTGAACGTCCCGGGCTCGTACCACTGCGCCTGCCCCAGTGGCTACAAGTTGCTCCCAGACGGGCGGAGCTGTGAGGGTGAGTGACAAGAGGGAAAGAGGACAAAGGCCCATTCACGGAGCCCTGGCCGCAGAGCCGGCTGGGTATTTTAGAGGAATACCTGGGACTGAAAGAGAGAAGCCTTTAGCAATGAGCTTTTAGTTTCTGCAGAGGTGTCTGCCTGCCCCCGAAACCTCGTTACCACTTTAATTTGCACCCCTGAAGCTCGCAGTGCGAGCCAGTGGAATGAGTGAGCTCACCCTTTTTTCCAGCAGAAGGGATCTTTAGGACATGAGACTAAACTAGAAACCCAAATAAACAATCCCAGCGCAGCCTCCCCCCCCCCCGCTCAGACTGTGGTAACCAGGAAGCAGGGAGTCAGTCTCAGTCTGGCAAGTCTCTCTCTACCCGCTTCTCGGTTCTTACATGCCCCCCCCCCCCCCCCCCCCTGCTGTTTTGTCTTCCAGATGTGGACGAGTGTTTAACCCAGCAGCACAACTGTAGCCGAGGTACAACATGCATCAACACGGGGGGGGACTTCCTGTGCGTCAACCCGGAGTGTCCCGCCTCTCATGGCAACATCAGCTACGTCAGGACGTCCCCTTTGTAAGTGGAGAGACCGCACGCTCACCAGGATTAAGTCTCAACTTTTAAATGGCCGCGCGCAGATCGAATGTGATCCCACGGTGAGACACCGGCGGGCACTTTGACTTGGCAGAGCGGGACGAGCAGGAAGAGAACAGAGCATTGGTGTGTTTAGCGCGTGCAGGTAATCCAAGCCAGTAAACGTGGTTAAAAAGGTTAAGACGCACGGATGGACCGTCATTGACGAGGTGTCACCGCCTCAAAGCTCCCCAGCTGAGACACACAATTTAAGACCTTGGTGGCTGCTGAGAATTGGAGATATGCAGCAATACAACTAGCAAAATAGTCTGTAAGAGAAGTCGAAGGCTTTAGATGAAACTATTACTATAACTGCTAAACATCCACTAGTTAACCTCCTGTTTCTAAGTGCTGCAGTGGGAGTAGGACTAGTAGTACTAGCAGTTTTTGCAGTGATGGTAGAAATGCTGAACAGACGATATGCAGCATCATAGTGAGGAACGAGGTTGAACGAAAAATAATATAATAATAATAATAATAATAACTTCTGCTCTTTTTCTCCTTGAACCTTGAACATCGGTGTCCCGGCCAAATCTCTGGAGAAATAATAACTTGTATGTCCATATCCGCCAAGTCATCAGCGAGCTGACTCATTAAGGACCTTGAAACAAAGTTCTGTTTAATTTTACTGAACCATCAATGTGGGGAATTACTGGCAGCAGAGGGATTGAATAAACGTTTGGAAAACACTTTTACCAAGAAAAAGCAAAGAATCGAGAAAAGACTTTCGCTAAGTCCCCATTTCGTAACGTTATGCAGCTTTTCGTTATGCTGCTGTGCACAGAGATCGTAGTTTCAGAAAAAAGGGGTCACAGCTTTCTATGCACATGACCTCATACGTACTGCATATGTGTGTCACTTCTTTCGCCACAAAGAGCCACTCATACAATTTTTTTTTAAACGATTATGTAATTGTTTTCTCATTGACAAAATGGCTGCACTACATGAAAACTGCCAAACGCACAGGGAGCGGAAAACAAGCATCACTTTGTCCTGCAACGCCGCCTCCCCCCCCCCCCCTGCTCACACCAGCTGCTGCCTTTCTGTCCCCGCAGTCAGTGTGAGAGGAACCCCTGCCCCATGGACAGCAGATCCTGCCACCTGGCCCCCAAGACCGTGTCCTTCCACTACCTGTCTCTGACCTCCAACCTGAAGACCCCTGCCACGCTTTTCCGCATGGCGACCGCCGCCGCCCCGGGGCGCACCGGGCCGGACAGCCTGCGCTTCGGCATCGTGGGCGGGAACACCCGCGGCATCTTCGTCATGCAGCGTTCTGACAGGCAGACCGGGGAGCTGATCCTGGTGCAGCAGCTGCGCGGGCCGCAGGAGATCAGCGTCGACGTGGACATGTCCGAGTACAGCGAGCGCACCTTCCAGGCCAAGCACGTGGCCAGGGTCAACGTCCTGGTTTCGCCGTACGGCTTCTGAGGCCGTGACAGACAGACGGAGGAGGAGGAGGAGCGAAAGGAAGAGTTTGTTATTGGCCACACCAGAAAAAATTGACACAGTGACAAGCCAATATTAATAGAGCAGTTATAATATGAGCAGCAATTCACAGGAAAACACATCATAGATCCTTCTTTCATAGTATGAGTGTGTTTGAATGCCCGGCAACCAGCTTAACGTGAGCAGAAACCTGTTGGGAGGGATGCAGGACTGTTTGAGTCATCGCCGTTGTCCATCATAGATCATGTGATCAGGGTCCGGCCCGTGCACTGCGCTTTGTTGATGATAAATCCCTGTAGGACTTTAGTGCTCTTGAGGCTCTAATTTATTGGAAATATTATTGCTGGTTTTTACATTGTAAACATACTGTACGCCACATGTTTCTCTTCCACCATATACTGTATATTTGTTTTTTTCGTACCAGCTTACTTTGTTTAAGCACCATCCATTATACTAAAGGGGTTGTTGTTCAAACAGTAGATGCAGTCCTGTACCTGAACATATTTCCTTTAATACTCATATTTTGTATGTTATCCAGAAATCGTATATTCAGATAACTGTTGATTTGGCAAGCTTGCAAGTGCACTACACAATTTATCTGGAATTTTAATTTTCTCTACATAACTGAAATAAAGGAGGTCTAAATTTCACCATTTGTTATAAATACCTCGCTTGACGCTGAACAGTGTGCTGTTAAATGTCCTTGTGGCTGCGCTGTTTTTCCTTCCGCAGTCTTCTACCATTATGAGCGGCTTTTAATGAAGGAAATTCAAACCAACCAAGTGATGAATGAACGCGGGGACAGTTAGAGCGGAAGAATGTGCGCTTTATAACACGAAGACAGCACGAGCCAAAAGAGCATTTCCCAAATGCCTCCGAAACAAAACAGCGTTTTATATTTGACTTCCATCCCGGGGAACAGTAACGGTCACGTTTTGAAAACACGTCCTCGCGTGTCTACGTGTTGGAAAAAGGAGACACTAATGTCCACCACATGTGCGCTCTTAAACCCTGTCCTCCTCTCACTCGTCGCCATCCAGGGGTTCACGCAGCGTTTAAAGAGCTGCGCGGCCTCCGGGCGGGAGCGGAGGGTGAGGATGGAAACACGTCCCCCCCCCCGGCGGTACGCGGCGCTCTGAGAGGTGACAACGCGCCTCAACGGCAGTCGTTTCCTTCGACCGACCGTAGCGGGAGGGTTTCACACGGCGGCCTCTGTTTCCAGGGCCGGTGTGCGGGTCTGTTTGATGTTTCATCCATTCTGAGGCAGCGGGATTCATCGCGCACAGAGGAATTGGAGAGCGAGCTACATAACACAAGCCATTTGCTGGAAAGTAACAAAACAAATACACAGACTCTGAGGAAGCTCCTGCTTTGTGCTTCTGGTGACTTCAGTGCAGGAGAAGTAATAACAGATGAAGTAATAGAAACACAATGTCATTGATGCATACAAATATGTAAAGGGCAGCACTAAATAGCCACTAGAAGCTTAGGATTCTTGTTTGTAGGATTATGTGTTTTTGAAACTTTAGGAACTGATGGCATTGCATCTTACTTTAGATTCAGCTTTCCTGTTCCGGTGTTGATTTTTGGGATTGATACATTTAAATAAAACCTTAAGCTAAGAGTATATACAACATCCTCCGGAAACACATTGTTCTTGTTCTGCCTACTCAAGCACAATAACAGAAATCATAATGAAGTGATACAGCAGGCGCACTTTAAATACGTATATGACATTTAACTTATACTTTTCTGGTTGTTTAATTTAGTCCTATTATCAATGCAGACAAAAAGGATCAATGTCAACATGAAAAACTAAAATGTATGTACGGTATGTTGAGGTTGAGATGGAGGAACTGGGTCTGTCGGGCTCACGGGTTTCTTAAAACGAGACTGCGCTCTTCTGTTTGTCTCCGCAACAAAATGATTGTACATTTGTAGCTGAGGTATTTTGGCTGTTATCGATTTTTTTAAAAGGTCAAAAGGGAAAACTATATTCATATCTTCATATTGTAACGACTGTGTGGGCGTCACGTGAAACGTACTCAAGGAAAATCCTTCTTCTCCAATTTCCTCTTGAATCTGGTATTTAAATAACATACATTTGTTAACGGATGCAGCAAAAATAACAACCAAAGTAAAACATGTAGTTTTATTTCCAAATGAACATGTCATAGACAAAGAAACTAACAGTCTTCTGTGTAAGTGTTAATATTGAAACCCTTCCTGAGTAGGAAGATTGAAGAAAACTGCTGGTATGAAACATTTAAGCCCAGTTCTTCATGACACTCGTGAGAGGAAAAAGACGACTCATATTATCCAGGCACGGCTCTACCTGCGGAATTACGCAATAACAGGAATCAGGCAATACCCATCTGTACAAATAAACGAGGTCCACTGCAGGTGTCTGCAGTTTTATATAACAGGACAACTTGCCGGCCAAAGCGCAACCGTTCCAGCTTTCCGACAAATACAAAAACTGAATAACGACGTTATAAACCCGGCGATCAGCTTTCACTCCTGCTCACCGTATATAACTGTCCTGCCGTTACACTTACTCCCAAAACAACACATGAAGACGATGACGACAGTGTTTGCAAGTCCAAAACATCTGTGCAGACAATTTTAGAAAACAAAATATTAAGACTTAAAACAAGACTTCACAGCGCCTGCGATACAGTCGAAATGTTTTTTGTTTTTAAATACAGCAGAAAAAAAAAAATGAAGCTGCAGTTTGTCATTGAACAAACAGATTGTGAAACTGTCGAGTGTCCAAACGAGTCGACTAAACAGAAGCAAACATTGTAGACACACAAGAGTAAACATGGACACACTCTGCAACAACTTAGAAGTACACTTGAAACACAAATAAATAATGAAATTATTTAACTCCATATTGACATACATACGTTATATTGCTCCCTATTTCAGAACACACAAAAAGTAGCTTCTATATGTGACGCAATTTTACATTTCTGAACGCAGGTACACTTAAATTCAAATAGTTCGCGGTTCACCCCCCCGAACACTCACACACCCATACTGAGGATGCAAGAGACATGAACCAAGAATCCAGGCCTCCTTCGGGAACTACATGGAGCCAAAGACATCAACTTCAAAGTGCATGAAAGAAATGTTCTATTGAAAGAAATTATATAGAAAAAATCCTGTTTGGAATTAATTCATAAATTTAACTTAAATTTGGCCTGTCCAAAATCTTAAATAAATAAACCATTACTGCTGTTGATTATTGGAGGGAAAAAAGGCTTTAAATTAGCTCCCCATTATAAATCATCATTTTGTTTTATTAAAACAAAAAAGCATGGCGATACCCAGAAAAAGACACTCAAAATACATTTGAGGGAACGTCCAGGCATAAGGACCACTGCTCTTAATGCTCTGATAACATATATGATCATGAACATTCCAGAATTAAATACAGCACTTAATATTAAAAAAAAAAAACTCTTTGGAAAGAAAGGCTCAAAACTGATCACAATCAGGGAATCAGTGAGCCAGTTGGTCAGTGAAAAGACAGTTTTCCTCTGGTAGAGTCTTTTCCTCTTAGTAGTTGAGGAAATGAGCAGAGCTCCCCTAAGTTGTGACTTGCACCACCCTGCGAAGTAGACTCTGTATGGGAAGGGTCCTAAAAAACAAACTGCACTCCGCCATCACCTCCGCCCGACGGGAGAAAACTGCTGCAGACGCCGAGTCAAAGACATTTGCCGTCTTCTGCCTCTTCTCTGGCGGACGCGTTGCCTTACTCCAGCTTCGACATCTCATATCTGGTCGTCATAATTTCCTGCAAAATAATATTAAAACGTGAAGTAAGCCGCTTTGTCCGGGCTATTAAGAAATCCCATGGAAAAAAGTATTCTTGCAGGTTATTATTCATTTAACAGGGGAAGACAAACGCAAGCTACTCATTTCTATCCAGAACAAATAATTTTACAAGCTGCTGGCGGGTCACTTGCACCCGTGACCTCACCCAGCTGTGATGCGGCACGGTGCTAAAGGGTCAGGGGCCACGAGGCATCGCTGCAGCCCGGGTGCTGGAAAGAGCACGTTGTCACCACTAGCTGGCAGGGAGAGAGCTGACCTGTTAAGACTGAGTGCAGCCACTCCTCACCTACAGCGCCATGCACGCCACCTCCCAAATAACAAGATCCAAAGCCTAAAAATAAAAAAAAGGCCTGCGGTGCCTTCTTACAGTCACTGAACTGTGATCGGAAAATCCTCCTTTGGGAGAGCGGTTTAGTGAACAGTTGGTATATGCATGATTTCAAGGTATGTAGGTAGGTAGGTATGACCACAACATATCCACCAAAAAAATTCACTGTGGGTCCTGCAGTCACTCCCCATTTCCATTTCTTCACCGATGCAGTAACTCCAGAATGAGTCCCAAATGAGCATCACGCAAGGCTTTCTCGCTTGGCATTCTTGGACTAGGTTACTCATCTCCACATATGTAGACCAGCTGTTTCTGGTTGAAGAAATAAGGTGTGGGAATCCTGTAATTATTCATATTTATAGATTCTAAAGTAATTTGTACCTCGTCTGAGTCGAGCAGGACTGGTAGAGCTCTGCGGAAACAAAGACACTTTATTAGAATCACACGTGTTTTTTATGAAAACATCTTGCCGGGTTATTAAATATAAACTTGATAGGATACTTACACATCCGTGAGAGAGCTAGGAATGTTGTCCTCCACCCACTTCAAGTCTTCCTCCTTTAAAAGTGGGAAAAAGAAAAAGAGGATGAAACAAGTCTTAATAAGTGCAAATACTGCCATCTGCTGAAATGCGTGACACTTCTGCAGCTGCACTCCCTAAACACGAACAGCTATTCTCATCAAAACGCGCGTTGTTTTTAAATAATCCACACTGAATAACACCAATCAACACAGAACTATTGCAAAGCAAGAGTGCCGCTGTGTTACTCACTGGATTTATTTCTGGCGGCTTCGCTGTACCATTGGCATCACTCTTCGATGCTCTTAACTTGATGCCGTCAGCTGTGAAGAAAAAATTGGAAAGAATTATGGAAAGCGCATTAAAGCACAGTTAAGACACTCCAAAGCGTTTGCAGTGCTCCGGACTAAGCAGCACTTCGCATCGTACCGATGTTTGTGGAGGCGATGAATTCCTCAATCTCCTCATCGTCGGAGTCATCAATGAGGGGTGTGAAAGCATACCTGCGGACACGGCGGATTGAGAGATCAATAACAGAAGCGTCCAGTTCCGCTCAGGTCCGTCATTTCAATTCTCCCAACGGACGACTTGCCTTTGGTTGTTTGCCGACGGTCTCCATAAAAACATGATGACGAACAGGATGACGGAGAACAAGAACCTCCAGAAAGCATCCTCCACCCACAGCTCAATCCAGTCCTTTACCCCCAAAAAAAAGAAAGAAAAAAAAGTGAAATTACATGTTTATACAGTTTAACAGAAATACTGATGAATGTGCCAAACGTTACTCACAGACTGGCAATCTGCGAGCCGGAATTTCTTTGCTATCCAACCCATGAAAATGATGGAAGCTGAAGGAAAGAAGAGCCACGTTTGAAGCAACTATGTGTGTCGGATGTTTTTTACAGGTTACGTATGGAGGAAAACCGAAATAACCAACACCAATTTTCAATATTGCGATTGAAGGTTCCACTCACCAATGACAGCAAATATCAGTGTGTTTGTGAAGTGCCTGTACAGAGACAACTTGACGGGGTTTTTCCTCAGCTTCAGAGTCTTGATGGTTTGTGCAAGGCTGACAAAGACGTTAGTGGCAGTCAAGGTAAACAAGGGACAGACACTACACAATAGAACCTATAACCTTAACATGATTACACGCAAATACCTTTTTCTCAAGACACCGAGTCACATACCAGATTTAGGAGGTGAAGATGGGCTATTCTGAGCAAAATTGAAATGAATGACAAATGAAACACTGAGAGGAGAGTTAAAATGAAGCCCGGTCGTATAAAGCATGATTCTGTGTGTTTAAACAGAATCAAGGTTTTTGATTTTCCAGTTGATATTCTAGTAAATGTGTCACATTTAATTAAAAAAGACGTTACAAAAGAGCATGCAAGTCACATTGCCCTTTCTAGTAGCAGTCATATATTAAACACCTGTAAAGGGTGGTGGAGTGGAATGCAAATAAATTCCTCTAACCCACTCAAAGAATATCCATTAATAGAAAAATAGCCCAATGTCCCGGAGTTTACATTAAAAAAAAAGCAATAGAGGACCTTAAGAGCAGTTAAATCACCCAGAAGAAAAAAAAGTTGCGATACATTTTAGTTTGGAATGAATGCTGAATGCAGTAGATTCTGTGTGGAGGAGCTGAGGGGCAGAAGGGAACCACGGGGGGAAGGGGGGGGGGGTTGTGGGTGCACAAAAGGATATCCACCAGCATAGAGAGGAGTCAAGCAGAGCCAGGGGAATGTTTGCCAGCAGGGCCAGGTCAGAGTCTTTCGCCTACAAGGGAGGACGGAGCAGGGCCAAAAGGACACGAGGAAGAGGAGAAAGACGTTCCCCAAGAGACAAAGAGGAAACTACAAATTAAAGCCAACCGAGAGGCGAGAAAACCCGCTCGCCCAACAGCTTAAGTATGACTTTGCCTTTACGTGACGTTGCTTATTGACTGAGTACACTGGAAGGATATGAACCAGATGGCGCAGGAGTCAAAAACAGCCAGAACAATTGCTGTAATGAGAGCGGGGCCATTGTCTCGACCCTTTTTGGCCCCCCGACAAATCAAGAAAATACACAGATTGTGATGTCAGTTTAGAGTCAAATCATTGCCCATCCGATGCTTCCGGGAGGGAGAAATCTCTTTTTTTATCTAAATAACACCAGCTGAGTTACTAAACTAACACGCAAGAGGTTGTGTGTTGTATGTTTGTTCTTTTCTAATCACAACTCACCCCAGTAATCCTCAGGACACCTTCAATGCTCGCAAAGGAAAAGTAGAGGATTCCAAGCCCAACGACTCGGTGCATTACTTGCCCCAGTCGAGGCCTAAAATAATACAGACAAAAGTAAAATTAGAAAAAGTAAAATTGCCTGATTTGTTTTGTGCAATAATTTGTTCAACTAAGTGGAAGCTTTGTGTTCAAATACACGCGGACGTACTTCACGATGCCATAGCCGAGGCTGACTATGATGACGAGCAGTCGGGCCAAAGTCCGCTTGAGGGCCGAGACCAGCTCAGCAAAGATCAGCAAGCCCGGGGCTGAAGGGGAATGAATTGCACTTACAAAACCAAACAATTCACTATCTCAATAGTGACGGGGATCTGGAGACACTCACAAGCAGAGCCCACAGCGTTGGTGTTTTCATACTCGGCACAGAAGACCGCTTTTTCCACCATGCCGAGGAATATGACCCCGGCTATCCAGAACTGGATCCTCAGCAGATCCTTCCAGTAGCACGCTGCCCAGATGAACCACAGCAGGGCGTAGAAGATGTACACTACGCACATCACCATGTAGAACTACGAGCAGGCGGAGGGCTTAGGTTATGAACACATATGGAACCAGTCATCACACATCTTTTTTCTTTTGTTCAGACTTGCTATTTCAGTGTGATTTGATCGGATTGGGGGTCATAGGTTTTGTGAATAGAGTTCGTGAAATAAAAGCTTATTGTATTGAATTTTGGGTGAACTGTCCCTTTAAAGCGGCAGTTTAGTCGCGGCTAAGATTAACAAACCAAAAACAACTCCCCCCTTAACATTAATGTGCATGTATATTTTGAAAATGGTTAAATTTTGGTTGCAACTTAAATCACCAAAAGTAATTTACTCACAATCATCAGAGGCCACTCCGTGATAGAAATGTAGCCGTGGCTGCCTTTCATCATCACATCCACTGGGAAATAAAATCCAAACATAAGACAAATATTAACATGATTTTGTTTTGTTTTTTTGTTGTGACAAGCTTTGAAAAAGGGACACTTCAGTTTGGAGTGACAAACAGTTTAGCACATACGAGTCAGCCTCACATTAGGGAAGTCAATTTTGCACATTAATGCACCACAAGCAAAGGGAAACAAAACACTGTGTCCAAGTTCATGTGTTCCAGTCACCAAATACTTTCGCTGCAGATGATTTATGTGTAAAGAAAATGGTCTCACGTGTTAAATTCCAGTTGGCATTCGGTTTACTGGACACAATCTTTACAACCAGCAAGTAAGGCCCGTCCCTCCACGTCGTGCCTATGACGTTGTCTTGGATACTTGCACTGCTTTTGTTGCCATCGCTGCGGCTGTCGTACTCCTCTGTAATCAACCAGGTGTCTTTCTCATCCTGCAGTATTATAAAAAAATGTTTATTACCAAGTTGTGTAAATGTAACACTAGCTTTGTGCAAGCAGTATAAACAAACCACACACACGAAACAAAACACTCTAATATTTAAAAGACATCGGAATGTTTACTGTGTGACTTTTCAGAATAAATAAAGATTGCTCGTGTTTTCTCACAGGCACTTCCCCCTCAACCGGCGGACTGACAGGACGCGGCCCTGCCTTGGCTTTCTGAAAAACACAAAACACTCACCGGATGATGCGAGATAATAAATGCCATGACGCATGCGTGTGTGAACACTGAGGAGAGTAACTAAATAAACCTACTTTGAGCATTGGAAAGGAGCGCAGTCCGTCATTACATTTGATGGGACGGTGTTTGTGCTCGATGAACTCGCCTTGTCCGAGGGGATTGGGGTCCAGGCCCTCCCCGCGACTCTGAGCGGTCCTCCCGTACATTTCCTTCAGACAGGGACAGTCATCACTCAGCTTTCAGAAACAACAACGGCCCAATGGACAAACTGTCAGACGATTAGCATCACATTAAGCGCGTGCACTTACTTCGATGTTGTTGAATTCATTGTGACATGGGTAGTATTTTAAATACCAGTGAATAGAGAGGGACACTTCCTCGGGACAGCCAAAACGCACGACTAAAAGAATAGGACGGTAGTGTTGATTATACACAAGGGACAAAGACATTGTTTAATCAAGTCATTATCCCTTATTGTCTTACCTTTCAATTCAATGTCTGTGTCTTTATACATGGATTTTCTTAACAGCAGTGGTCTTGAGGTCTGCAGGATAAATAAATAATACGTTTGTGCCTCGTTCATGAATGACATGCATTGGTTTTGTAAGAAATTTGAAGTGATTCATTATCAGGGAGGGATGAGCTCATGTGATTAAGAAACTGTAATATTGTTCATAATATCCGTAACAGACTGAGGTTGCACCGCTCAGTCAGCACAGCAAACCGTGCGACTCGATACACAGACACGAATGACAACAGAGGGAACCCGAAACTTCTCCATACTTAAATTATTGAAGAATGTCAGGGAACTGTGTCTCAAGAGCTCCACGAAGCACCAGAGTTTCTCTCAGAAATGACCAAGAGCCCTTCACGCAGCTGTGCAACTTAACGTTAGCCAAGTTAACTTTCTGTGTAGCCAGCTAGTTAGCTCCCTGCTAACCCGTTTCCCACTAACCCGGGAGCGCACTACTCCGCTAACAACACAACCGGACCGGTAGATTTAGGGACACGCCGTCCCGGTGAAACGCTGTTGACGCAGGACGGGATTAGCCGGAGGACCGGACACACACGGGCGAGCCAGCGCAACGAGGCTAATGCTAGCTGCCGTTAGCTCGCCCGGCTGCTGAGCAATACTCACATTTACAACTGTGATTTTCCAAAGGCCCGTCTCGGGTGCTGCGTCTACCGCTTCTATGGCACCGAGGAGAACAAAAAATAGCACAGCCCAGGGATAGAAAACTGCCGTGGTCGGACGGCTCCACGTCCCCGTCCTGACGGCAGCAGCCATGTCGGTGCGGGAGTGAGCATCGCCGGCCTGCAGGAGGCGCCGTGAGCCCGCGGAGGAAAAACCCCGCAGCACCTTTTACCCCCGCGCGCGCGCGCGCGCGCACCTCGACCGCGCTTTTTCTTTATTGCAAAAACACGTGACTTAATTGATCTGCAGGCTCAGTTGTAGCCCGTCACGCGGTTACGCGCAGTAGTAAACCCCGCACGTTGATTTGTTGCATAACGTCAATGGAATTGTGAAGGTCAGTAGAGAAGTGATCTATGCAAATGCAGAGATGCTATTTTACTAACCACTATCATTGAATTGTATTGTATAATTGTATCGTTTTTAGTTCAGTTTCTAGTTGGGATCTGTGTGTATACCTGGGGACACATTTTTTCTATAGCATATTTACCCCGTTGTTGCAACTGCAACTTTTTATTTTTAATTTACTTTTATAATCATCATTTAGTTTGACAAGATAGTATTTGCACTGTCACCAATGTGAAGGAATCGGTTATTCTTGGAATAATCTCAAAGGAGTCTTGAGGAAAATCATGTATTTCTCTACAGTATATAAGATCACTTTACAAATCTGCATATTTCTATATTTACATTGGAACACAAAAAATCCAATACAGTAAACAATTTCACAGTTGAGTACATCTTGAGCTTATGGAACGTGCACAAACATGTTGGATGTTGACACGCAGACATCACTCGTAACACTGAGATGTAAGCTGCCCATGTGTGGCACAAAGTGTTTATCATCAGGACATGTCGAGGTGCTTGCAGTGCAATGTACTGCAAACCAGGGTGATAGTTTTATTACAGGTACCAATCGTCAGAGCAGGAAAGAATCGTTCCTTGAGCTGTGATCCACAGCCGTCGAATCCGTCGCCTCATTTGCTTGACTAAAAGCATCACTCGACAGAAGAGGAGTGTTCACTGTAGCAGACCTCACGGAAGCATCAGAGGACGTCACCACCACATAACGGTCATCGTCCTCATCGTCCTCATCCTCCAGGTTCCCGTGAATGTCCGCAATGACCACGGAATTCTCTGCTGCCTGATGGCTGCAGGAAGGCGACAAGCTAAATCTAGGATGCTGTGCAGATGTCGCTCCGTTTGCGTCCTCTTCAGGAAAGCTGGTGTTGATATAGATGATGTCGTCCTTGCTGAAAGACTCCGGCAGCTTTTCTGTGAGCTTTTCCAACATTTCTCGCAGCTGGGGAAAGGAGGGACGGTCGAGCGGATCGGTCCTCCAGCAGCTGTACATGAGCTCGTACCTAGACGCAGGTAAAGAGAGGCTAGTTCTAAATTCTCCTTCTAATTTTTACTAAACATGTCAGTGTTGAGCAAAGCAGGCCAGTTTTAAATGCTTTTGGGGAAAAAATATCGTTTTCTGGATTGGACGTGTGCGAGAATGAGTTGACGTTTAAAAATATAAAACAACTTAACTTCCTCAAGTTCAGTTAGCATATGTAGTTTGCAGTAAAAAATGTAATGCAATCTGTAAAACACTTAACTCTAACTCACCAAAAGGCTGCATTGAAACTACAAATAATTAGTAAAAAATTTGGGGAATTTCTTTAAAGTGATAAAAGGTCATTTTTAATTTATTAAGATCCCCAGGAGGAAATTGTATTCCTCAAAATGACCCTTATTCCTGAAAAGTTTACATTAAACGGTTTAACTTATGTGGTTTATCTTGACTTTAATATGGGCACCTCAACACAACCAATAGTAGATACTTGTTTCAAGAGGTAGCAACACTCACAGCTCATCCAAACAGTCTCCTGGCTGCTTCAGTCGGTTTCCTTCATAAAGGTAGTCGTAAATTTCATGGTTCTGGATGCCGGGGTACGGCGTCATGCCTCGTGTAGCAATCTCCCACATGGTAACGCCAAATGCCCACTGGATGATACAGAACATATACATATATATAGATATATAGAAATACTATTAGATCCTCAACATGTGATAACTAAACTACATTTCTATTTGCAGTCCACTACAATTAAATGGGTTTTTTATGCATTTGGTTTCTATTTTCACTTCCAATTTTCATCAACAGAGTTTTGAATGTTACAATATAAGGGGAAAACATTTGTTTTGTCAATTCAGTGGCATACATTTGGATTTTTCCCAACAAGTTCCAGGTTCTAAAATTTCAAAAGTAGGAAACACTGCAAAAGAAGGAACAAATCCACTTTAAAAGGAAGGCTGAGTAATAAGATATGCGTACATTCACCGGACTGCTACGTGCAGATCTCGGACTTCTGGCATTGAAATTCATTTGTAGTGAAACAGACACCGATACGCAAAACAGAGAGTGTAGGCGAGGGGTTAGTTCTTCTTTTGCTGATAGTGCACCCTCTCTTTTTACTGCAAGAACCTGTTTCAAGGAGCATATGTAGGTACTTACCACATCACTCTTTATGGTAAAAACTCTGTCTGCCAGACTCTCGACTGCAATCCATTTTACAGGCATTTTGGCTATTCTCCCCTGCCTGTAATAATCTCCACTGTAGATCTTCTTCGATAGACCAAAGTCTGCTACACACACAGTCAGGTCGTCCCGCAGCCTGTTAGACAAATAAGGCATGGAATGAAGAAATAAGCCAACTGCTCACCCTCACCAAATTTTGCCGTTAAAATAAAAGCAACTGTCAAAAAGAAAGTTAGAATCTTACATGCAGTTGCGAGCCGCCAGGTCACGGTGCAGAAAGTTCCGACCACTGAGATACTCCATACCCAAAGCGATGTCGACCATGAACTTCAGAAGTGTCTGAGTGGGCAAGAACTGTGTGGAAAAACACACAAACAAAAAACTATTATAGGTTTAGTCTTTTAAAAAAGAAAAGCAGCATCACATGAGTTGCCTGGGATATATTCTTTGTTTGGCCGGATTCTTACGGCTGGACTTTCTCCCAGGCGTGAGCGCAGCAAGAAGCTGTGAAGATCGCCGTGCGACATGTACGGCAGGATGACCATCGGCTTGGGAAAATGTCCTGCGCCTTCTTCCATGCACACACCTAAAGGAGACAAGTCAATACATGGAAAATAAGAGAAGGGTGCTCAAGTTAGAACGGAGCATGTAACAGAGTAGTGGGATTCTTCAACGATGTGATAACGTGTCAACACGCACCGAGCAATTTGATGACATTAAGATGATCAAAATCCTTCATGCAGGCCGCCTCATTCAGGAATTCGTCAATCTCCCTTTGAGAGAAGCTGTCCACTGTTTGAATAAAGAGCAGAGAGAGTGATCTGCCTGCCCACCTGTTTATAGATGAGCAGAAGATGTTTGTTTTTATTGATAGATACTCACGTTTCATTGTCTTTACAGCAACTCTCTCCGATGTTCCATCTGGTCGTCTCAAATGTCCCTCCATCACAGAGCCAAATTCACCTGATTAACATTGAATCAGAAGCACTTCATAATCTGCACTGTATGTGTGGTTATCTGTATCGACCCAGACATAACGGCTGCACAGGTGCTCGCTCACCCTCTCCAAGAATCTTCCCTATGGTGAGCAAATTCCTCGCGACCATCACGTCCTGAAGCTTGGCCTGGAGTTCCTCACTAACACCGAGGTTCACAACTGCAGACAGGACCCACTCAAGTTATGCATATTCAGAAATGTGCCTTCTGCAGGACAAATTACAGTAAATCTCTGCATACATGTGACTCCTATGGCTGATCGGTTGTAGGACCTCTGGGTGTTGTACTGCACGAAAGGCTGCTGCTTTTCACCTTCGAACAACCGCCTGCAAAGGGGGGGGGGGGGGACAAAAAGAGAACCCCCTTATTCTCTCACAGATGTCCTGCAGCTGTAATGAAGTAGTCCTAGTAAGGAAACCCTCAGAGTTGTTGCTTTTGAACTCCCATACTGTTTTCTTATCGTTTTGGCAGCCTGCAACACATTCCTATCCGTATCCTGAGTCACAGACTTCAAAATACGTCCTTTCAGAGAATTATCAGCCGTTTGCTGTCCATTTCGCCAGCTGCACAGTTTTTAATACAGTTCTCAGGTGAGGACCACGGTCATTAAGAGGAAGTAAAGATCGTTTATTAACAGAGACTGCAAGTGTTCGGGTTTGAGTCTTCCAACATCGTGTCATTGAATCTATTGTTCTATCTAATGTATTGGTTTCTTTCGTCAAACCATGTGGACAAATGCATGACAAATAAGGTGATCTAGCAACTTCAAAGTTTAGACACTTGGGTTGGTGAGGTTGGTCATTAAACCCACATTGTGTTTACAAAGAAGATACCCAGCATACCCAAACCAAGATGTAGAAGTCCTGTTGCGGAAATAGATGGCTCCAGGGATGATAATCAGCAGGACAGCGATGCTAACCACCACGACCACCACAACAGTGGAGGAGTCTGGAGCCCTGGTGCCAGGGCTGGACGATGGGGGCACCACCGATTCTGAGATGGGCAGAAGAAATCATATGCACATTTTAGGAAGATAACATCCGGTGTTACAATATCTCAGCTCCGGTAAGTCTGTTTTTCCCCCCAAATTAAGATTACAGTAATAAGTTATGAGATAAGTTGCTTTAATGTGAATCAATGAGGGAATGTGACCGTGAGCAGCTTTAGTCTTTTGTGTTGTCTGGCGTAACTGATTATCGATACTAATGAGTCGTAAAAGCTGGAAACTATTCAGCATTTTAGCATCTGTGGTTCGCTCATCTCAATGTAAACAGATTTTTGAATTGGTGTTCTGTTAGATCAAGAATTTGAAAGCTTTTGGAAAGTTGGTTGCTATCAACGGCTAAATGGAAAATACAAAACATCTTCAAGGTCAAATACTAATCTGCCTTTAAAGCCTCATAGCGCGTACTCTCACACCTGCGACTCTGCTGTTATTGGTTTCCGGCAAACATTACATTTTAACTTTAATTATAAACTTGTGCTTGCCACAGTTTATTTTCTGCAAAAATCCCAAATCAAATGGCAAAATCCCAATGGCTATTATTGGTCAAGAGAATCAACGCCTGGTATGGGAGAACAAAAATATGTTATCCAAGCAGCACTCTAATGCATCTTGAAAACAATAAACTAGTTTCCAAACAATAGTTTAAAAAAATTTCCATGATACGATTCAAATGATGGACAAACTTGAGCTGTAACCTGATAAACTTGAGCTGTAACTACGACAATAGTCTGGATGTTAGTGGCCCTGCGAGGCGTATGGACACAGCATTGAGCTAATCGGTAAAATCATTTCACAATGACAGTATCGGTGCTTGACTTGCTCTAGAATACATCAGCTGAACTCGATGAGGTGAATCTATAGAGCAGCTTACTGTCCGCTGGCACAAACAGCCAGACTCGTGGGCTGACCATGCCGCTCCCAGCCTGCGTGCACGCAGCCACCTCCACACTGTAGGTCGTGTTGAATTCCTGCACATCTACAAAGGCCACGGTGTTGTAACTGTGGATCTGAAATCACAGAATAACAACAAAGGAACATCCTTTACACGTTTGCAACATCCCTTCTCTCCCCATTTCTCAATGTATCAAGAAAGAGTACAAGAAAACTGTTTCAAGGGACGAGTGTTGGTTTGACATATGCTTGGAAAATCCCAAAGAATTGAATAATGGACGTTATCATATATAATGAAACTACCCCTGAAAAAAAAAGGGAAGGAGAACAACATTCTGGAAGGAACATGTGACGGAGGTAGGGGTTTATTTCACAACACCACATGGTGGGGTTCCGTTTCTATACCAATGTGCTGACGGCCAGACTGGGAACACTGAACCCATGATTCATGGTGGAGTCATTAATTAATGTGAATGACACCAACAAGATTAAAGATTAAATTACAACTGCACATCCTCAACTCATTTTGAGATTTAACATCAAATTCTGAGGTAAATGACGGCAGCAAGACTTCCACCGTGAAAAACAGAATTATAAGAAAGGAATTGTTATTTCTCCAACCTCCGGCGGTTCCTGGTGCAGGTGGGATCGATGATTAATTAAGCTGCGTTTCCTCACATTTACAGTCACTGCTAGTAATACAAAGCCCACGGGTAATATGACATCATGATAGTTGGACCTACAGTCAACATCCCATTGTATTCATAATTCATTCACTCTAAGATGACTCAAAGCCACATGGGGAACAACTAAAAACACAGTTTTCACACCATCCGCTTCCTTTAGCGACTACATAGACAGGGAGGACGGGAAACACACTATTGTACAAGTTAAAAGGAACTTCTCGAAAATAACTTTCCCTGCCTTGTTCATTCCAGAGAGGAGTGGAAAAACTATTGGTCAGATATACCAGGCAAGCTTACCTCACATATTTTGAATATGCAAGAGTCATTCTTTTTATGTTTGGCAAATATGAATCCTTGTTATCAGAAATATAGAGAAAACATCAGCATTTACAAACAAGACAGAAATATTTTTACCTTGTTCTCCTTTTCGCCATGTCTGACAATAACATCGTAGCCACTCAGGATGCCATTTATCTTATCATCTGGAGGAGGTTTCCACCTGATCACCAGCCAAGACTCATTCAGCTGTGCAGTGACGTTTCGGGGATAAACTGATGGAACTGATAATGTGACAAGAAATGGGAAACAGAAGGATTGAGACGCTGGCAAGAGTATTTAAAATAAATCATGAAACTAACACAGAAGAGCAACCTATAAAAGAGAAAGTAAGTCTTCCCCTCTAGTGAAATCTTTGATTACAGTTTGGAATGTGGTCACTTCCTGGCCGGCGTATCAAATCTTTCAACTAAAATATCTTCTATGGTGGCTTAAGGAAGGAAGTTGAAAGCAGCTCCACCCAGGAGCAACGTTGTGTTTTCACAGTGAGACCGTTCCTACTTCCTATGTGACCCTTCAGGCAAACAACAGAGATTTTCAGTGGATATTACATTTGTTGTGAAGGGGACTTGCCACAAGCAGAGCACGTAGCCGTTACATGCTACTACTGCAGGGAGGCTTAAATTAAGCACATTTTGGATGGGAAAGTAGGCTAATTACAGTGCAATGTTCCTTAAACCTAAACAGAAACCGCTATGATGAGAAGGAGGCACACAGAGGTTATTTTTAAATAAACATTATGGTTGTTAAAGTCTCAGCCTTTTGAACTCGCAGAAACTGGTTCATGTGCTCGAATGGATGAGATTCGATTTTAACAAGATTAAACCCGTAAATTGTCCCATAGTTCCTGTGGTAGCAACACACCTCCCTCTGTGGTGTTGCTCTGGATCCACGTGGTGACCGGAGAAGCTCCCACCTCATTGCTGCACGAAACGCTCACGTTGTACCACGTCATCGCCTGCAGCCCGGGGACTTCACACTGAAATGGCGGCACTGTGGCATTAACGAACCTGGTGGTCGTCACTTCCCCTTTCCTCCGGCTCACCTCCTTCACCTTGGATGCAACAAGGAGAGCGTGTTGATCAATGGGGAGAGAGTTAGCGAAAAGCACGGTTTGAGCAGAAGTGGGACTTACCCTGATGTGGCACTTGGTTAGTGGAGAGAAACCATCATGTCCGGGGCTCCAGCTCAACAGTAACTTATTGGGTTGCCTCTCCGTCACGGCAACATCAGATACCGGCCCGGGAAGCACTGCAAAACCATTTTAAAAATCCTTAACATGAAGGAATATGGGCAGCTTCCAGAGCATGGACACGTTGTGACATGTCCAACCGCCCCCCAAAAAGACCTAGTTTTACCTTTGATGTTGATATTTGCTTCTCTGGAAGTGGTGACACCCTTCGAGTTGTGAGCTTCACAACTGAACTGAGTGTACTTGTCCACACCTGCAATGGAGACATTTTAAAACACAATTTGAACTCCGATACTGTATAAAAATGAAACAATCGATCCTCAAGGCCAAGATAGAGCTCAATATTTTGATAATGGTGTTTTATTCAATATGTGATTCAAAACGAAAGGAAAAGAGCCTGACTGGTTCCGGGTGACTTGATATTGAGGCTTTTTGTATAAAACCTTGTTCTTCAGGTATAAAATCCTGAAAAACAAGCCAGCCAGAAACAATCTGACTCTTTGTTAGAACAAACAAACTGATTTCTCTTGTATGTCAACAGCCAATCTGGGGCAAAGGTGCAATGTCAGCCCTGATAGAGAAGCTTGAATGAAAACTGTTGCAAAAAAACACATTTGGGAATGTCTCATTCCTTTGTTTTACCTCAAATGCTGACACAGTAGCACCTCATGCTCCAAACGAGCCTCTACCGTGTGACGTACCGTTGTATCAATGCTCTTGCTAGGTCCATTTTCCCGGACGCACAATTACTATCTGTCAACAGCCACAGATCTGCCCGATTACAATAGAACTGGACAAGCGGCTAAATAATGTCCCTTTTGTGCTCTGTTTTCCAGCGTCTCTCTCTCAGAAACCTTTCCACAAAGCTCATCACAAAGCAGCCTGTGAGAGACGACTGGAACCAACAATCTGCAGAATATTACGTCCTCTTAAGTTTGCTTCCTTTCTGCTCGGAAGAACCACGGGTCAAGAGTGCTTCCCCTTTTGCACAGACCCTGACTGCGATTTGCCTGTTTGCACCAGGATGGAGTCTCGCTTGAAATACGTCTTCCAGACATCTCAATTCAATTTGGAATCACGTGGATCAAAAACGGAAAAAAATGTGCAAATACATCAGCACATTTTTTTGTTTTTATTTTTGTATTATACAGTAGAGCCTCAATTCTATCAGCTCGTGGCTCATTAAAGAAAAAATATGTTTAAACCATATCACTTTTGGGGAAATGAGTAAAGGTCAAGCACCGCAAGGAAATTGATACAAAAAGCAACAACTCCATAAACTGTAATTATTATGGAGAAGTTTACCACGGTGCCTATTTCTTCACTTTTGTATGATAAATATTTTTTTCCTAATAGAGTCCTACTACACTGTCAGGTTACAAATAATCCCATGACTTTTCGCAGTTTTATTCCACTACATCTGGTTCAACAGTTTGTCTTCTCAAAGCTTAACTGCATTCGCCTGCTGTTCTCTTCTTGATAAACAATGATATGTGGTAATGATATGTGAGCCTTCTCTTCGAGAAGGCGCAATGCCCCCGATGCGTAATCTGAACGATGAGCGCATGCTAACAATCATGCTGCATTCGCATCACGCTCTCATAGCATCACGGGCTGCAAGCTGTTGTGAAAAAAGGGGTCCGAGGCTCAACGCATTCACGAGGTCTAGAAAAGTGGGTTTGCACCATTCCGTTGTGCCAATATTTGATCTCTGGCAGCACGCAGCCTGCCAGCCTCCGCGTCCAGCCCCTCCCTGCTGGGTGGTGGGTTGCCCTGTGAATGAGGTCTTTGTCCCTGGAGCCAACCCCCGAACTCCCTATGCAACCCCCCTCTCCCAATACCCTTACTGCCGAGGCCCCTGCACATGCTGGACCAAAGCAGAGCGCTGAACCTTTAACCCCTCAGCTTTGGGCTGACTGCGGTCGCCAGGCCCAGCCTGCGGCGCACTGGAAGTTAAGGGTTAGAATAAACAAAACTGAAAGGTTTTGGTTCTCATAAACAAGTTTTGTTTATAAGTTGGAAAAAAAAGTTACAGAATTCAAAGAAATGTTGCTACAAACAGTCTAGTAATTATATGCATTAAAAATAACGTTGCATATATCAGAGTGATATATCAAACTTCTTGTCTAACTTTGGGAAGTGAGTAAGTACACTTCCCATAATGTCAAACTACAGCATTTCCACAGATTAGTTATTCTCTACTTAAGTCATATTTTCTTCACCTAGAGTAGCATAACTAAAAGCTCTGAATGGCCGCGGTTAACCACTCAGCAGAGCTGCAGGAGGACCTGGTGACACTGATTGTGGTGATGAATCTCATCGCAGTAAGCAGCCTATAGATGCTGAGGCAGCAGAGTCGAGACCGAACAGAAACCACGTACAAAGTGCTACTGGCCGAGCACGACCTTCTGTCACCAACGTCAGCCAAATATCCTTTTGAGCGTTCACATTCAATCACATTAGCAAGTCAAATGAAGCGAAACTAAGTCATTGATTTGATAAGCTGTAACTTGTGTGTTCCTTCTACTTGAGCAGCATTTTTATAGCGTTAAAGTTGAAAACAAAACTGAATTTGGTTCAGATGAGTGGTTTTCCTTTGAAGTTGATCTATGATTCCTATAATGAGTTCATCTTTGCACACTTATTAAACTACCTTGGAAAAAGAACTCTTGTGGCGGGAAATTCTGTCAGGATATGGACACGCTTTTTAATTTAACAAATATAGTTCTGAGGAAATATCTTAAGCTTTCTAACTGAACAAAATACGTATCTTGTGTTCAGCGTCTTATTGTCTGATTTGAGGCGTCACTCAGATGTGTCATGGTTTGCATTCACTAGTGTGAGAAGAACACTGACGCATCTCTTTAGAGACCACATCAACAGGAGCAGGTGACACAATTGAAGGAAAGTAGCTGTTACTCAGGAGATCGACCCCTGTGAAACACGGAGACTTTGTGGTCGATTGTCTCACCTGACACAGAGCAGCTGCTGCTGGAGTTCTGACAGTCTCGATAATGCAACCCATCGCGGAGCCAGCGGATTCGAACGGGGTCCGGAGGTCCGACCGCATCGCACGACAATGTGAAAGGCGCGTTTCTCGTTACATTCCTGTGCTCCGGCTGATGGATAAATGTCGGCAGACCTGTGGACCAATTAAAGACGCGTCATGAAAAATGGGGACGCCCTGGAAAAAAAAAAAAAAAGCATCCAATTTCGGCACCGTGCGGAAACTCACCTTCCACCTCGATTGTGACGGGCTGAGACTCCACCGTCGTGGTGCTGATGGTCAGTCTGCAGCTGTAGTTGCCGGCATCCCCTCGCTGCACGTGGTTGATGCTGGAACACAGTACACAAAGACACTTATTAACCCGTGTAATCAGACCATCACAATGCTTTTCACCCCCCGTGCGCTACCTACCCGACAGTGGACAGGAGCGTTATGACCCCGTTCGTGACGGTCTGAAGCTCATTGATGACCACCTGTGTGTTCCCCGCCAGGTCGGCGCCGTTCTTAACCCAGAGGATGGTGGGCTCCAGCCTGGCATCTGGGATGTCGATGGAGCAGTTGAATTTAGCCTCATGGCCCTCAGACAGCTGGATAGAGCCAATGGTGGGCTTAAAATGCAGCCGCCTGAGCTGGTCCTGGCTCAGATAAACCCTTGAAATGCGAACCGGTATCACCACAGGATCAGAAGTCCTGGTAAGACGCTGCAGCCGCCCCGTGAAATGCTGAGCTGTTAACAGACAGAGTTTTACATCAGCACCTTGTTTTACCTGCATGGGAGTTGAGGTCTGACCATCAAAGTGACACAAATACAGTTCCAGGGTTCATCATCAGCATCCAATTTAAATACCATAATAGATCATGTGTCTTATAGGGCGTTAAATACATATTTCGTTTTTATACACAATAATGGCATGATTAAGACGGTGTGCAGAGTAAAGCATTTGACAAACTGGAACCGATGAATTTTCAGACTTTGTGGCTAAAATGAACTTAAATGACGAGTAAATTATCAAAACATGTGTGGTATATTAAAGAAATAAATACATTTCATGAAATAGTACAAAAAATCAATCAATCCACCAAAATAAAAAATGTATATAATAAATATGGACTCTTGGAAAGTGCAACAACAAATTAATGAAGACAAAATCCAATAATGCAAAACGAATAAGCCACCGTGTTTTATGGGAAGGAAGCGATCATTTTCATTTACCACCTCGGGAATGTGCCTGAACGTCTTCAAAGGACGCAGAGAGAACTTCGTCTCGTCCCCACAGAGCAGCTTTAACGCGTAAACGGAGCATTTACACCCGTCGCAGCAGAGATCTCTTCCCTGCCGCTGCACATCGGACCCGGTTCCACCACAGATGCTTTCAGCGGGACGCGGGAAGTCGGTGCAGGAATGCAGGTAAACAACTCACCGCCGACCGGACTCCCGGCGGCCACGATGGCCGTGATCGCCGCAGAGAGGAACACGGCGAAGCAGCGTGGATTTGACCTCCTCGCCATGGCGCGGTCCGAGCGGCTCGCCGCTGCTGTCTTTCTGTCCCCGGTCAGCGCGTGTTTCACTGCGGGGACGATCTCCGACATCTGCCTCCGCCGCGGCTCGGTGTTCACCCGAGGTCACGTCCAGCTGGGGAAGGAAAAGTGAACTTTTCCCCACGTCACAGGAGGGATCCCACGAGGGCGGGACTGGACGCACCGAGAGACTGAGGACAACCAAAATACAAGGAGCGCAACAGGAATGGAGCTACAGACACGCAGCAGGACTGAAGCGGTTGTCTTCTCCTTTTTCTTTCGTTTTTTTGTTTTATTTATCTTTCTTAAAGATTCGGCTCCTTACAAATATCAGCGTAGTATCTTACAACAGGCATTATATACACGTTTATAGGCAATAATAACAAAACCTGGTGGCACACTGACGTTTTCTGCCGAACACCTCCACCGGGTGGTCATTTACTGTCAAGCATTGCCATCATACATGAAGGTAGATTCTTCATTTCAATTCATTCATCCAATCTGATACACGGCCAACTTCAGAATAAAGCAAACAATTCATCTTGATTATAGTATTAACCGGCTTAAGATGAACTGACACATGCACCCATCACAAGAGATGAAGTTAATCATGTTTCTATTTGACTAAACAATCAGTCGTATTGCTGTGGATTCACACTTTTTCAGTGTATTCTTGTCCACTTAAATTATCCATTTGAATGCAGGTTAATTTTTTTGCAGAGGTTGGCAAAACATTCAAGGCAGTACCAGTCAAAGGTTTGGACACGCCTCCTCATTGAAAGTGTGTCCAAACTTTGGACTGGTACTGCAGTAGCTGATTTGTAGCTTCCTTCTAAATGTTTTCATTTGTCGATGTCCACCATAATGCCACCGTATATCAGGAACTTTTGCAGGTTATGGTCCTGTCGTGGTATGTCCGCCTCATTCCTGTGCGGTATCCTTCATGATTGGATCCCAGGTTGCTCTGTGCAGCATTTAAGCCCTCGTGCGATGAACACTGGCCTTGCTTCCACCGTCGGCCCATGGCGCTCCTGAGCTGACCACGCCCGTCCTTTCCCCCCTGAAAGCCTTGGCGAGGACGGCGTAAAGGAAGGGTTTGGCACACGAGTTAACAGAGAGTAAGAGGATCAGCAGAATCTGGGAGTCAGTAACTGTGATGGAGGGGGGGCCTTGAATGTATCGCAGCGCGTAACAAATGCACACAACAACGGGGGGCAGTCACGTTGAAGAGCGGGATTAACTACGATAAAAGCCTGGCCCACAGCTTTTATTGCTCCATGTCCATCAGTCAGCACATGCATACTTTGATGTAACTGCTCCCATCAACCACAGGCCACATCCCCGACCCCAGACAGACGAGCCAACCAGCTGCCATTGTACTCGCTGCATTTGTAACCCAAGCGGCGCTCTATTCGCACAGCGTTGGACACGGTGTGCAGACACTCCATCGACGTGTGGACACAAACAGCTTTTTCCCCCCAAACACAGACCGGGAAGCCTGAGGCACCACAACTAAGCCCTGTCTGCCATTCTAAAGCATGCTCAGTGCAGTGACCATGAGTGTGCAGGTCTGCTGTGGCTGCCAAGGTAGATCCCAATGCACAGGTCACAGCACAGCAAGAGGGCCAGTATGCCGAGGAACCAGATTGCCCCTCCGAGATAACTGAAGCATGCAATGTCCTCACAGATCTACAGTTGGACGGGTCTGACAGGAGTCCCGTTCTGGTTAGTAGGAATTCACATTTCTTAAAAAAAGAAGCCGATCACCGCCCAGAAGAACTATCAAGTCGCCAAACCCTGTTTTTTTTCAAAGGAGTAGAACAAAATTAAAGGCTGACCAATTTGAAATCAGTAATGCTGCCACTAAAGCCCTTCTCTAACAGCACAGTTTATCTTTAACCTTACAGACGAAGAATAGAGAGGGAAGCAGTTTGTCGCTCTTATCACAATATGTTGAGCCATTAGTCCATGCAGGGCTGATGGGAAAGTATCTTCACAAAAGGCATGAAATCAAGAAAAGACTCACTTACTTCTTTAATATAAGAACATGAGACACACCAGATGCATCTTTGAAAATCAATACTCAAGTTCTCTGTTGTGCCTAAATCTTTGTCTGACATTATTTGCTAGACTACATTTCTGGGATATACTCTAACAGCAGAGAGGCAGAGCTTACTTTTGCTCGGCCTGTAAATGTCACAGAGGAATTCCCCTGAGGGGGTTCCAGCTGGCAGTGACTGGGAGATGGGCCTCCCGTATGTCCATGCAGCGGAGGCAGATCCTTCAGGGCGTACGCTGACTGAGAGAACAACACCAGAACAGACTCCAGGTAGCTCAGTTGGTGACTTTGTGGGACCTTTCGGTTGTGGATTGAATTATTCATAGTTTTAAGTATTTTCCAATTATTCTCTAACTCGCTGACTATATCTATCTGACTCGCGGTGAGGACCCGCACATCCTCACAGACCAGGGACTTTCAGTAACACACACCCATAGAACACACTGGAGATCTGGATCCTTTGATTCGCAGAGATTTATTGGAGCAACAACACTGAGAATAAACCAAGCTCTTTCAGGGAAGACACCAACGAGGCGATGATACAACGCATTAGTTTATACATTCCTCTGATCGGGCGAAGCGCTCCCCTACAATCCTAACTACGTAACTCTCCTCCTGTTGTTGTCGTCCCACTGTTCTTGTCCTTCACTAGCCCCTCTATCTGGCGTGTTGATGCTAAATTAACTGGCTCAGTCTGGTCGGCCGGCTCTCCTGTTCTGTCTCCTTGCGTCTACACACACACACATGAGGCCGTTGTCCCACGCCTGCTGTCTCCACGCCTGCTGTCTCCACGCCTGCTGTCTCCACACTATCGTGTTGTTTTGTATGTTTTTCATCTAGATGATATTCGCTAACGGCCAGTCATGTTGATGTTGAGTTCAAGGCAAACCAAGTCAAAACCACAGTATCCTGTTGTAACATATACACATTGCCGAGAGACTGTATTTCATATTGACATTGAAAACACGGCATGCTTACATGACTGATTGAGCATACATTTGGGTACTTTCCCTTTAGTAATCATGTCAGACAGTTATATATTTAGACATAAGCCCTCTTAAAAATACATTAGAAATGATGGTGTTTGACAAGCAGTGTCCTTTGCTTGGGTAACACCTATGCATTCATTAGACAAAACATTCTCAATATTCTTCACAAGATAAGTTGGTAAAATGACCACGCACGGTCCTGATAGATAAGTTAAGGACTGATGGGCCAACTGGCCACTGGATGGAGACACAGTCAAATGAAAGGAATAGGATGAGGCATAAAACGGTATTCAATCCCATAGATTTTCACATATTTAATAACCGGTATAAGGAATTGTAAATTGTCCAAACTAAGAAAAGAAAGGCAATTTTCAGACCCCTAATGCAAGTTATATTTATGTGCATGTTAAAAGCCTAAACGATTAAACATAAAGTAAAATATACCATTAATTGTGCAATATACTTTGCTTAAATAAACATGATCATATTTTGAGTTAAATAGTGCAATTAAATAGTTCATTTGCATTACAATTATTTCCAACAGGATTTCCACTTGGAAGGAAGTTCCGGGGGAAGTGGGTAGTTTCCTAGCTGCCTTCAGCTGATCTAGAGTCTGCTATTTAAACCCCTCCTCGTTGACGTTGGCTGACGTTCGACGCAAATAAACTGATTCTGGGTCAGCCCGTACAGAGAGCCGTGTTGAGGGAGGCAGGAAGTCAAACGGCTTACTACTGCGATCCAAACTTTCAGACTTAACGTCGGATAACAGACGGCCTGTTCGAAGTACAGAGACTCTGAACCTTCCCGCCTGTTTGCCAGCGAACCGCTTCCAGCGATGGACAAACTCCGCCGTGTGTTAAGCGGCCATGAGGAAAACGAAGAGTTGGGTCTCACTGACCAGGTAACGTTAGTCGGCGGCGAGCTAACGAAGCTAACGTTAGCCGTGTGACAGTTCGCCATGCTAATGCTAACGCGGCGTCACGTTAAGTGGAGAAACCATGATACAAAAATCTATCTATTAGTTTATTTCCCTGTCTGAGATTGGGCTTTACTTCTCAGATACCTCCAATTAACGTTAAAGTGTGTTTGTTTTCCTTAATATTATTACGAGTTTACTTAGTTTTATTAGCTGTATGTCAGTATACGCGCTAGCCTATAGACATTTCCTAAGTTTGGCGACGTTAATGCAGCTGTTTCATTAAGCCGTTTTTCTGAGTATGTTTTATTTAACATTAATGCCAACTTTAACCCTGTGTTTCTGGCCGCATTCAATCAATTGTAACGTTTGTTTGTTTACGCTTTTTACACGCGTTGCCGATGAGGAGGACACCGGGTAAGATGCTGACGTGCACAATGTGTTTGTTGTAATCAGTTAACCTTCGTGTTTGTAACTCTTGTAGCCTGTTGCGGAGTAAAAGTTCCACACTGGAACACCACAGTCTGCCAAGTTTGCAATTCTGCAATTTCTTGCAGATTGTCCGCAGGCAGGTCGGTTCGGACTGTGGTCACATGGTGGGAAATAAACACATCTGTTGTGTTGTTCCTTCCATGTGACTCCAGAGGTGCTCTGTACTTTGGTTGTATTTGTATTGGTGTTGTATTTGGAGTAATGTTCTGTCTTTTAATGTGTGTTAGACCGGTGCTGTGTGTGTTTTGTGTTTTATCGTAGCTGGGTGTTATTTGTCCTAATCACCAGTGGGTCATTAAAGTTGTCTTGTGACATCCTCCCATTGTTCCCACCAGATCCTCGATGCCAGCACGCTCAGCTACAGCACCAGGGTGAAATGTTTCGTCATATGCTTCGCTGGAGGCATCCTGTGTTCAATACTCGTGAGTGTCTCTGACTTTGTTGTTCAAAAGGCGTCCTTTATGTCCTGTCCGACGTTATGCTGTCTTTAGGAATACCGAGCAGACTGTTACTTTTGTTAGGAATGTTCCAAGTAATTTTTTTTTTTTTCTTCTTTTTCTTTTGCTGTGTTTTTATTTATAGGCACTAATAAAACTTTCAAAATACCGTGCCTCAGCGCAAATACCATCCGGACAACTTCCTACGCTCTCTTGCACGCTCGCAGATTCTGGCGATGGAGAAATGTCATTTGTACTTTATTAAACCGTTCGCTTGCTGTCAGTGAAGAACTGCCGTTATCAGTTCACACTGGGCAGAGTCTCGTTGCCGTTCTGAAAGGAAATCTTTTCACTGGCTTCAGCTCTTGATAACACTCTGAAGCCACCACCTAGTGATTCACACTGACAACGCCGCTAACAGAACCTACGCAATCGCTGGGGTGGTGAAAGTCACGTGCTCTCTTTCCTGTAGAAACAAGGTAGCAGCTCCAATAGGTGCTCTTTGGGTGAGAGCCAGTTATAATCTGCAGGTTAAGTGACCTAAATGTTCTTCCACTGAGATCCACTGTAAAATGTGTTTACACTTCGTATACTGTTAGTCTGCAATATGAAAGCCATTTCACTGAAAGTGGTCCTGATGGTTGGCATGCATGTCGCACAGGCAGCTTAAGCAACGCCTCGTATAGTATTTTGGCAGCAGGGGGAGCCCGTCGGGTGTCATTAAAACCCAAGGAGAGCTCACAGAATTCCCTTTTTTATTGCTTTTTGTTTGTTCCAAAAAGAAAAAAAACAACGTCCAGGATTTATTTTGATACTCTCCATTTATCCCTATTTTAAGGTTTTGGGCGATTATTTGGTGTAGTTGACAGACTTTTTTTTTGGATGTTTTGTTTTATCAGGGATCAGCGCTGCTGTTCCTTCCGAATGGCATCAAACTATTCGCTGTCTTCTACACTATAGGGAACGTCGCCGCTCTTTCCAGGTGAGTCCAGCCCAAACTAGCAGGTCAGAATTGTGATGACTTGACTTTTCTTTCTCACGAGCATCGGCCTTATAAACTCTGCAACCGTGTTTTCTTGATGACTACTGTTGGTCATTGTTGGCACAGGTACACATTTTTCTCCTGTTTCTGCTTGTCAACTTTCTAAAGACACTATGGCAAAGTAATTATGCCAATTGTGTACGGTCTTACCAAGACATTTGTCATTCTGATTTGATAGGCAGTGGGACTAATGGTTCTGCTCCAGACTGTAGGAATAAAGCATGAATTATAATCTCCGTCATTTAATCAGATATTCATTAGTGTAACCGCACATTTTTTTGTATTACCACAATCGAAAAAGGCAACATACATTCATAGTTTAATGTATGGGTTAAGTAACATTAGAATTTTATTTTCTGTCACTGGGTATCAGTGTCGTCCATATTGGATTATTTAGATAAGCCAAGGGCTGGAGCTAATCAAGATGTCTTTTGAGACCGGTCAGTCTTTTGTCTGGTGTCGTATGTCCAGTGGGTCTAGATGTGCTGTCATGGTCCAGGTTACCAAGTCAAACCAAGACAGTGTCATATTTGAAGCCACGTCGTGCAATTTTCATTCTTATGTGACTTTGACTGCTAGAAAAGTACTCGGTTACCTCAACGGGAGGTTATTTCAGACAAATCCCATGTTATAAAAACATACAAAACACACATTAATTAATTGTTTTTATCTTTATTTGATTTAAAACCGACTGGTGTTTTTTTTTTTATTTATTTTTTTTTATTTCTTTCTTTTCCTAGTTTGTCTTTTCTTTTGTAGCCAAACTAATTGCGTGGTCCCACTCTAGCAAACACCGGCGCGGCAGCATGCGCGTGCACATCATCAGTGTCTGTCAAACCGAGCGGTCGCTAAAGCAGCATCCGTCCCTCTCGGCAGACCCGTAGAAAGAGCCTGCGTCAACACAGACGCCTCGGATGTCTCATCTAACAGATGTGACGCCGCACAGACTCCCTCCGACCCACGCAGCTCTGCTGGGCCCAGAGCCGCGTGACTCGTCGGCGGGGAAAGCCTTTGTCTCGTTGCATTCGCTGACGTCACACTTGCGGCGTGTAGGAGGTTTGAGACGCCTCTCCGAGGTGTTTTGGGCGTGAAATGTTTACCCGCTATTAATCCCAACATTTAGATTATATCTGATTATGGCGGCGGTAATATTCTGGTGTCTGTTGAAAGACTATTTGTTTGTTCTGGAGAAATAAAAAAAGGTCGTCATGCTGTATAAACATTTTGTGTGTTTGTTCCTGTAAAGCACCTGCTTCCTAATGGGACCACTAAAGCAGCTGAAGCGCATGTTTGAGCCAAAGAGACTGATAGCCACCATTGTCATGCTGGTAAATACAATGTGCTTTACTGTTACTTTGAGGCTGAAGTGAAGCCACATGCGTCACTTGAACTGCACTTGAAATGTTTTGTCTGTCTGTGTGTATCGGAGAGTAATCCATACCTCTTCTATAGTAGGTACTGGATGCCGTTTTTCTTAGTTGCTTTTCTTTTTGTTTTTTTGTCAAACTTAATATTTGATGTGAAATACTGAAAAAAAATCAAGGGAACGTCATTCTGCGTGCGAACGAGAAGATAACCTTTGCTTTCTTCTTCCGGCAGCTCTGCCTTGTCTTAACTCTTTGTGCAGTGTTTTGGGTAAGAAACAAACAAGTGATTTTCTTTTTAAAGCCATTTATAGCTTGTATTGTTTGAAGTGTTTTCAACTATTCAAATTAACATTGTGCTTTTTTTTTTTTTTACAGTGGCATAAAAAGGGCCTCGCCATCATCTTCTGTATTCTACAGTTTTTGGCAATGACCTGGTAAGTGTGACTAACCACGTTTCCACTGTGCCAAATTTAGCAATTTATTTACCCATCACTCACACATACTGCGTTGACTGAGTCTTTCCGTCGGAGAGAACTTTGCTGCCTGTAAAGCGCCGGTGTTGTTCTACTTGGGGACGTAGACAGATGTGTTTTGGCCCCCGTGTTGTTTCTACACAGCGTCGCTCGCAGCTCACTGGGCTCATTGCTCATGTCCCATGGAAAGGGTGCGTTGTGAATGCGTGGCACCTCAAGCTCCTTTTTGTTTCGTGTCCCTTACTACGAATGTTTTTTTTACAATGGTTAGTTTGAGCGCTTTGAACGGCTCCACTCAGTTTAAACAAATACATTTTTAATCCACGATCATTTAGATAACTAATTAATGGCTTGAGTCAAGAAAAATACCAAACTTTCTGCTTCTCTTTTAAACACCATATGGCAAATTACCTTTTGAGGAACTTTTTCAGACTAAGCAAACGTAAGAAAACGAAACGTAAGAAAACGCCACGTTAGCACTACAACCTTCATCAATTTGAATGTATTTGCACAGCAGTAACACGAGACTTCCAGGTTTGTGAATGTGGAGTTAGACATAAACCCCCGTCAATGCAGAGGGGCGTCGGGGGGGGGGGGACAGGAAAGACTGCTACGATGACGATGTCATTGCATCACTGAGCAGGACTACATGTTGTACATTCACTTCCGCTCCGCCTGCTTTCTCTGAGGCATCGCCATGGTAACCGCAAGTCACACTGCTCATTCTTAGCAGAGGGGCATGGGGGGGCACACACAGTGCACTCCTACGCAGGCGCTCAGACGTCTGTGTGAAGGTGGTTCTGTAATAAGTAGTGTCTCATACCACACACACACACTCTGGTTGGGGGGTTAAAGTCCAGTCTTCTCTAGAATGACCATTAACTTTATTTAGTTTATGTATTCAGAACGTTCAGAGGTGTTTTGAAGCACTTGCTGTCATTATTGAAGCTCACAGATGAGTGTTTCCTGCTCCGTGGTGGTGAAGTGAGATGCTTTGGTTAATCATTCAACTGCCAATACCGGATTCCTCACATATTTCAAATATATCCGGGTGTTTTGTGCTGATCTTGAGCCGTAATCATTTCCAGTACAGGGTATTGTGTCTTTGGTGTGGTCTGAGTTTGGCTACCAAGCCGTCTGTAATCTTTTCACTAATGGTTCCAATGTATCCAAGTCATTTCCAATCAAGTGCTGTTAATCCCCCTGCAGAGCGACATCAAAGACCCTTCAATCCAACGATTACTGCTCGACTCTTACAACCATATCTTACATTTCTGTGTTCTGCTCTTAAGGAAGCCACGTTGTGCTGCCTATGAGACTTAAATCTACTTCAAGTCCTTGGTTCTGCGTGGTGTTTTATTCTTTTAATCGTTAATCTCTTTAACGTCACATCCTTACAAACGCATTGCATCATTCTGGCAGACATTGCTTATTAAACGTGAGAGCCTTAAGTTACGATCCGGCTACTTCCAGTGATGTGTTAAAATACAGGCAGGTGTGTTTGCAGTCTACATGGTGAACATCTATGTCACGACGAAGCTTCTAAAAAAAAAAAGAGTATTTCACTAATATGGCCAATTAGCATGCACAAAAATTGTAGGTGATACAAATATTAAGAGCAGTGTATTTTGATAATATCTCTTACTCAGTCTCGTAATATGTTATGTCCTTCTAAATCAGTCACTTGTTTTTGTTGCTTCATCCGGTCTTTTTTGTATTTGCATGTTTCAGGTACAGCATCTCTTACATTCCATTTGCCAGGTAAGACAACTTGATTATATGACTTATGTTTTCTCTGCGTTGACCTGAAGGTGTTTTGCATGTTCTTTATTTTACGCCCAGTTCTAACCGCTGCTTTAGTCGATCTTTAGGAGCTAACATTCATACCCTGACAAGGCCCGTGTCTACAAATGACACCCTACTGCTGCAAACGGATCCTTCAATGAAAACATGTTTTCATTTATCTCCAAACCCTGTTTGCCCCGACCATATGGCTGTAATCCTCCCCATAAGGACAGTGCAGGCACTTAGAGTCGGCAAATGGCAGCTTGTTGTTTCACGCTCCTCTGTGCTTCAGCCCTGTGGAGCAATTTGCTTTATCCATAAAATCTAAATGAAATCATTTCTTGTGCAATAATGCTCTTCTAGCCAGATTTCCTAGTATTTATCTGCCAAATGTAGCTTTTTATCTGACTTGTGATGAGCTTATGTTAAGCTCTATAGGTTTAAAGCACAATGCAAGGTTTTGATTAGATCGAGACCCAAATAGCCCCTCCTGCATAAGAGAAGAGGGAACTCTCCGAAGATTCTCTCACCTATTTACTGCTTTGTCTTTCTTGTAGATAATGTGCCATAATAAGCCTAATGGCATTAAAATCATACTGCATGTTTGTCATTTCTTCAGAGTGCATTAAATCAATTGAATTGAAAGAAAATACTCCACCAAACTCTGATGTTCACCTCCTAAGTTGTCCCATACGGTGTAGCACCTCGTTCCTTAAACCAACCAAGCACAAGGTGTGACGTTGTTTTGTCCTTCCAGCTGTAAGATGGATTTATGTCTCATTTGGTGAGCGGTCCAAAGCCCCCCCCCCCACACCGCTCCCAGGCCAAATGCCTTGTGTATTTGGTCGACCCTATAATCCATGCTGACAGCTGAGAGACGTCCCATAACCACCCATAGTTCCCCCTCCCCCAACCCAAATGCTAATAACAATATAAAGCTCGGACAAAGACCAATTTGCCGTGCCACCCGAAAACCAAATTCCTATAGAGAATGCAAATTTGACTGCCAGTCCTTCAGCTAGGTATTAAAATACTAAAATCACATGATTATTTCTTTGTCCTTTGTTGCCTATACCTCACACTTAAGTCAAATCATTATTCTCCCCTTTTTTTAAGCTCCTTACTTTAATCCATTTTCATTCAATTTAGATTTAATCATTTATCTCTATCATTTGCCCTGTTGTTACAGGGCGGCATATTTTGATCACAGATCTCAATCTCTCGGCGGGAAGCATTAGGCTGCTGTCTCTCCCTTTTCCGATCTGTGGTCAAACAAACCGTCATACCTGCGTTGCCAAATCGCCACATGGCCAACGGACTTGATCTGTTAATGTATTTTACCGTGTGGCCTATTTATAACTAAGACCAAGGTACTGAAACCTGCTGCATGGACACGTCGCTCGGTGCTTTAAGGCTGCTCTTGCTCTGCCGCTTAATTAAAAGATGGGGGACTGACCAAAGCATTCAAAGGAGCAGGTTTCCTGTCTTGTCTGCTGTCCTCCCCTCCTCCCTTTCAACCTGCTTATGATTCCCCCTCCTCCCCCCCTTCTCCTTTTAACCTTGACGTGTCCCACACCACCTCCACGGAAATCTTACCGTGGCTAGAGGCAAAGTCTGCATAGCAACACACCGATGGCAAGAGTGAACGGTGTTGGGGGGAAATGGAGCAGGCAACGACTGTCTGTGGTTGCCATGGTGATCACTCGTATTGCATCATCCCTCAATGCATGGTACCTGGAGAAAGGGAGCCCCCATCACTGAGCATGTGGTGCTTTCCCCGTCAAAACACACTCACTTATTCATGACGAGCCCAACCCAAATCATCTAAACGAGTGCTTTTTATGTCTTCTTTAATTTTGTGCGCATGACAACATTTTGCCTTTGCTTTGTTATCTTTTTTAATAACATTAATCAATATTCCAGCATTGCTTTTCTCCTATTTCTTGTCGTCTTTGGTTTATTTATAATCCTATTTTTTACTTTGTTTTCTGCAGGGATGCTGTGATGAAATGCTTCACAACCTGTGTGAGCTAGAACTCTTTAGTGCGCGAATGTGAAGACTTGTCTTAATATGCAAACTGTAAGAACGGTAGCTCTGTAAAATATACTGTGTTGTCTGTGTTGTTTATACGCTGTATCTCCAGATTTTTACTGTGGCTCGTTTCATGCTGTGAATCTCTTTTTAGGCTACACTTTAATCAGACTATAGCATATTTTGCTTTGTATGTGGAAGAAATGAGTGCATTTAATGCTTAATATATTTAAAGATTCCCTTATGTTTGCCTTTTTCTTTTGAAGATTTTAAAACATTTTGCATTGTGCAAGGAAATTATTTTGAATGAGTGCCTTTAGCTTTGCTTACAGTATTTGGTATATTACTGTGTATGCAATGTTTTATGTTATTAAAACACATTGTATGAGGCACTGTTGTGTGACGCTCTTCCATGTTTCTGTATAAATATTTTCCTTCAAGCAATTGAGACGGTGCTTCATTGATGCTCTGGAACTATAGAATGTGAACCCACCTGCTCCACTTAGCAAATCAAATTGCATTAACATTGCCTCTCTTATTTTAAAGTTGATTTACTGACAGATGTAGCAATGACCCCCCCCCCCCCCCCTGTTAATTACGCTTTTCTGAGCATTGTAATTTTGATGTGACCCCATAACCCAGAAGAGCTTCCATCTAGTTGGTGGTGGTCTGATGGCATAGCCTTTGAGGATGTGGTTGTCATGACAACCTCCTCCAGAAAATTCATGAAACCTCAGCCGCCCTCCCCCCATCTGTTGTGCAGATGCTCACACTATCCTGATAAGGGGCTGTAATTTTGTTATTTCATAGAATACTTTGGACCAGTAGTTATTTATTCCTGTATTTTATAACTGCCTCGTGCATTAATAGCTACATGTAGGAAGACGCAGGGCACCATGTTTCCCTTTGTGTTCGCTACAACAAACATGCCTCCTCGTCTCCCTGCTGTATGCGACTAACAGAATCGTACTTCCTGTTGTGCAGACCCCGCGTGGTGTCATTACACGCTCGTATAGCTGTTTGTGTTTGTGGTGGATTAGAATGGACAAAATCTCCCCTCAGTACTACTTTTTTTTTTTTTTTTATTTAACCGACTTGGCGGCGACCCAGCAAATCCTTGAGGAATTAATCAGAGAGCTAAAGCGCTTCGGTTGTGTGGAGGGAGTGCGGTTGTTTTTGTTATTTGCTGTCTTTGCCTGCTTGGATTACAGCAAAGTTTGAAGATGACTGGGTGAAGATCGCTGGCCTCAGGAATCTGTCCGACTCCCAACGGTTTCCTTTTTTATTACATCTAATCCATTGTTGTGTCGGAGGGGGACCCCCCCCCCCACCACACACCAAAAAAAACCCTGATAAAAAAAAAGAAAAGTGTTTCCTCTTCAGCTCATCCTGTAAAAAAACACTCCGTTCAAGCAGTGAGTCAGCGGCAGTTCAACTAAATACATTTCTTTTGTTTTTGGTGTAAAATATTCTGCTACTGAAACACAATTGAAGTATTATGTAGAAAGTCAAACACATAAAACAATCCACACACCGTTGGCACCGATTGATTTATTTGTGCACCATAATGTTATGTCTTTCCTTTTAAATCCCTCACATTTATATAGAAATGTGAGGGAGCTGTTAAACAGTAAATGTCCAAATGTTTCACAAGCAGTAAAAGCTCAACATCCTCAAGCAATATTTTTTTTAAAAGCTCTAAAACCTGTAGAGGTTTTTAACGGTTTTCTTGTTGACGCATATTGGCTCAAATGGATGCAGCGTGTACTGCTTCTCTTCCTACACTTGACTTACTTTTCCCATTCCAGAACCCCACACCTATGGGGCGCCGTTTGTAAAATGTTGCACGTTCTAGAATCCTGCGCAGTTTTGCTACATTTAGCATTATCATATGAACAAAAAAGCACGACAATATTCGCATGTCACTTTTTCAAACATTTAGAGAAATTCATGTACATTCATGCAATAACTTTTCCAAGGATAATGTTTGGCTAAATCTAAATGTTAAATGTAAATCTAAATGTGTGAAAATGTGCCTCTATTTGAGGTGTTATGGTAAAAGGGCTTACAGCCTTAAAAGTCATTTATTGCCTATTTGTAAAGTGTCATATCCCAATCTTTGAACTGTTTTTAAACCAGATCCCAAAACGGTAACACTCTACTTTCATGTTGACGACCTCTATGCTCATTTACATTCAACATTTACATTTAACATTTAGATTTAACATTTACATTTAGATTAAACTTTTACATTTAACATTTACATTTAACATTTAGATATAACATTTAGATTTACAATTAGATTTAACATTTAGATATAACATTTAGATTTAACATTTTGATTTACATTTACATTTTACATTTATATTATTTAACAACTTTGTTACTGCCAAACATCCTTGGAAAAGTTATTGCATGAATGTACATGAATTTCTCTCTAAATGTTTGAAAAAGTGACATGTGAATATTGTCGTGCTTTTTTGTTCATATGATAATGCTAAATGTAGCAAAACTGCGCAGGATTTTAGAACGTGCGACATTTTACAAACGGCGCCCCATACACACCTTCACCTGTGGTCACTTTCAGGATACATAACAGTGTTTGGCGGATGATGGTATTGTTCCGGGTGAGAACATCCAGCGCGTAACAGCGGCGCCGTGCGCAATGAGATCCGGGCACCGGAACGTGAACGTCGCTCGGCGCTTTGAGGAAGTACTTTGGGGGGGGAATTATGAAATGACATCACCGCCGTTTTCGCCTTGGCTTTGTTTGGCGCTTCACGTAACCACGCCTTCCTGCCTGCTCCCCCATAAAGCAGCCAGGCCCCGCGCGTGTGCACCAGTTGAACTCCGGCACCTCGTGGACAACAGGTGCACGACGACGCAGCAGCCGCTCGCCGCCCCGCTGTTGGATCATGCACACGGAGCGCCGCTCGTCGCTTTGCGCAGGGCCTCCTTGCCCATCTGCACTTTGAACATTTTTTTTGCACGTTTTTTTTTTTTATCCTGATCGCTTCCAGCCACAAAGAAAATGCCTTTTCCGCCCATCAGCCTCCACCAGCGGATCTCCTCTCCGGGCAGGGAACTATTCGGGAAAAAGAAAGCCATCGGGGCGACTGCCCACAGCGAGCACACCAGCAAATCCGGCGGAGAGAAGGGAGGCTCCGATAAGGAGAAGCAGTCCACTTCTTGGACATCGGCTAATTTAAGGAATCTGGGGCGAAAGGCCCCGCAAGAGAAGCGTAAAAGCTCCGCTCAGAAGGCGGGTGCCGGCCAGGAGACGCAGGAAAAGAGCTCCTGGCTGTCGGTACCGAAACCTCAGGACTCGTCCGAGAGAGTCAGGCGCTCCAGCTCCATGGACTCCGCCAGGCACCTCAACGGCAGAGAGGAGGGGAAGAGGGAGGTCCAGTTCACCCTCAGCCTCACGCCCGAAGCCATCCTTGTCATCCAAAAACGGAATCTCGAAAAGCAGATGATCGCTAAGCAGCAGAAGTGTTGCGCCTCCGCGGACTTTCGCCACAGGCGGGTTTTTCCATCCAAAAAGACGCACGGAGCGTCCAAGGGCTGCGACCCCGTCGCCAAAGTGGAGCACGGCACCGAGCAGGACATCACCGCCATCGTTAAGATCTCGCTGTTGAACGATCAATACAAGTACGACGACGTGGAGTACGAAGAGGAGGACGCAGACGTGGATGAGACCGTCGTGAGGAAGTGTAAAGAGTGGCTCAAAGGGGTCGAGAACGCCGCCGCTTTGGGGAAAGTCGACAAACTTTCTACACTCCCGCACCTTAAAAGCTGCTGACACCTGAAGTTTGAGTTGTTGTTGTTTTTGTTTTTTTACTTTCTTTTTGTTTTACGCAGACTGAAGGAATGATGGGGGGCCGCGGCGATGGGCTCTTGAATTGAAGTATTGTAAATGAACTGTTTGCAAAAGAGAGGGGAAGAAAATCCTCTCCACAGGAATGTCTACTTCTTTTTGAAGCAATTTGCTAAGATAGATGTCACAAATAAATTACACGTATTGAAAAAGGAAAATATACAATCTGCGTTGGCGTTCAAACGAATGGGACATTAAAGGCGAATTGCAACCAACAGTGCTTCTTATATGCGCCACAGGGTCGTTGCTTTGCTAGTTTATTGCCTGTTCAATGTTTTTTACAGTTCAAACTGAATACCTTAATAGCGTCGTCCTTTGCACATGTTCTTTAGTTTTCCGTGGGGGGGCTGCGGGTGGGCACAGGGCTCCGCGTAAAGGGACGTGGAAGCGTTTCTTTGTGCTGGAGTACAATACGCTGTCAACAACGCGGCTTTATACGCCTGCTGCTGAGACCAAACTGGACTGTTTTTATCTTCTCTGCTGCGAGGGTGATGTCCTTTTGTAGGGATGTATCAGCAATGTACAGTATTTAATATTGGCTAAATATTTGTACTGTCAAAATTGATGACTTTATGCCATTTTAAGTAAAAAATGTTTTTTTTTTTATCAATTATGCAAGTGTCACTGAGCCTTTTAAATATTTCAAAACCAAATGTGTGTTGTTCCTCCTAAATAATTCTGTTACATGATGCTGATTTTCCAGTAACTACACTTTTTATTTGAATGATCTGTTGTTGCTATAGCTACCTGAGGCTATTTGGGCATTAGTGCCGTAAGCCTCTTAGATTTCCTGTTAATTAGGGTTGACCAGTGTGCTGAGGAGCCTGCAGGTGCATGATCCCTTCAGGAAAGACTGGAAATGTCCACCCTGCTTTACTATTGTCATATTAAACCAAACAATGCACTTACACAGAGATACAAGGGTACGTTCCAAATCGCTTGGGGACAGTTTCTCCCCGAGTGAAGAACAATTTGGCAGCAAAGGTATTCCCAGTTTGAATGTAGGGCTTAATTCGGGCAATTCCAAAGTTATGTGTTACTTTCTGAAGAACCATGTTTTGATTCTATAAATGGTAATAAACGTAATGTACTGCTCAGAGAGAAACCACAGGTCATAGATCAGTTGAGGGCTTAGTGATAAACTATGAACAACTAAATAAACCAAAGTCAAAAGAGAATTCAAGCCTTGGTTCTCATCAGCTACAGAATGCTTCATCGTATTGATCATCAGTCACGGTAAACTTTGATTACATTTTAGGCAGAGTCAGAGTCAGAGTATATTTAAAATGTGTGTACAATGACACGGTTCCAATCAGGCTTCACTCCTTTGTTCTGCGTAACTTGGTAACCAGAGTTCAACACAGTCTGGTACACTTTTAAGTCACGAGTTGGACTGAAGATTTCCGATGTTAAAGACAAAACGGTGTGTGCAAAAAGCCAGCATCAACAACCGGTATTCCTAACCTCATTGGATATAATTTAGGACTTTGGTGCCAATAAACTTTTCTCTTACGGTCAATAGAGGAATATGATTAAAAATCCGAAAGCAATTTTTTCTGAAAAGATGCCCACTTATTACCTTTTGTAGTCAAAAGGATATTTTTGAATAACTTGAGAGGGTGACATGTTATCCTGGTGTGCCCCCGCCGTGGTGATACATGGCATTACAGGACTCTATAATGGGAATAAACAAACAAGCTGCCAGGCTAATTGTTCCCATTCAGTGTCACAGAGGGTTTTAATTGTCTCATGTTGCGGACTGAGATCACAGCCGGGTCTCGGTACAGTGTGTACCAAGACCCGGGCCTCCAGTGATGATATTATCTATTGCCTCTGTGGGCGAGAGTTGTGTAATCCTGCTCCATTGTGTCATTTCAATCGTGTCCTTGTTCGTGTGCCTCTCTCCGGTATTCGCTGCGTGGGGTCCGGTTCAGGCCTGAAGGCCAGCGGCTAAAGACCACGTCTGTCCTGGCCGTGAAAGCTGCATCATCATATCTGAAGTAGCTCAAATACTTGTATTCAAAAGGAAAAGTGTAATTCAAAGAAGCAGAGAGTGTCAACGAGTTGGGGCGGTTGCCTTGGTGGAAACACTTTTTCCAAAGGGCTCAATCATTTGGAGTTGTTAAAACTCTTTTCACCTGTCCCCTTTTTTTATATTCTGCCACCAACTGCTTCTGTCTACACCTGCAGCATCTTGTGGCTTTGATTTCAATTTTTATCTGCTGGCTCTACGTGGATCAGGAGTAAAAAAAAAAAAAAAAAAAACGGAAACGGCTGCAGTCTTCCATCCCCTTTCTCTGCAGCGTCATGGTCACTTTGTAGCAGAGGATGGTTGGACCACCATCAGCAGCAGGACAGCTGCATCATCCCCCCCCTGATTTATAGTGGCAGGGAGCGCAGATGGATGCCGCCTTCGCCACGTCACAAGAACTGCAGGTCCCTCTGCTCTGCCGTGACAGTATTACTGTGGCAACGGAACAGATGAATCCCCCGTTTCCAGCAGCTTTTGTGCGAAAAGACAAAGCAGACACTTCCCGAACAGACTCAGCCCACAAACTTCAGTAATGTGTTCATTCAGCGGCTGCCTGTTTAAAAACAAGGCATTTCCCGGGCGACCTCAGGGAGAAGCGTTGGATCAGACATTGCAGTCCTCCCACGAAAACTTCAAGCATCTTACACTCTTCATTTGAGGATTATGGGGAGCACGTGGACCCATGTTTTTCCTGGTTAATCTGCTGTGGTATGCACGCTCTTACTCCCATAAACCCTGCATGCTTTGAGTAAAACACTTTGCCTTTTTCCAACTTCACATCTCATCTTTATAGCCAGGATAACATTTGTTTCAAGAAGCAGTCGTTGAAAACAGCATCTCAAACCTCCCGCTGCAACATCTGTTGGGCATCCGTCTTGATCAGGATTAAATAAAGTCACTGTTGCCCGATGATATCCTTAGAGCGGCTCTCATCCTTACACAACGGCTTCCTACAGACACACAGGAATTAAGGTTTGGGCTTTGTGGGAGAGGAGTTGGGCATTTTCCTCCTGCGCATTTTTTTTTCCCTCTGATGTTGTGTGGGAGGTTGCTTTTGGCAGATGAGAGGGATTACCAAAAATGCATTCTTTTTTGAATCTTCAGTCGAGCTGAGTAACTCACTCCCACGGAGTCTAAATTGGGTTTTCGCTGTTGACGGGCAGGAGAGGAAGAGCAAGCCGAGCCTCGGATGACGAAGGCAACGTCCGGACGTGGACCCAGAGGCTGAGGCCCGGCGTCAGGCTCGTCTCCAGGTCGATAAATACTTATCATTGAATCAAAAAAAGTCACATTCACTGTCACAGCGGCACAATCATGCAGCGAGGGATCGTTTTATGGACAGATACGCACTGGGCATTGATCAGGAATCAATCATCTCCTGTCAGTGTTGAAGCACTACCTGCATGAGGAGACGCTTACCGGTCCGTCATTTTGTCTTCGATTACCCTCCAGCGCCATCTAGAGGCCCATAGCGACATGCACCGCCTCCGAGAAGCTGGGCCAACCCCCCAATCTCCACCCTCCACCCTCCACCCTCAGGGATGTAACTGACCACCTGAGTGTTGAGTGTGAGAGTTTAGTGAGGGCTTTAAATTGTGTAAATAGAAAGGGGACGACACGTAACGTAACATCATTTACAATTGAGGGTATTTATTTAATACTTTTTATTCTTTTTTTGTTGACTCTTTCATGCTCTTTCCTTACAAGAAAACAGGTGATTATGAATAATGTTTGATGTTTTTTTTTGTCAAAACGTCTGCGATGGCTACATTTTATATTTCATGAATGAATATTGTCTGATATGTGTCTTTTTCCCCTCCATCTTTAATCCTTGATGTTTTAAATGAATACATATTGTTATGACAGACTGAACACACATGTCCCGTCCTCTTTGTTCACGCCTCCAAAGCTTTCACTGCTTATCCCGTTTTTGATGTCACATTGTGGGTAATTCCCTCAGGCTAAGTCAGCGTCTCTGCCGCCCTGCTTGAGGTCAAGGTTCACGCAGCATTGCTGCAGCGGCCAGAGGAGACGGCCAGAGCAAAGACACAGAACGACACCAAGCAGGTAAAGCATTCAATCTCGACCGCGTCGAGACTGAGGGCTTGAGTCACGTGTGTATCGCAAAGGTAAAGATCTTGTGACATTCACTGTTAATGATTTCAAGTGTTGTATATTACTTAGCACGTGTTTGATTCCGGGCCAGTTGGTCTGCGTGCCTCCCTACATGGGGGCCTTCAGTTTAGATCTAATAACATTATATTATTACATTTTTGACTACAGGAGGAAACAATTTGATGCAATACGGAGCTCGGAAATCTTAGCTTTAGTTTGGAGGCCAAGTATCTTCCCGGGGGGCCTGATTTGGCCTTCAGGCTATTTACCTACAACTGAGCTACAACACCAGACCCTGTAAACCAAAGCCTCTCTGTTTTCACAATGCAACGCCGCCACTTTCTCTTTTACTCTTCAAGTGATATGCATATCATTTAAAAACTGCTTTTCATAACTTAACCCTGAGTCTTTCTATTGTGCACACTGTAGCCTGCTATCTCGGCTGATGAATGGGACTTGTATTGTATCAACCTGCATTTAACAAATGTTAACTGTTAACCTGCTGCAAATAAGACAAATCATTTGCAAGTGATGTTTGAGCAGCTTTGTTCCGCTTTGAACAACATTGTTCTGTATGTTAATGGTCCTCTGTCACATTCTGCTCACATTGTCATTTGAGAAAGTCTATTAAAAAGAATATACATGACTGTCAATTTCTAAACACAGGTTTCACACTAAGGTATTAAGTTGTTTATAAGACTTAAATTATCATAACCTTTTTGAACTTTAATACATCCTGTCAATTCTTTTTTCTTTTGTTTTTTGTTTGTTTGCTTTTAGCAAATGCAATTACCTGTTCTCTCTTCTTCTTCTGCTTCTGCTGCTGCTGCTGCTGTGGTTGGCTTTGATTTTGACTGTCTCGTCACAAGGTGTGAAAAGAGCAATAAGCTTCAGACTGGCTGCATAGAGGTGGTCTAACACGAGAGAGATCCTGTATCATCTGCCCTTCCTGTAAGAGCAGTGCTTCGTCAGGAGGATGTAAATGTCCTCCCTAATGACTTGCACTTGGGGGGGGGGCACAATAAAGGTCTTTGGAGGCCCTCTAGCTTCAAGTTGCTGAGCAAATGAAACTACCCGTTGTTTCCTTGGCTCCTATCGAGAGGTCACGAACACAGTGGTGAGGCGGGACCAAAGCAGGCAAAGGGAAGAACACCTGCTGGGGCCTAATAGGTCCTTGCAGCTATTAATGGCTTCCTGTGGCTGTGTGTTTGCTTCTCATTTGTTCTGTGTACCCCGTTTCCCCGCCCCCTGAAAAAAAGGGAGGGGTCGCTTCAAACCTCTATCCCGCAACTCTGTCTGTCTGCCTCCTTCCCCTTTATTCTGCAGAAACAAAAGAAATTGTCTCCAAGCTGCAGCTCAATGACTCATCTGTGAAGGCCCTCCTCAAAACCAGCTACTACCTGGTAGGTTTTGTCGCAGCACTGTGACACGACGACTTTAAGCCATAATTGATCAATGTTTCATCTGCAGTGACTTTCGGCAAAGTGTATTTTTCTTTCTGAGCTCTCTGATCTACAGAAGCTAGCTGAGCGTGGAGATCTGAGGGACTTTTGCTTCAGATATAACTGACAGACCATCTTAACTACACAAGAGTCTTGCAAGGAAAGGGATTCAGTGACAGTTTATAGAAGAAAAAACGCTAAATGTGATTTTGCATGTGTGTCGATGTCTCGTTAATAGAAAGAAGACCTGCAACTTGAAAACAAGGTCCCAGAGAAGCATCCCTGCACTGCTGAAGATGGAGGAGATGAAGATCACTGCGGGTGGTTCAAATAAATAATGAAAATAAAACAGAAGACAGTGTATTATGTGTGTCTGAGAATTGTACGTGTCCGAGATGCAGCTGGTGTTGGTGGAGGGGGTGACATGGTACTCGGCTATAGGCTATAGACTACAGAGTCTGCTCTGTTTGCACTGCCTTTAAGAACAAACACAGACTCCATGGCTGGCTTGTCCAGCATTGACCCTCGCGGAGGAGAGAGCTGATTACTCACGTCGAAGTGAGATGACCAAACAGAAGCCGACCCCGCTGTTGTAGATGCTCCCCTCCTCGGACGGCCGCTTTGACTGTGGCAAACATCATCCCGAGGGAGAATGTCGTAATAATGCCCACCACCAAAGACGTATGGCAATTGGGCCGGTGGTGTCACTTCATGCCAGCACTGCAAGCAGATGTTGAACTGTTTGGAGAGTTCCGTGTCATTTAAAGCTTTATGGGCTTCCAGGCAAACAGCGCTCCGTTTACCAAAAAGTGGCAGAGATGATGTGCGGGTCAACTTTAGCAAAGATTACGTTCACTGTTTCTTTAAGAAACAACGTTTTTCAGTTAACGCAAATGAACGGTCACTATTCCACCTCAATTTCTCACCTAAAATTAACACAATTGCAATGTCTTGTTTTAGCATTCTCAGTTAAAGCGGCACTTGACTCTGCCTTTGCACCTTCAGCGCTTAAAACTGTAACTTACGCTTCTTTCAGCACATCAATTTTGAACTGCTATTTTTTTCAGTATGTATAATTCCAACTGTCACTCCAACTGTTTCATTGTTGTACCGGTAAAGTAACTTAGTAAAATGTTTCCTTTTCTGTTTGAAATGATTGTTAATGGGAATGAGCCAAAACGTGATCCCTTTTGGTGAATTATGGCGGAACACTGTTTACTGGGAGCATGTATGATGTGAGCACATGCCACCGTGCAACAGCATTGGGAGCTCGGTAGGACAGCGTGTAAAGGCCTGCGCTGACAAGTGGTCCATCAGTGTGAAATCTCCCTGCCGCACAAACAAAGCCCCCCCAGGCTCACAGGCACATTCCCCACATCCGTAAGAAATACCCAAAATATATAAGCAATTAGAGCAGGAGCCCAAAATATGGAGTCGGTAAAATCCTTATTTATACTTTCAAGCAATGAGCCAATTCATCTGTTCTGCTTTGTGCCCATCGACATGCTTAATATGAACGCTATGATTTATCAGACTGTTTAGGGAGTCGTTCGCTAACGTTGGGGCCATCTGGTCATGGTCTCTCTTCAACGTGTTGAATTTCACAAGTATGTATTACAGGTCTACAAAATGAGTTCACCAGAGCATATCATGTTTATTACTATGAATTGACTTCAATGAGTGGAGCTCGTGCATGAGACGGGGCTGGTCTGCATGTCTCTTACTTTGTAGGATCTCGCCAGGCAAACATTCATCAGAGGTTGTCACAATCAAGCTTCTGCAGTGTCGCGTGTCACCATCCAAGCACATGCTACTGCACGGGTCCACATCCTCAGTCCCCACCTGCCTCCGGTGCAGCTGATGGTGTTTGTACAGATTTGTTACCTGCTGCACTGTCCTGTGAGTAAACGCTGCCTTGCTCAGGAGTCACCCCTGGAGCCAGTTTGCACCCAGCAGACAAAGTGTGTTGTCACCCGAGTGCTCAGTGTTACTGGGTGTGAGCCGCGCCACACTACGGCTACTCTTTGGAAATAGCACGCCATTAGGAATATATTAACAAGCCGGCATTTCGTGTGAAGGTCAAACACCCCCTGCAGAGAGGAGGAGATAAAAGGTTTTTCAAGCAGTTTACTTTCCGAATTCCCAGAGACTTTTCAGTGGTTTGGTCAAGTTTTGAGTATTCTTGCCTTTCTTTTAATAGTTAGTAGTTTTTCTTGAATTTTATAACTAATAACTGTACATTTATGTATAGGGCGATATTTTAAAATATTTGCAGTGGTATCATGTGATCAAGAGAGAGACTGGTGACATTATACTGAGGTGCTGAGGTAAGTATGTACAGAGACACCCCCGTGTCAAAAGGGGCCTGAGCAAACACAGGGCGAGCCTTGCAGGAGGGAGAGAGGGGACGGCAAGCGCTGGTCGACAGGCAAGCAGGAGCGCTATGCACCTCAGCTCGGCGCTGACGCCTCAGATCCTCCGCTGCCGGTCAGGTGTGCTACACTCGTTGACACCTTTAAGGTGTCAAACCAGGCTTTGTGTGTTTGTGAGGCACCAGCAGTAAGTAACGTTTGTGGGAAGAATCTCCCCTTTACCTCAGAGTACCAGGAGGTGTTTATAATATATGAACCGTATATTAGAGGGTCAGGGAGATCGACTCTGTGGGGATTTTGAGCTCACGTTTGGGTTAATTTGTCATGAACCTATTTATTCCACTCTGTTTAAGTGCTGAGTTGATGAGAACCTATTTCAGGGAAAAATTATATAGTTTACATTATTGCTAACTTTTCCAAAGTTTAGATATTTACATGTTTCTCACAACACAGAGTTTGCTTTATGTTGTCTTCTCAGTGAAACTTATAGAATAAAAGTCGAATTTGTTTTACTACACAACATGTTATAGAAAATACTTTTAAGCTTTACCAAAGCAAAGCAAACTGAACACAGACTTGATGGAAACAGGAAACATTTATTGATGGTGGTCTCTGAAGTTAATTTGAGTTGCACCTGCATTTCATCCTTTGACGAATGAATGATCTAAACAGCACCATATACATCAATAAGACTAATTCTCAATGCTGCAGGCCCACATCAGGAAGCGGCCCAGTGTGACTGCTGTAGCGCCGGGTGGGGGGTTGCAGGGGGGAAAGAGAGGCGCCAAACGACACACTAGGACTGTGGGAAATAACACCAGCCGTGACACCCGGGACTTTTTATTTACGCTGTCTTGTGGCCCAGGACAGAAGGAGAGGCGCATGTTTATTAGTTTGTCTCAATTGTAGATTATCCGCAAACAACAGATGCAGATACTTGAAGGAACGGATGTACTGACATGGATAATTTGACCTCTTGTTTTTTCTACAAATCAAGGCTTTAGCAACATTTAGAACCAATGGGGCCGCAGGACATCAGAAGCTCTTTTCAAACTTCTGTTTGAACTGAGTGAGGTTTGTTTTTCTTCTCCTGCTGTGGTCCAGATTGCTGCATACAGACTCACTGAGCTGGCAGGAGATCTGGTTAGTAACACAAACCAGCCACAACACAACACTACAGAGGTCCATGGAAGCTAACACGTAGCTGTCACCCACTAGCTGCCTTTAACCTTTGTTTGTTTTTCCTTTGGAAGCTACTATGGCAACAGGTGACGCCGAATAAAATGACCAGAATACAGTAGTTATTCGCGGGTATGACACTGCGGGACTACACGTCTGGTTGTAAATCCTATTGTCCCATGAATCAAGTTATCAGCAGGACACTTCTTCTCCCTTCTTGCTCAGATGCTTCCCGGCATCGGCTCCACTCACCGAAAGACGAGACGGTCCAACCTGAAACAGCCAAGAAGTGTCTGCGATGACGAGCCGGGCAGAATGACCCCGGCGAGTTGCACAGAGACACGTGAATCATATTCATTTGATTTGGTTGTGGCAGACAGACGTCACTCCTTATTGTGCGTGCGTGAGGGTGTTTTCTTGGCACCAACTTTTTGAGCCTCTGGTTTGGGACACAAGCCGTAAAACACCTGATTCTTTATCCATTGAAGATGTGTGTCAACTAAAGCTTGTTGAGGTAAAAATATTTTAGAGATTTATTTCATTTTTGTAAAGATTACATGGTTTTGTTGTTGTTTTTTTAAAAATCTTGACATAATTGGCCGTGGGGAGAAACTCTAAAGAACACATTTCTCATTGAAGATATGACCAACAAAGCATCTCTTGTTATCTGCAATGTCATTATTTATAAATGACTCACATATGACAAACATCCTTTTCACACATTTTTTTACATTGCAAACATGTTTCAATGCCATGTTTGTTTTAGTTCCCAAACAATGATAGTTTTAGAATTGTTTACGAGTCAAATGTCCTAATACATTTTTTAAATAAAGGGTTTACTATATAACAGCAATGATCAGAAATACGTTTTACTGATGTGGTTGTTGCACTTGACTGGATTTCCATTTCCACGTGTTTACCTATAAAGAAATTAATTTATTGATTTATTAATTTTAAGTGCGTCTTCTTTCAACTAATTGATCAAATTAGAAACAGAACAGAAAATGTCACAGGTTTCTGTAAAACTGGTTTACCAAATCTGTCACAGCAGCAACAACGTGTCAACATTTCGAATTTAGAAATGTAAGTATCATAAAGTAGAAGCAACGCAAAAAGTTCAAGAAACTTCATTGGAACTAAACGTGAGACCCCAGGAGCCGCGGAGCAGTGAGGCTCGACGGAGGGTTTTTCATGCAGGTGCGGCTTTGATCAGAGTGTCAATGTTAACAGGTCGACGTAATAAAGCGGGTCAAACCGACATATTCCAAAAGCCGCCATCCTGCGCGCTGATTGGCGCACGGCTGCTACGGACCAATCGGCGGCCAGCCCGCAAAGATCAAAGAGGAGACGAGCCTATAAATCCGCAACCTGACGTCCAGCGTCCCGGAGACAACTGCGTGTTTTTTTGTGCGGACACGACAACAGGAATCAAGAATCAGGAATCAGGAATCAGGAATCAGGACACGGGTTGTTTTTTTGTTGTTGTTTTTGTTTTTCCAATAAGAACCGCGATTGGGTCAATTCGGCCCTAGGAGGTCCTGGACAAGGATGGCCACGGGCGCGAGCGAGTGTCCCGGGAAGGCCGGTCAGAAGCGGGTGGACCACCTCCTCAGCGCCGTGGAGAGCGAGCTGCAGGCCGGCAGCGAGAAGGGAGACCCCACGGAGAAGGGACTGAAGGTGTCCCTGGATGACGACGAACTTTGGCGGACATTTAAGGACCTTACAAATGAGATGATAGTGACAAAGAACGGCAGGTGAGGCTGAACGCAAACGCGTCGAACCAGACGCGAATTGCTCCATAATAACTAACTTGTTCCCATCCATCTTTCCTTCTGTCAAGGCGCATGTTTCCGGTGCTGAAGGTAAACGTGTCTGGATTGGACCCGAACGCCATGTACTCTTTCTTGCTGGACTTCGTGTCTGGCGATAATCACAGGTGGAAATACGTGAACGGGGAGTGGGTCCCCGGTGGGAAACCCGAGCCCCAAACCCCGAGCTGCGTGTACATCCACCCGGACTCCCCGAACTTCGGGGCGCACTGGATGAAAGCGCCGGTCTCCTTTAGTAAAGTCAAACTCACCAACAAGCTCAACGGAGCCGGTCAGGTAGTTTTTATGTATTACGGAGGGAACAGTTTGGTCTCCAAACATCCCGTCATTTCAAAATAAGACAAACAATAGTAAATAGTAAATAACGTTCCTTGTCCCCCCCCAGATAATGTTAAATTCATTGCACAAGTACGAGCCACGTGTCCACGTGCTGCGGGTCGGAGGCCCGCGGAGGATGATCAGCAGCCACTCGTTCCCGGAGACACACTTCATAGCAGTGACCGCATACCAAAACGAAGAGGTGTGTGTGTGTGTGTGTGTGTGTGTGTGTGTGTGTGTGTGTGTGTGTGTGTGTGCGTGTGCGCGCGTGTGTGTGTGAAAACGCTCAAACGTGCGCGTTTTTATCTGTTATGATATTGCGTGTTGGCAAAAACTCAATTCTATTTTCTTTCATTTACGTTTGGATTTTAGATAACTGCTCTCAAAATAAAGCACAACCCTTTTGCTAAGGCCTTCCTGGATGCGAAGGAGAGGTAACAATGTTTTCACAGAATAAAATATTATTGATTGATATTATCATTTAAAGTATAAGCATCAATAATTTCATTTTTTTTAATCAGAAGTGATCACAAAGACATGAGGGAAGATGCCGTTGAAAACCAGCAGTCGGCCTATTCTCAATGTGAGCACCGTCTGATTTCGTGTCACATTCTGGAAGCTATTTAGTCGCTCGCCTGGTTCCCTCACGTCTTCCTCTCCTCTGTGGCACCAGCAGGTGATGGATTGGTTCATCCTTCAGGTTTTTTTGACCTCCCGCCAGTCCTAAATGTCAGTTTGGGGGTCCCCGTCTCCTTTCTCCCCTGCCCACAGCGTGGAGCGCTACTCGCCCCTGGGAAACCCCCGTTCCTCTCCATACGCTGGCCCCTACGCCCCCCGCACCAATTGGCCCGGTGAGTGTTCCCTCCCACCCTTTAATGGCACCACTCCTCCCCCCCCCCCCCCCCCGGTAATTAACGAGAAATGCAAACAAACGCCGCTGAGCACAGAATGTCTTGCATTCCTCTGGCTTTTGTGTGAGCGGAGCCACAGAGCTGTAAATATTTGGGCTTCGGCGAGGAGACAATATTCACACCTTGACCTGTCATGCGCGAATCACATCAGGCTGATGGCTACGGCTACGCTGTATTATCTGAAAGGTCAGGTGACCCGTGAAACGTGCTCAACCAGTGCTTTTGTCCGGTGTTACAGTCAGTTACTCCGACAACTCGCCAGCCTGCCTGTCGATGCTCTCGAGCCACGAGAGTTGGTCCAGTCTGCAGATCCCGACACACTCCTGTATGATGGACACCTCTGCCACCTCCAGGTTTGTGCAGCGTTTATGAAATCATAACCACAACTCACAACCACAAAGAAGATGACGTGGACGTGCAAGTGAACTTAATAGTTCTAGTGAGAAAAGAATAAGAAATAAAGCTTGTGTATCAGATGTTAATACAGAATAAATAACGGCAAGTCCTTTTATGCATTTCTTGTTTCTCAGCTAACAATGAAAATGTTTTAACAGAAATCATTGCCAGGTTATAGACATTGCACCGTTAGGCTTTTGCATGAGTTGCACTTCTAAAACACCCGTAGCGGAGCTGACTGAGGCGTTTTCCTATTGGTGTCCCTGCACAGTCAGTACACCAGCCTGTGGTCGGTGAGCAACTCGCCCCTGACTCCCGTGTCCCAGAATGGGGGGATAAACACCAGCCTGAGCTCCCAGTTCCTCCGAGGGCCCAGCAGCCACTACCCGAGCCCGGGTCACTCAGCCGCAGCGCCCTCCTCTGGCTCTCCCATGTACGAGCGCGCCGCTGCGACGGAAGTGCAGGACGCAGCTGAGTATGACGCTGCCCTGCACGGGCGACTGCCTTTGGCCTGGACTCCTGCGACGCCCCCGTCCCTCTGATGGAGACTCGGGGGAGAGACGGACACTAAATAATGACCGGAGGCTGTTTGAGCTGCTGCGATTCAAAGGAATAATCAATCAAGAGGGTTTTGTTTCACAGGCAAAAGAACGGTTTTGGTTTTGGGGGCCGAATTTGTCCCCACGATAAGAAAGCGACATGCTTTGTTCTCAATAAATCAGCGAGTGTGTTTTAAACTCAAGGATTTTTTTCTCCTTAAATTTAGCTCATGTTTTTGTTCGGCGTGGCGAACTTACATATTTTAATGTTTGCAAATCAAAATACATTTAACCTGCTTATATTAAGCATAGCTTAATGGAAAAACATCAGTAAACAATGTATTGTCTATAGTAATTGAAGTTTACCATGTAAATAGGCATTTGCTTAGTACCACAATGATGCAATTGGAAATATTATGTTGCCGATTATTTTTAAACGAAATAAACAGGGGGATATAATGTCATTATTCTGCTATGCAGACAATACAGACCTTTTCATATATTACAACACATGTATCGGTCTCTTAAGTTTTTGAAGCCAGCTACATGACAATAAAAACTTGAATGTACTTTGAGTCATTGTTTAAATTGTCAGTTCATTCAACTTGGTCCCAGTGTCCTTTTCGTCTTTTTGGTGCTGTTGCGATGCCATGTGAAGAGTTCTTTCCCACGTATTACATCCTCACAGTATCTCGCTGTGGACTCTCCCCCAATGAGCATTTTTTAAATTATAATCTAAGCGGTGGTTCTTTGGGGTAATGGACGTCCCCTACATAAGGGACCGTTGGATTTGAGTGTTTTTTGGGTCTTTGGGCGATAGACGTACAGGTCAGTGTTCTAACTCAAATCTCATTAGTTTCTACAGAAGTTAAGGGAACACTAGATTAAATCAAATAAAAAATGTACCACCCTAAAGAAGTTAAGCCCCAGTCCAAAACACCAGATCCCAAAATACAAATCCCCCAAAATCCCAACAGCCTTCCTACGAGTGTTTGTTAGTGTTGTCTCTGTTTGTGATTAACATTCAGGCTGCTATTTATGATCAAATGAGCTTTACTGGAGCAGCAGCTGTTGGAAATGAACAAAACAATAACACATGCATTGGTAAACTACAATGAACTTTATTTTCCAAAAGGAACACACTATTGTCATCCTAAACGATCACAATATCATGCATTCTTGAATACGACACGATGGAAATCTTTTGTGTTTTTTTATGTTTTTATTTGACATTTTAACATTGTTCATTACAAATCACTTATATTGTAAGAATCTGAGACTTGGGAGAAACCCTCCGGCTCCCTTTATGTGAACAGAGAAGGACTTTTCACACTCGGGTGAGGAATTACATCCATCTACGTCAGAAGGAGGGTTTTCCACTATTAGTCCCCTCACTCTATTTTCATTCACATCTCCCTGACATGAGGGCAGAAATCTCTGAAAAGATATTGATGACGCATCGTCATTTACTGTGTCATGGGTCTGCTGACAGTTTTGAAATTGCATTTACTCTGTCAGGAGCGTGTAGGTGGAGGCAGGACCCAGATGCAGAGTTTGAAAACAAAAAGACTTTAATCGGCAAAATCAAAAATGCGCGGGGACCCGGAACACAAGACACTAAGGGAATCACAAGCAGGCATATTATTAAATAATATCTGCATTTTCCAGTGATTTGGTGAAGCTATGTTTTAATAAAATAATATTTCCAGGGATGTTTTATTTGAGTTATGTACTGTTTACCATTGTAATTCATGACTTCTTGAAGCTACCAATCCACATTATAAGGACTTTTATATTTGCAAAACTCTACACGCACTCTGTTATACCCCCATGTTTTAATATTGAGTCCTTGTTGAAATCACCAGGAGTAGACGAGGCCAGTCAACAGGCACAAGCGCTCATTCAATCCAGAAGATCAAGGTCAGTGTACAAGGACATCAGGACATCCTCCCTTTTGTACCGGTGGCATGACTGACAGAATAGAACCACCCGTTAAATTGAATCCACAACTGCATCATATTGGTGGACGAAATGGCCCCATGTGCTTATATTGCATGTGTCCAAGTGCTCTGTGTACAGAAATATTTATCCCCACCTGATCCCCAGAGCATGTCTTTGGACTGTTGGGAGGAAGCCGGAGAACCCGGAGAGAACCCACGCAGACACGGGGAGAACATGCAGACTCCACGCAGAAGTCGTGGAGTCAAACCCGCAACCTTCTTGCTGTGAGGCGACAGTGCTAACCACCACACCACCGTGCCGCAGAAATATTTATACTCAATATTTTTTGTATCAAATCAATCAACCCATTTTTTGTGCACTACTTTATGAATAAATGCACTGTGGTTACTTAAAGGAATATGTAAATGTATTTAATAAACAATTTAAAAAATAGGCAAACGTAATACATATATAGTAGAATGATATACAATCATTGAATTATTGTGATTTGCTTTAAGAACGATTTATAATGTTAAGAAATAATGTTGAGAACAAGAAAAGATAATGCGACATGCATCAGAAAAGAAAATCAAAAAATCTACGAAGGCGGAGTATTTCTCCCAAGCCTAATAATCCCATTATGGTCCAGATGGGGGAAAAAGCTCTCCGTCAAAGCAAGCATTGACGCAAGCATGTCTTGACGTCAGTGTAGCTGCAGTGAATGAGGGATGGGAGGGGGGGAGAGCCAGAGAGTGAGTGAGAGAGGCGTGTTTGTCTGCAGAAACCACGAAATACCAGCGTCATTGGCATGAATGCAACTGTAGCTCTTTAGAAGAAACCCGCCGCGAACGTCCGCGCACACAGACGCACGAACACGCCAAACATCAAAAACCATTTGCCCTGACATCCAAGTGACACGTTTTTGGAGACACAGTATGGCGCTGCTGTGGAAATCTAAACCAGATGTAGTGAATGGAATAGGATCCTCTGACCCGGGAGTGCTCATAAATAAATCAACATGTGAGAAAATTAAGAGAAGGGGGTGACTGTTACTCTGCTGACGTAATGCGCCCATTCGTGCGTCTCCTGAAAAGGAAAACACCATGTGAGGTAGAGCTCAGTGACAATCTGACGAGGTCTGTGCAGCTTTATCCAAGTGCACTTTACAGTGCAGCGCGCATTTTTTTCTTTCTTTCTCTCACGCATTCAAGGCTCATGATACCTGGAGGGGAAAAGTACCATCAAGCATTTGTAAAAACTCGACCAAAGCGGTCTCTGTCCTCCCCGATATATCGTCTGTTCTCACAACAAGCTGCATTAATCGCATCATATTTGCGATATGACGCGACACACATTTGCTCTGGGGCTCGCGGAAAGCAAACCAGTTGGTCCACTGATGGTATTGTAAAAGAGAAGGTACCCCCCCACCACGCACACACACACTTCAAACACACGGACGCACAACGAGAGATACAGACACGCGCATGATGTTGACGCAGATGTTGTCCGGAGAACCTCTTCTGCCAGCAATGTCGTGCGCAGCTCCAATGAGGGACGCGCGCGCTTTGGATGATCTCCGTTTACGTTGGCCTATACCCTGCGCGATACCGAAGAGGTCCCGTTGTGCCGGCTGTGCGTCATCTATGCCTGATTAGACAAGTGTGACGTCGCCGAGCACCATTCGAGCTAAGCACCCCACACAAGAAGGCAAATTGATATTCAAAAAAAGACTGGAAACGAAATGACCAAAACCCTCCAGCTCGAAAAGCGTTTTAAGACGCGGATCAACAAGTGGCCTCCAGTGCGCAACTTCCATTTGAGCGGGATTTGAGCATAATCCGCGACGCAGATGATCGGCTTATCGATTGAAATATTTCTCATCTGCCAAGAGAATTACGGTCCAGACGATCCCCGGAGACATTATTTGTCCGATAGCGGCGGGAACCAGGAGCCTCTACCCGGCTCCATGCGTCGCTGCGTCTCCAGGAGCTCGGCTGGCCACCACATGGTAACTTTGCGCACCCAGCACGCTGAAAAAGAGGACACACAGAGAAGGGATCTGAATGAATGGGACTGAGATTTATTCGTATTTCTCTTTTCGCCTCCCGCAGACTGTTGTTTGTGTCGTATATCCAGCCGGTTGAAGGCGTCTCGCGTTATCGGCAGATATCGATCCATCGGTGGATGTCCGTCAACCCGAATAGGGAGCCGCAAATGTCGAAAAAACGGAAAAGTCCTGACGAGCAGGACTTCGAGGAACCTCCACCCGCAGGATGCAGCGACGATGGTAGCAGTCGCGGTCAATGCTGTCGCAAGAGTGCAGGTATGTGATATCCTCGGGGACCAATCGATGGAACAACAGACCATTTCTTACTACATGTTTATTGCGAAGTCGGACCAGGACGCGGTCAACCCCTCTTCATGCAGTATTAAACCTGGCCGCATAGATGCAATGCCGTCATCTCCCCCTTAAAATAAGTATTTCATCCGGAGAAAACAATCTTGTGTTGCTGCGGATTACTTTTAATAATCTCTCATCAATCCTCGATAGAGTCACATTGGGTTTCCTACGGCTTTGTTGCAGAATCGACGTTCATCGTTGGCTCCACTGTGGCAGCGACAGATGACCTGTTGATGATTAGTTTCAGTTCTGTTGTAAACGTGGGGTTTATTTATTGTGTTGCGGTGTGTGCGTTCTGGGGGGGTAATCACAGCCAGATCCACTGGGGGTATCTGGTGTCCCTGGTGTGTGCACCCAGGGGCCAGTGCACCCTTTTATGTGCATAGAGAAAATAGAAATAAACTTTGATGGATAGAAAAAATAGCAGTGCAGACATGTACAGTTTCATTGGCAAATAAAAAAAAGCTTTCTTTAAATAAAGTAAGCAATGAACAATAAACTATATATTAATGGTGACATTGTTTGTTCAGTGTGATTAATGAATGCCAGAACTAAATATTAATACTAATATTCTAATATGAAACAATATCAATAAGTCCATTGTTCTCACAGCAACTAAAACCAGACACGAAACAATGTCTTCACAAATTTTCTGTAACAAACTGTGTTGTTACAAGGTCCATTTTTGAAATGTAACCCCGGTTTGTGGAAGTCAAAATCTAGTCCTGGGGATGATCCAGTTCAGTTAGTGCAAAATATCAACGAGTTTGCAAACAAAGGCCAGTATAAACAATATCCGGTCCTGTTGGTTATGCCTTGATTTCCTGTGATCTGCGCGGTTGAAACCATCCTTTGCTTTCAATTCGAGCATTCCTTGTTTACACGAGGCAGCTTCTGAAGGGCCTCGATGGACATTGTGGCTGTTACGCTGGCAAACACATGACATGCGTTTAAGTTCAAGGCCAAGAACAGCATCGCCTCCGAGCAGAGAGCCGTGCCTGCCTACATGCATAGTGCCCAACAGAACCGGCTTGTGCCTGTGTTGATGTTTCCTTTGCATCACATTAGTGTTTAAAGCGTGGTTGTCATGTTTTAGATTTAGCAAATACTCCATAATTAGGCATACTGTGCATCCTCTCACCTCAGCTTGTTTTTTTAATTTTTAATTTCTCTTTAAAGGCGAGATCTGTCATATGACCTCTGAAACCGTTGGACCACTGTAGTAAAGAGAAGGCGCGCATGCCTGCGAAACCTGTGAAAAAGCAAAACCCCATGCATGTTTTTTTTTGCCACCCCAATAAAATAAAGGGTAATGGGATTTATATTTTCAAGAAAGAGATATTGCAGTTTCTTTCTTTTCATTTCATTTTTCAACGCTTTCAGCACCACAAATATAACTCTGCTGTGCTCGTAGTAGCGTGGAGGACAAAGTCTGAAAACCTGAACGAAATATATTTATCGTCATGGTTGGATAGACGTTTATTGTAATATGAGTAAATAAGCCTGGAAAGACTACAAACTCAAACACAGCGCAACACATACAGTCAACATTACTGCTTTTCTCAGACCTACAGACTTGTTTGTTTGCACTGAAGATGTGACCTGTTTGCATCTTTGGCTCTGTATCTTTTTGGGTCTCTGCCCAAATGAGAGTTTCCCTTGGCCGACATGGACGGAGAGCCGGGCGCTTCCTTCCCTGACCGCGCCTGGCATCTGTGACTTCTTAGGGGGTGGATGCCCACTGCCGCCCCCCCCCCCCCCCCCCCCCCCCGACCCCCAACCCCCCCCCCCCACTATATTGTACGCAGCAAATCATAGCAAATGTAAAAATGCAAATGTTCATACACACTAAGGAGGCATTTATATATTACGGAAAACCTTTTAATAAAAAAAATAGTTCTGTAAAATGATTGCTTTTAACAAAAAACAGATATATTACAAAACTGTCTAATTTGATTTAATTTAATTGTTCGTCCAAAAAAAAAAAGCAGCCACACATAATAAAGCCATGGTTTATTTGTGCATCATGAACTGAATGTGAAAAAAAGCGCCAGAGCAAGAGCTGCTTCTGTTGCTGCTCCGATCACTGCCTCTGAGGGCTGACGCTCGTATTTCCTCATGGAGACCGTTTTTGTTGGATCTCCCCGGTGAGGCCGGGAGGGGAGATGCAGAAACGGGGCCATTGAGATTCTTATCAGGACCACAACGCTTTTTTTGTCTTGTCCCCATTACAGGACCGCTCCTGGGAGCCCCCTCCATAGTAAGATACCAGTTCCAAGCTCTGCAAGAACCTTGATGTCGGAATACAAATTGGAATAGTTTTGTTTTGTTCCTGGTTTAGTGGCAATGTGAAATAATTGCGCCATGGCAGGCTTTAAGTAATACATATGTAGATAAAATTGCGTATTATGCCACACTGATACAGCGCATTTAAAAGTTGTGGGGCTGCACAGAACAGTGAGTGAGATCCATAAAGGGATCTGTGTTGTGGGGCCATTGTTGGTGCATGTTCCCTGCAAAAGGCCATTTAAAGGTTAACGCAAAGGTCCACAACCAGAGCACATATCACACAGTCCACCTCTGGCTAGACCAACTTATCTCGTCACAACGTGAAATGATGTTTAAATTATCATGTCTTCACTTTACCTTTACAACAAGATAGATATTATTTCAGGAGTGGAATCCCCAAGTTTCAACACAACACACAAGTCCATGAAATGGCTCCGGTGTCGCTTCAAAGCCGTTCACACCACTCTGTTGATCTGGGCAAATAAATATATATAATATATAAAGCGAGTTTAAATGACGGGCACACAGATAACAATTTGACTATCCTCTTTGTTTTCCTGGGACAAACCCGTTAGTGCAGATAGTTGCAAAACGCCTTCTCCATTGCAACAATTATGTAGCTCCCACATCAACAGCACATAAAGAATAACATTACAAAATAGCCTCCGCTCACGGGAACACAAAGCCACTGTTCCTGTGAGAAAGAAGATCCGTGCGGTTGTGGCCAGTTGGAATTTCTCTTTTGAATCAAACTTTGCGAGAACAGTTCCAGGCCTCTTGTGGATTGGTTTGTCCTCATGGATTAAACCGAGGAGCAGCCCGACGTCATCGAGTGTCCACGCTCTGCAGCGCTACACAGAGTGTGTGTCTTTAGCTTGGCTTCATGCCCACCTCGCTAGAAGAATCGCAGCAGGGCTGTTTGCCACCACTGTGACGCCACAGAGCACTGGCGTACAAACCACACAACCTCATGAATATTCCTCTACATGTTCGTCTCGGAATAAAGCAGCTGCTCACAGCTCCGGCGCGTGAGGGCCGTGGCTGCGGACAGATGGGAACACGCTCGACTTGTGCAGGAATACCACTCGCGAATATTATCGTGAGGATAGAATCCAAACATCCTTCATTTTCTCCATTTTCTCCATTTTCATTTTACATCTATACAGCAATTTGACCTTTTGACCTCTGTTATTTGGCAGTGGCTAAAAGTGGTCGACATTAGTGTCCTCAGACAGTCTGACACTAGGTGGAGCTAAAGTAACTAGGATAAAATGGAGGGAATTGACAAGTAGTAACTCCGTATTTCCATTCTTTAAAATGATTGTTTACAGACTTGGTCATCACTCCTGAAAGGTTCCACAAAATAGATTTATATGATCTTGTAATGTCCAACAAGGTTTCACTGGCACAGTTTTTATGTTAGAAAGAATTCCCTCCAATTGTTTTGTCAATAATTCTTGTACATTTCACTGAGGTTTGTTGTTTCCAATTACGGTGTGATTTTGACAGCAATTCTGAACATGGTTCATTTTTTTTTTATCATTATCTTGCATTGTAAATAAATAAGAAAAACAAGTGCTGTAATTTCAAATGAAATAAAGCCCCAACAATGCTAGAGTCTGCGTGCAGGTGTGTGTGCGATCGGTTCGTGAATGGATTACGTCCGTGTGTTATCAGCGAAGAGGCCGAGCTGACGTCTGGCTGCTCGGCCGTCTCCGTCTCTTCAGGTGCCTGCTGTGCAGAGAGATTGATTGACGGGTCGG